ACTTTAATCTCTTTTGTTTTGGCACATGTACCATGATTGTACTACCAAAAACACGTAAATGACTTACATCAGGCTTTCTGCCTGTCCATATCTCAAAAGGTGTTGTATAATTTAATGATGGGGTCACAGTCCTGTTCTGTAAATACACTGCAGTGTGTGCCGCCTCTGCCCAAAATTTTTTCGCAAGACCTGCATCGAACAGTAGACACTTGGCTTTCTCAACGATACTCCGATTGTATCGTTCTGAGAGACCATTCTGCTCAGGTGTGTATGGGTTTGTTTTGTGATGTACTATCCCATGCAACATCAAAGAATCATCAAACCTACTGTTGCAGAATTCTGTCCCATTGTCACTTCTCAAGATCTTTATGCGGCAATTAAGTTGATTCTCAACCTCTGCTCTATACTGTTGAAAGCACTTCAGTGCCTCATCTTTTGCTTTCAAAAAATAAATATATGTCATACGACTAAAATCATCTATGAACAGCATAAAGTATCTAGAACCACCTATAGATCGGTTTTCCATTGGTCCGCATAGATCGGTATGCACAATTTGTAGCAATTCAGTACTTCTGTTACCTTCTTTGGGAAAAGGTAGGCGGCTCTGCTTGCCCTCACAGCATGCGACACATGATGACTTTGTTAAGTCAGTCTTGTTATCAAGTGTCAATCCCTGTACAGCATCTTGCATCTTGTTCAAATGCTGGCTGTTGACATGACCTAGACGTCGATGCCAAACTTCACTGGACACCATCACTGCAGCTGATGAACAATATTCAGGCATATTCAGTTTATACACCCCATTCAACAGATTCGCTGTGGCCACCAGTACTCCTGCTTGGTTGAAAATCTGACAACCACAATTGTTAAATGAAACTTTGTTTCCTTTCGATATAAGTTAATTAACAGACAATAGATTTGTAGTCAACTTCGGCACGCATAATACACCTTGTACTGTAATATCGTATTCACAGTCTCGCGTCTTTGTCGTAATCTGCACATCTCCAGTACATAAAACAGGTACTTTATCTTTGTTTGCCACGACAATATTCTTGATAATATGATCCCGCGACACATTTGACAGCCATTCTTCATTCGCGGTAAGATGAACACTCGCCCCGGAATCAATATACCAATCACTTTTGCAAAATTCACCATTCAGGAACACTGCGCTAAACGCATTACTGCTTGTACGTTCGTTTTTATTTATATTCGACGAATTTTTATTCACAACTGCACACTGGTTGCGGTAATGCCCTGTTTGTTTACATTTGTAGCATGTTATAACTTTTGGTTTTGATTTTGACATTTGGGCGTTGTCTTTGGTCGCAGTGTTACCAACATTCCGGTTCTTCTTGAAACTCACGAACGCGCCATTGGAATTGAAAGCACTATTGTTGCCTTCGTTTCCGCTTTCGTCCATGTCCAACAACTTGGTTTTAATGGCGTCCGCTGTCAATGGTATGCCGCAATGCTCGATCGCCATTATCATAGGAGAATATTTTTCTGTTAATCCCGCTAACAAAAGCGATGCTACCCACTCATCATTAATGTTGAAACCGGTACCACTTAATTTTTGGCTCGTTTCGATGATTTGTGTCACGTATGAAGTCATTGAAACGCTATTTTCGAGTCGTATGGAAATCAAACTCCTCAGTAAACTGATTCTCCTCGTAAAACCTGAATCATCAAATAGGCTCTTCAATTTCTTCTACAGTTCATAGATCGTTTGTACACTCTTTATATGTACGTACAGCGACGAATCTATTGTCAGAATTAACTTGGCTCTTGTTTTCGCGTCACTTGCTGCTCCTATTTCTGCTGGTACAGTCTCCAACTTGATGCAATCAGACATTCCCTCCAGAACTAGGAAATTCTCAGCCGCAAAAGCCCACTCACTATAGTTCTCTCGCCCTTTCAATTTAGGCACACTGACTAGGTAGTTCGTAGTCATTTTTACAGTCACAGCGTTAATTACAGTTTTTCTCAATCTGCAAAATCTATTTCCACTAGAAATGTTCAAGTAAATTGCGAGAAAAAAACTAAAAAAACTGAGTACATAACCTCTTATAAATTAAACGCGTGGGTAACCAACAAGAACTGACTTTATTCAAAGAAAACATACAGTTGACATATTCTATACCAGAGGGCGCTACTAGTCTTCAATGGATGATATTGTCGATACAAAAAGACACGGAATAACAAAAACTGTAAGTAATTTAAAAAAATTGTTCACACAAAAGTTGTTGGTAATTATGTACGGAACAACTTTTCCATTTAAAGTTTTCCATTAAAATGATATTTTCAGGGTGAAAAAGTGAAAAAACACTTTTATTGAGAATTTAGCGCCACCTACAATGCGCATTTTTTGTTGTACAAGATTGCAACAATGACATAAATTGTAGTACTCAACGCCCTCTACAATTATGGTCGAAAAAAAAGTTTCTAAAATGCAAACAAAACAAGAAAAATGCGTTTCAAAAAATTTTTGAGGTTTTTTTTGAGTTTTTCAAAAAACGCCTACGATTTGAACATGCCCATCGCCAAGGGGGCTTACCGACGTCATTTGGCAACAGAAAAAACAAGACTTACCCTTTACGTTTTTTTTTCACCACTCAACCTACAGATTGACTGTACTATTAGGCCGCCAGTGAAGCGTAATGTACGATTCACACTTGCCAGGCCGCGTCAGAGCGCAGAGTAGCGCGTCGTAACAGAATCCGAATTCGTCGGATGTGCTAGCATGCATTCAAAAATATGCTCCATGAGCAAATAAAAAAAATAATACTTTTATTTCACGTGTACCTTAAAGTAATAAAACAATAGAGATGATGCAACTGCAATTCAGCGGATTTGGTTTTGGCAGCCTCAAGTTAAGCGATATAAGCGTTTCCGAGATACATAGGTATCCTGGCGCCGAGTATGGAGTGCGAGTTGGATAGGACCCCGCCGCCTCGCCATAAATATGAGGCAGAAATCATATTTCACATTATTTAAAAACATAATATTATTAATACACGACGTTATATATTCAATATTTTGCTCCACGATCAATCATAAAAAATGAATAATTTTATTTCATGTGAAATTTAAAGTAAAAATCATTATGTGCACCGACCACATATCTGAAGTAAAACTTCTTTTCTTAAATAACCTAACATTAGGTTATTCGGTGCATAAAGCATAGGGGATTGGAGTAGCGTACGCAACATATATATATATATATATATACATATGTTGTCGCGTGTGACGCAGTTACCCTCCAACTTTCATGCTCGTCGGGAAAAGCTTCGCACGCATCCCACACACACACAGACACATATATATATAAATATAGTCGTGTGACGCTCTTGACGCATTTCCGTTTCATCTTATCCATAAGATTTTTCCATTTACACCCCGTCTGAAAAGAAGTTTCACTTCAAAAACGATAGAGCTTACACGCATTAGTTACTACATTAAAATCATTCAATCGGCGCAAAAGAACTGCTGCGAGGTACCCGCTTTACGCGTAAGTGGTTTTTGCAGCCGTAAGTTAAGCGATATAAGCGTGCCTGAGATACGTATCCTGGCGCCGAGTATGGAGCGCGGGTTGGATAGGACCCCGCCGCCGCGACAGCCGAGCGAGGGCTCGTCGCTGCAGACGCCGATGAAACAGGACAACGATGACGACACCTCGGAACACGAGAGCGCGTTCTCGTTGCAGTCCACAGTGAGGTACGATCGGGTACCGACTTGCACTGATTTCGTTTGCCATCAATTTAAATACACGCGGCCGCATTTCCTAAACAGTTTACAGTAATTTCTTTTGTAAAAAAGAGGGTCGACAGATGTTTGGCACCGTGAATTAGATTGAGCCGTTCTGATATTTTAAGGGCTTCATTTATACAGAAATATAGAATTAATTGAATTGAAACGCAAGGGCCAATTGCATCAACATTCTTATATCAAATCTTAATCCTGTTTAAAACATAATTTTTATAATCTTTGTTATTTTTTTTAAGTCAAATAGAGATAGATTGAGTCTCGAACATGATTAGCTTATCATGTTTAAGTTTATCTAATCATGATTAGCTTTTAAAATAGATTTAAGAGTTTTGATGCAAGTGGACTGTGGTATGGTGCAAAAAGTCAGTGCAGTCGCTATTCAGATCTGGTCGTCGTATGCGATGGGCTACGCTGTGTCGATTTCCATGATCTAATTTCATCTTTTGGCAATTTTTTCTCCTGTTTTAGCACACCCGCATGCAAAGCTGCTTTAGTCATTTTCAAATGTATTTGTTGTAGGTTTCTGATTTATTTATTAAAAATAATTAATTTATTTAAATAATAATTTTAGTTAATAAGTATTTGTATTAATAATGTGTATCTTTATTTTTATTAATTTAAAAAGGTAAGATTAATTTTAAGTTTCTATTCTATTCTTAATATTTCTCATTACACTTCTTTGATAATAAAATATGCAGATTCTCCTGGTCTCAATTTAATTTTGTATCTTATATGTATATGAAAATATATATTCTATTTGATAACGCCACATGAATAATCGCAAAATGGATCGGTCAGCTCAACACAAAAATATATACACGTAAGTTCTTGACTCCTAAGAACTTAGTATTATTTGCCCTTCTACTCTATAATGCTAGCACTTCACTTTGCTATCCCTGTTTGCTATTTGTTAACTTGACATCAGTCCGCCTTTTCATTCCTTATAAAGCAAGATAAGGACACACTGCTGTCAAGTTTACCAATAGCAAACACGAATAACCTAGTGAAGTGGCGGTATAAGATATTTTGTATCATTTTCGGGATTCAAAATTATTTTTTTAACTTTTTATTATTATTTTCTGAAGTTGTTTTTGAATATCAATACTGTTCTTGTTTTAAGTGAGAACAGGGTATGCAACACGCGAGACATTGCGGATTTACTAAAATACGACCCATAACCGTGTTCTTTACCATTTGAAATAAATAAAAACATTGAGACCTGTGCATTGCAGCAAAGACGTGACAATTCTGGAGGAGCAAGACGACTCGATGTTCAGACAGGACAAGTCACCCTTCGTGCATCTAGCGTACGCGCTCTGGTATGCTGTACTAGCGCACACGGACGTCGTATGCTACCTGATGGTGTTCATAAACCAGGTCTGTGATACGTGCGTACTGATGAGAAAGTATGCTATTAATAATCGAAAAATATATTTTGGAGCTCGATGGCCAGGGGGGTATTTACACTAGAGTCTAGAGAGCCATGGCCCGGGGTGGCAGGTTGTGAAGGGCGGCTGCCAAAGCTGAAGAAGGCAGCAGAAACCATATAAAGGCATTCGTTACTTACCTAAATGTTGATTTGTGAAATCATAAGTGGCCCGAGGTGCCAGATTTTAAAATACGCCTTTGTCGATGGCGCAGTGGTTAGCAATCTGCAATCATTGAAGTGCAGCAACTTGTGTAATGGCCGGGCATGGGATGGTTGATCAAAAAGTTGTTCTTTCGTGCTTTGTTTACATCGTTGGTCCCGTATTTATTGTCGGTAAAAGGGACCTCAGGCCCAAGCTCGAATTTGACAGTCCCGTAATCGTATCGTCAACGTATTTTTTTTATGGATGGAGCCAGTTTGTTCTTACGTCCGGTAGGGGCGCTGATTAGTTTTCATATAAACTTTGACGATGCGATACGATTACGGAGTTGTCAAAATTCGTGCTTGGGCCTCAGTCCACAGTAAGCCAGCGTGGTGAACATTATCCACCCGTTCTCGTGCCGTTCTCCCTATTCCATGGAGGCTAATGAAGATAGTGAGCTCATAAGAGAAGCTAGAGACTGCAGCACTTTAGAGGAAACTCGAGACAAAGAACATTATTGTTACTGAGTAAGGTTGTCAGAACTCTTATTATTGAATGTGGCAGGCACTAACTGCTACGAATGTACGTACATATATACACACATAGTTTTACACCTTGTCAACCATCGTTTATTTTCAATTTTATTCCAGATCCAATCGGCAACTATTCTGTCAATACCTTTACCCCTTATGGTGTTCCTATGGGGGACCCTCACAATACCACGGCCTACAAAAACCTTCTGGGTAACACTCATTGCATACACCGAGGTACATACAATTTCAATAAACATCATTGTTATTTGTAAGTAAAGTTTGTTTTTATGCTGTTTACTTTTATTTCATAAACTTTTCAGGTCATAGTACTAATAAAGAGCATGTTCCAATTTGAGATACTGCCTTGGAACCAGGCAGCTGTACCTGAAAACATGCCTTTCGCGGCGCCTCGTATCATTGGCATAGAGAGGAAATACAACTACGCACTTTACGACTTGTTGTTACTGCTCATCATTTTCTTCCATAGGTAAGGCTTTACAGCACATCATATTTAAGTCGTTAATTTACTAAAGGACATGTTTACAGCGAGTGTTATAATATTCAAGGTTCATGCTGAAATCGCTCGGCTTATGGAAGGAGTCGTCGCCAGAGATCGAACTCCACGAAGACACGGAATACCCGCTGAGTCCCGAAGACACCCAGCTCGTGATCGAAGGCCGAACTGAAGAAGTTGGCCGCAAGTACGTGCAGCTGCACGACCGCACCGGACCGTGAGTCATTCATATAGTTATATCTTGATACCAATGATTCCACACGCCACTCGTGGACCGCTGGTATAGGTAACGGCAAACAAAACCAGAGATAAATAAACCTGCGCAATCTAAGTTTTTGTATGTAAAACTGCTACTGCGCAGGCTTTCTTGTCTATGTTTGTTGCTGGGGTTTGCCGAGGTGTATACCACGTGCAGCAACCAACCAACCCGCGCGTCGCCCTGCTCTTACAACACAGTGAATTGACTATACATTTTAAATGTACAGCTCCTGTAGGCCTATTCGCTAACTGTTTTTGACAGATGTAAGTGTTAATCACCGAACTATTTTGTGATCCACTACTGCTTAATTATAACGCCACTAAGATACTTGTTCTGGAAAGCATTGATGGACATGAATTTTTTTCTCTAGTTACACACTGTAAATGTCAAAAAAGTTAGCGAATAGGCCGGCTGGTCTCAATCCTTTTTGTTAGAAAGTGACAACTCGCCCTATTCAGCCTTCTATCGTGTCTTTTTAGTTAGATAGTATAATATAAGTGATATGCAGTTGTAAAATATAGTAGGTAAGTGTTGACGTCAGACAGTCGCCATCACCGGCTCGTGGACCGCTGGTACCACGTGCAGGAGACCATCGCGACGGCGATGCGGGAGTTGGGCGCGCTCCGACCAAAAAAACAGAGTAGTCAGAGACACTTTGAGACGGGGAAGGCCACACGTCTTGTCTTGTCAGCTAAAATGTGACAGCTCGCCTTATGCAGCCTTTAATACTGGCGCATGCGGCTCAAATAAACTGAGTAGGGACAGACGTGTTTAGACAGGGAAGGCCACGAGTTTTATGTCGTAAACTAAAATGTGACAGCCACAAGAGTCTTTTTCTGTAGGGTAGTGTAAGTGATAGGCAGTCATAAAGTATAGTGGGTAAGTGTTGACGTCAGACAGTCGCCACCGGCTCGTGGACCGCTGGTACCACGTTCAGGAGACCATCACGACGGCGATGCGGGAGCTGGGCGCGCAACGCTCCGACCCGCGCGTCGCCTTGCTTGTTTGGCAGCGGTTACAACACAGGGAATCACAGCGCCAGAGGCACAGGAGACGGTAGACGAACCGTAGCTTGAGAGTAGTTCGTCAAAAGTTTGTGTATTTTTGCAGCGTAGACATAGATAATGAACTGAACATTCATTATCAGCACAGTAAAGCCCCCATTGCAGGATCACAGGCCTTCCAATGGATAAAATAGTGAGAATGCGCCATAATCCACTACGAGGGCGCGTTGGTGCTAACGACCACAGATGCAGTCGGGACTTACGGCTTAATAAATTTGATCACCCATCCGATTACCGGCCTTAGTGAAAGTTACTTTACTTCCAGGATCGTAGACTGGAACACACTTACCGTTTGCTATGAGCTGGCTGTGTGATACCTGTTCGAAATTGACCACCGTCGACAAAAAGAGAAATCGATTTGTAGCCCAAAATCTATATGAACTACTCAGGTCACGATCGCTTCCACTCTCTCACACTTTTGTCTGTGTTTACTTTACTGATGAATTGGGAATGCTCAGTTCATTCCTCTATGTCTATGGTTTGTAGTTAGTTAGTGCGTCGTGAGTTGCAGCGACATAAACGTAAGAGACGGTAGATCATCAAAAATCAAAATTTAAAATATATGTGTGTGTAGATAAAGAATAACTTTTTAACAGTTCGTCAATAGGTTGTTGTAGTTTGATACGCCCCCGTATTGTATAATTTAAACTCATATTGAACCTTATAAGTTGAAATTTTAAATATATTTACAAATACAATTTTGAGAGTTATTAATATACTTATATTTATCTACATTGTTCAATACGGGTATATTTCAAAACCAAAGGTGTCACGCTAGGATAAGTTAAGTAAGTAATCTGAGAGCAGCTATAATAAGTAAAAAGTTTTGTACTTATTTCATTAGTTCAGGCTTAAATAATTTTTGTGAGTTAAAGTTCGTTAATCAAGTTTTTTCGACAACACATACAATTTTTGAAGTGAAAACTTCTTTAGCTGCGTTGTATACTTTTTTGTAATGGGTAAAAAATTTTAAACTCGCGTCAGCACACGTGACCTGATCGAAAATTCGTAAGACGAAAACTTCTTTAGCGGCGTTGTACACTTTTTTTGTAATGGGTAAAAAAATGTTAAACTCGCGTCAGCACACCTGACCTGATCGAAAATTTGTAAGACGGATTCGTAGACAGCCGGCACGGCGTAGAAGAGGAATAATCCCGCTCTCTTTCTACGGCGCGGCGAAAATGTATGCCTGCGCCTGCTGTTTCGTTTAGGCGGCGCAGAGCGCTTGCGCGAATGTTCGTGTGTGTTTATGTTACAGCGTGCCACGCGCATCCATGGATCGTGACAGTAATGGCTCGACCGTCTGTATAGTGGCCACACTGCTGTGTATTCGTAAAATTCGTGTATATAAAATGTTACTGATAGTTAAAACAATTCGTGCAAAATTATTCCCTAACCATTCCAAAATATCAAAAATGCACAACGTAAATATTTAAGTTTCCACTTCTGCCGGCACTCCCGGAGTGCAACCCCTCGTATTTTTTTATTTGTATGTATAATTACCCTTTTGGTTAATTTTTGCCAACTTATTTTTAAAGCATTCGTTAGAGAAATGTAATATTATATAACATAACTACTCGAGATAATTAAGCATATCATTTGGTAACTAGAACAAGAATAAGAAGTGTTTATTATTATCAATAAATATACTGAACTCTCAAATAGACTCTACATCATACCATAAAACTAAATCAACTTACCTAACCTCGACCTATTGTTATTGTTTTATCAATATAATGCAATAAAATTTATCCGGCTTGTATAACATTTTGATTTCATAGATTATGTTATGCAAAATACTTACATCAAAATGTTCATCACAAAATTATTCTTGTATTTGTTGATAAACAATGAATAGGTACCATCCCTCCTTGTAAGTTCTAACCATTTTTTCCTGGCATATAAATAATTTGCCTGGCATTTTATGTTTGTCCTATTACACTAGGACACTATACAGTACTTGTAATACGATGGATTCATTTTTAACTAAATAATTTTAATAGTCGACGTACAGCGTATTGTTTGCTTTGCACGGTGTGACGTCATTCAAGACGCCATGACAGTCTAGAGCGTTTTCGAGGGAAATTTGAATAAGTTTTTTAAAATACAAAATACATATTGCTAATGTACTTTTTTATTTAAAATAATATTTTTTTTTGGGTTAAATAAACATCAAGGTATATGATTAACTACTTTTCAAAATATAGGCAACTAGCCTATTGTATCATATTGTATTTATTTGTATAACACATGTATATTGTGTAAATATGCAGTGTGAATGTGTATCAGGTGCTCTTGAATAATTTGGCAGTATGATCACGTAATATTACCGTGATGTGATCCTCTCAGGATGTTGTGGCACAGGTTCACTAGCACTTGGTAATAAGGTCTCTCCTCTTTGGTAACATCGATGGCATATTAGATAGCGGAAATAGTAATAGTTAAATTAAAGGAATAACAATCGCAAATAAACATACACAACACATAATCCGAACGAGAATTTTCGGTATATAAAAAGTACTCTTTGACGAGAATGCACGAATGCCACAGATTACTACGAATGCAAACTGCTGCACCACAACCACAGAGTATCGAGTTTATGCCGGCCCTTCACTTGACAACAGTTTGTCCTTGTCATGCTTAATAAGGAATGAAAAGGACAGACTGATGTCATGTTTTTAAATAGCAAATACGAATAGCCAGGTGAAGTGCCGGCATTAGGAAGAAAGTGTTTTTTGTTTGCAGCGCTGTCATAGATTATACACATAAAATGGTATTTATTGTCTCAGATTATTTATTAGCTTTTTAATTTAGCTTACTTAACTGGAAGTGTCCGTCACAATCTAAATACTGATAATTATCGAAAAAAATATACTAAGAATTATCATAAATGCCAATATCACCATATTGGTTGGTTCTTAGGCCAACTTTAATATTGTCCTTTTTACTGCCTTAATTTTAGGTGAGAATACTACTAAGGTTTGTTCGTTAAATTATTACGGCAATGACATGTTTAATTTTGTCGCTTGCTTCAAAATCGAAACGGATGACTTGCATTCAGCCTAAATTTGCGTTCGAAGAGTATAATTACGTGATGCAATGAACACCGAAGGAGATGCAGCTATTGGTGGTCGATTGACTATTCTCCCACCGCCGCCATGCACATTGGTAGTCTGCGTCATTATAAACATGAGCAAAAGGCCATGACATTAATGTTCAAAAAAATGTAGATAGATAAAGGTGTTTCAGAGGCGGAATGAATTTAAGTTTGTTTCGTGATTCGGTTTATTAAATATTTTATGTACTTTATAGCGCGGGTATCTACACAGGGTACTGCAATTCCAATTGCACCGAAAAGATGAAAACTGTTGTCGAAATTATTAAGTATTTTTCGTATTTCATTGTAGTAATAAATGTTTAATAACGGTTTTCTCAATTTATGCATAAAATATACAAGTACAGCTATCTAAACAATTACCAACATGAAAAAATAAACTGTTTACTATTTTTATTTGTAAAAAGATTCGTTCAAAATATAAAATGTAACTACACTATTACTACAAACCACAAAATAGCTCTGTTGAAAATTCCAAAGAAGCAGCGGTTTCCAACCTGCATTGAAACGTGTATGTATCATGCGACCAAACTAAATGTAAGGTTTTTTTAATTAAAATTTTCCTAAATATTAAGTACAACACTTATTTCTATTCTGCCCAACTGTGCAACAGTTTATCGGCAGTAGCTCCCACGGATGATTATTTTTGTACTTATCTCACTATATTTATAAATATCAAACGGAAAATATTTAAATGATCCCCAAAAATCAATAAATGATCTACAAACATAGTTGGTAACCTTAAAGTTAGGTTAGGTTAGCCACTGCATGGATGTTCGACGGTGATACAATTGGCGAAATTATGACGTTTTGATTTTACTGGATGGATGGATCATCGTGTCGCTTGTCAAGTAAGGAACGCGCCTGGCTTGAAATTTTTGAAATTCTCTTTGTTTCTTTTTGTGAGGCACATATATATAAATTACGTGATTTTAAACTGTCTTTCATTTTGTTGAAGTAGTTTTTTTTGTTTTGAATTATAAAATAAGTGAGGCGGGTGCGTTCCCTAGTTAGTCTCAAGCCATTCAACAGAACCCGCGGCGAAGTCGTGGTCTAAATCTTGATGAAGCGCTTCTCCTACTATCTCTTAAAAGGAAAGACCAAATTAAGTTCTTATCGCGTATCATACATAAATATTATTCTAAATATTTGCAAATATAAAAGAAACTTGGCCAAAGGAATGCTGAACCATTAAACAAAAGTGAAATTTCACAAAAAACAGTAGAAGCCACAGGTACCTTTTACCAAATAATTAATTTACCTCAATATGTATTACGGCTTTGTTATGTATATCTGTCTATATCCCGAAAGAGAAGAAGATAGAAGTTATCAGTTGAATAATGATTAATATAAGGCAATCATCATCGTCTTCGACGTCCTCATCTAGTTGATTTAAAATTAATCTTCATAATAGGATTTGCTTGTAAGAACTTGATATAGTAGTTTATGTTGAAAATAGTAATGAAAAAATAATATTTTTAGTATGTTATATAATTTGACCCAGATAGGTAGTTAATAATACATTCCAGAGTATTTGGTAATACATATAGGTAATATCAAATACAGTTATCATATATCATCATTATACAGTATAGTAATAATATTTTATCTTATTTGATTTACAGACAAAAGAAGGTCGATGAAAATGGTGCTGTGAGTTTGCCACAAGAGGCCGCTGATAAGTCTGATCGTGAGCAGTATGATTATACGCAAGAGGCGGGGCCATCCAAGGCAGACGACGCCGATTACAAGTAACCTTCATATTTCGTACTTCGTCCGCGTTAACTAAAGTTTTTTGGTAATCCCTCAGGGACTTAACATCTTTTCGGAATAAACAGTATCCTGTCTCCAAGTAATAAACTATATTTGTGCCAAATTCCATCCAAATGCGTTCAGCCGATTTTGCGTGATTGAGAAACAAACATGCAATCTTTCTCATTTATAATATTAGTAAGATTATATGTCATCAGTGTAATAATGTCCTGGTAACGACTGCAGATGCAGCCGGGACCGCTGTCAGCTTAAGGTGCTTTTCGAAGCATTAAGGAGCTCAAAATAGTAAAATTTTGGTTGACCGCCCATTACGCAAGTGGCTTTACTTCTAAGATCGCAGACTGGATGTGCTAGTAGTCGAGCTTCTCAATATATTATACTCAACGATATTAAATACTCTAGATACACCACGTGCGCTCAAAATGTGTCCCAATCAAGAAGTGCTTGAACACGACTCAAGCACTTCTTGATTCACAGTCACGCGCGGACCGTTGAAAAGTCAACATGCCGCTGAGCTGCGTGAAAACAGGAAAGAAATACATAAAGAATGTAAAATGTCGTTTTTTCGACAGGTATCTTATCAATAATTGTTAATTTAACGCATTTGAAGTAAATTTTGTTTTAATACTTACTATAAACTGATTTAATAGAAAATATTTGTGATATCCAAATGCATGGTCGATAATATAGCCGTCTCTTTTCCTCGCGGAACGTACCTGCTATATTACTAATAGCGCATTCAGAATTGCGCGTACCGTCAAAGAAATAAGGTCTATATTCTTCTGCATATAGCATTAAGTCGTAAAATTTTACGAGCTTACATATCAGACTGTCATAACTCTATGACGCGTGCGTTTTAATTAAGACCTTATACAGAATGCTTAAAAGGTGATTTTCAATGTTTAAATAATACCTAATATTGTTTAGACTTCGCGATCATCTTACGGATATCCGTGGATCGTCCAATGTACCTTGTGGACAGGTTTCTAGCATGATTTTGTTCGTGATGGTGTATCTAGGGTATTTAATATGGTCGATTATACTGTAAAATAAAATTGTTACACAATATTACAAACATAAACAAGGTTGAGGAGCTCGATATCGCAAGTGGTTGCCGCGTTCGGCTGCGATGGTTGAAGTTAAGGAACTTTCGCAGTGATCGGTCATTGGATGAGTGACCAAAATTTTACTATCTCGAGCTCGTATGTATTTCGGAAGGCACGTTAAGCCGTTGGTCCCGGCTGCATCTGCAGTCGTTAGCACCCACCATCCGCACTGGGCCCGTGTGTTGGGTTATGGCCCAATCTTCCTATTCCCTTCCATAGAGAAGGCCTGTGCCCCAGCAGTGCGAACATTAATTGGCTGATACTGATGATATCAAACGTCGAATTGAAGCTAAGGGAAACCAATGACCAAAGGAGAAGTCCCATTGGTGCTATCGTTCTTGGTCGGCCATCCACCAAATTTATATCAAAAATCATTTTTTTAATTTTCACAAAACCAATGTTAATTAGCCATAACTTCAACAAACAAATATTCCTATAATAAAATAATAATTTATTCACTTCCATTACGTTTGTATTTTTTAACACTTGTCTCCTCGCCGTTGCCATTTTGTAACAACAGTATCGTTTTATCAAAATATAATCGATTCACTTGTAGTTCATTATAATAATGAGCTAGATTATGTTTATGTCAATTCAATATGCTAAAGACAATGTATTTTCTTTCATTTTCCTTTACGCTGAGTTGACTTTTGATTTGAACCAACCATTTTATAGATAGATAAACGTAAAAAAGAGAAGGGGAAAAATATTCATATATCTAGAGAAAATTTATTTTCATTATTAAATCTACACCTAGGAACCTACAATATAAGGTAAAAATCATACATCATTGTACAAAATGTTTCGTAGCGATACTACAGTCCATACTACGATTGGCATTCTCGTTTGCAAACCAATTTGATACTTTTTTGCAGAATCGTCTGATTTTATAAATATGTTTGCCTGAGCTTCGCGAAACAGAGTACTGAAATAGGGATGTTGTGCACTATTCACTGGGTTGCTAGGATATATTTAACTAAAATGATACAAATTTTAAGAAAACTAAATTAGTCTCATAAATGAACGTCCGATGGCAATTATGTTTATTTCCAGGTTCAATGACGACCAAGAGCCTATGATTGCTGTGACAACGACCTTGGAGAACCCTTATGGTCACTATCCTCAAGTTATAATGTTATCGTAAGTACCTTCTTGTTATCGTAAGTACCTTCTTCCAAATGGCGAATATTAAACATCCTTCAATCACAACTTAATTTTAATTGAATTTGAAATAATGAATAAGCTATTTGACAGTATAAAAAATAATGTACCAATAGGACACTGAACAGTATGAAAAATAAAATACTAATTGTTTGCATCTGTGTTTAATATGAATACTAGCAGCGATTTTACTATTCGGGGAGAAAAAAAAATAATAACTTTTTCAAAAAGTCATTAAATAGAAAGGTTTTTTTTGTTTTATGGTTACGTGACCGAAAACGCCTGGGATTGGCGAAAACTAAATGTCTTCACACACTAGTAAACTTCTGGTCAAAATGACATCATTGTATCGTTTTTACGTTTTAATGACAGTCGTGTGACGTCACATACCAGTGTGATGACATAATGTCCAAAGAATAGTTCTCGCGGCAACTTGGATTTTTCTTTCCCTGACTAAAACATATCCATATTATTTTTATGGACTCCATAAACATTAGTGTAGATAACGTGAGATCGTTTTCTAAAACTTATCAAATACCCTAATTGCAGCGTAAAGCGCTACTTGCGGCCGATGCAGCGGTTTGTCAAGCGGATGTTAGCGCCGGGCGCCCGCGTCACCGCCGACGTGTACGCCTACATGTTCCTCTGCGACTTCTTCAACTTTCTAGTCGTCATATTTGGATTCGCAGCCTTTGGGGTGCGTATAGATAGACCATTATTTTATATATTTAACTAATTGTTTTCAACCATTCATTCATTAATCTTTATTTTTCATTAGAAAACTCCTTTATAATACTCCATTATAATAAACAAAGAATGAAGGTTTCCCGGAATAATGGTCGCCAGGTAGCAGCACTAGACGAAAGGTCTACTTGTCCGTCATATCACGTATTCCTATAGTTTTCATTTTAGTTCCAATACGATTCGATTAATTCGCACCAAAAAATTCATACAAGACCTCTTGTCACAGTGGCGCCAACTGGTGACGTAAATTTTCCTAAACAACCTCACTGTTTAGATTAGCGGCATTATCATTAGCCTATAAATGTCTCCACTGCTGAGGCACGAGCCTTCCTTATGGATGGAATAGGGAGATTGGGCCAAGACCCACCACGTGGACCCAGTGCGGATTGGTGGGTGCTAACGGCTGCAGTGAAGCCGGGACCAATGGCTTAATGTGCATCAAAATACTAGATTTTCCTTATCTAAAGAAAATCATTACTTTTATCAAGTGATACTTGTAATTCGATTAATGGGACAAAAAACTATATAAAGAATCCAAACTTATTTGTTTCCTAATAAAAGGGAAAGGGGTTAATGAAAAATGTAAACAAACGCGCTGGTTTTATCTGAACTGAAATTTGAACAGCGCTACAACGGACGTAACGAGAATTAAAGATCTTCCATACAAAACTTTTTGACATTCGACGCGTATCGAAACCGAATTCAACTATTCGAATTTGATATTGGTTCGTGCTAAGGGTACAATTTTCTTATAGACGCACCAAGGCGACGGCGGCGTTCAAGCCTACTTGGAAGAAAACAAAGTGCCGATCCCGTTCCTTATTATGTTGATACTCCAATTCGCGCTCATTGTGATCGATCGAGCGCTATACTTGCGCAAATTCATGCTCGGCAAGATACTATTCCAATACGCGCTGATCATAGGCGTGCACATATGGATGTTCTTCGTGCTACCATTTATTACTGAAAGGTAAGAACTGTACTTATCAAAAGAGTCTAAGTTTATAATTTTACTTATTTCATTGTTAATAATAAGTAATTTATTAGTGACTAAAGCAAAAACAAATTGTGTGCACGGACCACGCATCTGAAGAACTTCTTTTCTTAAATAACCTAACATTAGACAATGATATATCTAATATATAAAATTCTCGTGTCGCGGTGTTTGTGGTTAAACTCCTCCGAAACGGCTCGACCGCTTTTCGTGGAATTTTATATGCATATTCAGTAGGTCTGAGGATCGGACAACATCTATTTTTCATCCCCCTAAATGTTAAGGGTGGTCCACCTTTTTTTTGACATTTTTTTGTTTTTATTTTTTTATGATACATCATACAAAAATACATACAACCCTAAATTTTCACCCTTTCGACCACCAAACCCTATTTTTTTTATGGCGGTACGAAGTTCGCTGGGACAGCTAGTATGTATATATATAGTCGTGAGACGCTCGTGACGCATTTCCGTTTCATCTTTTCCATAGGATTTTTCCATTTACAGCCCGTCCGAAAAGAAGTTTAACTTGTAAAAAAACTTTGTATAAATTGATAAAACTTAGTTTGCATAAATGATGTATGTTGCTTAGACTCTTTTGATGAGTGTGTATAAATGTGGATTCAAAAATGTTTTTGGCGACAGGGATAAACATCTGTTTTTGTGTTATTTGCTAGAACGTTCAACACTCTACCTCCGCCGCCCATGTGGTACATGGTGAAGTGCATCTACTTACTGCTGTCCGCGTACCAGATACGCTGCGGGTACCCGCGCCGCATCATCGGCAACTTCCTGTGCAAGTCCTACCGCTTCCTCAACATGGTGTTCTTTAGAGGGTGAGTTATTAGAACTATCTGAAAATAGTAAAAATGTCGAAGTCTTGACAATGCAGACTTTACGATGATGATAACAAATGTAGTGTGTTCTAACTGAAATTATTCTTGATTTTGCTCGATGTTTTTGAATAGGTGAACTGTTGCAATGATTTTATATGGTGGAATTTTTACACATATTAGTTAACATTAATTTTCTATTAACAGTACTTCTTTTTCTTTATCTATATAAGATATCTATAAAGATTCAAGGGATAATATTATTTTTAGACTTGCAACGAATATTCGGTTACTATTCGGTATTCGGCCTATTCGGCTGCTTTTATTATATTCGGCCGAATACCGAATACTTAAATAATATATTTTGTCATAGAGAAATAATTGGTAAAATGAAAAATTAAAATCGATTGATTACGTATATATTCATATTTTCATTTCTGTTATATAATCATTTTAGTAGTCATTGGTACATAACACAGGTACATAATCATCTTCTGAATTGGAAAAATGGAGGATACTATGTATTTGAATTATTGTGGTAATCAAAATTTAGAAGGGTAAGGTTCTCATTTCTTATATAATCATTTATTAAGTAGTCATTGGTACATAAAACAGGTACATAATTTAATCATTATCTGTATTAAACAAGTTAACAGTTTTGAATTCATTCAGTCATGTGATGAATGGTTACATAATAGCAATAATTTAAAGTTTACGCGCCGTTTTTGGCCATATCTCAAAAGTTGGTGTCCTGACAAGCGAGTTTAACATTTTTTACCCATTACAAAAAAAGCATACAACGCCGGTAAAGAAGTTTTCACTTCAATTAATAACGGAAAAAAAAAACAAAAAAAACATCTCTAAATCTATAACATTTCGCTGAACATACATGGGGCTCCAGTCGATGGGTATTGTTATCCCCTAGCCACAGACTTTCGCTGGTACAGGTTACCTGGGTCACCCTGTGTGATCTATACAATGATAAATTATTTTCCGCAGTTTCATGGCTGTACCATTCCTCTTCGAACTACGCACTCTCATGGACTGGATTTGGACTGACACCTCGATGACCCTAATGGACTGGCTTAAAATGGAAGATATATTCGCGAGCGTCTTCTTACTAAAGGTAATTTTTAGGGTTACGTACCCCATAAGGAAAAAGCGGAACCCTTAAAGGATGACTTTGTTGTCCGTCCGTCCGTCTGTCAAGACCGGGTTTCTCAGGAACGCGTGGAGGTATCAAACTGAAATTAATATCTAATACTCAGGTCTACTGTTCCTTGGAGCTGTGAAAAAAATCAAACTTCTAAGCCAAAGCAATCAAAAGATACAGCCGATTATGCCGCAACTTTCCGCAAATTTTCGGAACTCCTAGTATGTCGTCTGCTGGGGGTATCGCAATTGGTTCTTTTATACTCGAACACAAAAGCATTTATCCTGTTTACGATGTTATTGTAAGCTATGGTGGACGAACCTTAAAACCAATGAGATTTTGTTATTCAGGATTAATTTTCCGAAAATAAGTCACAACTTAAATGTCTGCTATTGTCAGAAACGGACACACACACACATTTTTGGTGCTGAGGATATATTTTTTTTTTCTTATTGACATTATTAAGTAGAATTTTATTTGACAAATAAGTTTTATGTAAAAACAAGCTACGGTCTCGAAAATTCTGTCTGAACTGAATTTATATTTTGAAGCATCTATATATATAAAAAGCAATTGCTGTTCATTAGTTTCGCTAAAACTCGAGAACGGCTGAACGGATTTATTTTATCTTGTTCATGAAATTGGAAGCTTTAAAAGGTGATAAAATATGGAAAAATTGCGAGGAAGATAGTAAAATCGTCAATTTACTTTTCCCATATAAACTATTCTATCTTCTTTCCTGTCAAACATTTGACGTTAGTCCCTTTTGGTATGGTAGACTCGGGTATGTCATTTCTTCCAAATTATTTTAACCCGTACGAAGTACGCGGGGTCAACTAGTTTAGGTTAAAAATATGTACCTACATTAAGTATGTAATATATAATAATAATATTTTTCACAGTGCTCCCGTTATGTGGAGGACGAGTTTCCCCAACCGCGTGGTGTCAAGAAGTCGAGCACTAGCAAATATCTACTGGGTGGCGGAGTGCTAGCGTTCGTCATAGCAATCATATGGTTCCCGCTTGTGTTCTTCGCGTTCGGCAATACGGTAAGCAGTATGATCTAAGACAGGGGTGGCCGACTTGATTAGACCCAAGATCTATTGAAACCCTGTGCGATCTACTAATACCATACTTCTTGAAATCTTAAATGAAACAGCATAGTTCAGTATACAATTATGTAGTATTTTGTTATTTTATTAAGAGGGCAAACAGAAAAGTGAAGGAGTGCCTTAGTAACTACTTATATTACTGCGCAGAGTCATTATTAAAAGTGGTCCATTTTATCTGTATGTAAATGTATCTGGAAATTTTATAGCCAAATCATAGATATCATCACTATGGAAGAGAGGATAAAGAAGATGCGTACAGCAGTTTGTGATTACGATACGCAGTCTGTTCTACTTATTCATATTTTTTGCCTTGCCACGACCGACTGAAGTAATAGTCGCGATCGACCGGTTCGCCACCCTTGATCTAAGAGAAGCTCGATGGCGCAAGTGGTTAGTGCGTTCGGCTGCGATCATTGGAGTTAAACAACTTACGCAGTGGTCGGTCATTGGATGGGTGACCAAAAATATACTATCTTCTCCGTACTTTGGAAGGTAACTTAAGTCATTGGTCCCGGCTACATCTGCAGTTCTTAGCATCCACCAATCCGCACACGGAAAACGCGGTGGGTCAAGGCCGAATCTCCCGTTTCCATCCATAGGGAAGGTCTGTGCCTCAGCAGTGGGTCATTAATAGGCGGATGACTGATTGAAGTATAAAGACGAGAAATATATAAGAAGCTATGACTAGATAAAAATGCTCCTAATAATCATACAAGCATTTGACTCGTTGGAATTCGAACCCAGGACCTCTGAGCAGGTGACACCTGTTAAACTGATGTACCTATATATCCACTATGGAGATTGTATTTATGCGATACTGTGACTCACAAGGTTCCTTAATAGTCTGTGTTTGTAATATTTCCTTGACACATTTTTTTTTATTTATTTATTTAATCAATTACTATTACAATTTTTCAATATATAGTGCAAACAAAAATCAGAAAGGTTTATTCAACACAGAGTTTTATTGATTTCAAACAGGTCATTTACGATAAGTTACAATAATCAGTCTCCAGTGACTATTCTGATTTCGTTTCATAACAACAGTTGTTATTTTGATCCAAATAATAAAAATATGTGCAATTCCATCAACAAAACTCTAATAGACCTATCTGTTACTGGATTTTTATTTATTGAAACTAGCCGTTAAAGTGTCTATCTAGGTCAAATCGGTTTTATGACTACTTCACAGGTGGGTGAACCCAATCCGCCCACTGATGTAACAGTGAAAATTCGCATCGGACCTTTCCTTCCCGTCTATCAGATGTCGGCGCAATCGCATAACATTGATCTGTAAGTTACAATTCAATCCCTTATCTATATGTATAACTTCAAACGACTCAATCTCTCAATAATGTTCAATAAATTAGATCAAACTAATGGAGAAGTATACGCAAAGCTCGACATAGATGGCGCTGCAAACGCTTGACCCAAACCACAGCCAAATATTGGTACTGTCAAATTTGAAACGTGTTTTTATGTTGTTAAAAATATTAAATAAGTGGTGAAAATGTATTCAACATGGTCTGTAATACAGCTGAAAACAGAGTTGAAAAGGAGAGGAGCACCTGTGCAAGGCAGAAAAGCTGATCTAGTAGAAAGGTACTCTTTCTATTATTATGCTAGAATGCTCATTTTCAGTACATAGATGCATTTTCGTGATTATTTTAATAGTTCATGGACCTGAGTAACTTTTAGCGAGCTCATTAGTCAAATCTATCTTATTTTTGCATCAGTCAGACATCTTATAGAGTTAGTTTTGACAGACGGCATATGACCGGAATTTTAATTTTGGTGCAGTTTTTTCTGATCAAAATGAAGATATCCAGATGCAATTATCTGTCCCAGATACATACACCCCCCCCCCCCCCCCCCTTTCAAAGCAACATATAAAATTATATTTTAGTCGGTAAGCATGCAGTTTTCTCACAACGACCAGGAACTGCACAACTACGCATTTGTATGTTGTTTAATAAAAAGCATAAAAATAAATACAAGCTAATAGGTATGTATTTGATCGAAGTTTTGGGTCAAGCGATTACAGCGCCCCTAGTGGCCAAATTTTGCAGAATTCTTGTCCATTACTACGACATCAGAAGTATGTTTTTGTTGTAACATAAGGTATTAGAATTTTTATTTTCCATCTCATTAAGTATCAAAAAATACATCTAACCTCCCTGAGTATTCCCAAAAAATACCTCGAATTAAATAGAATTACTATCAAGTTCGTTAACAATTATTTTATAAGACTCGAAACATCACCCGTAAAATGCAATATATACTACTAGTGCAAATCTACCTACGCGCCGATCAGTAAAAGTTCTTGAAGGACCTACTATAGAATAAAACAAATATTTGTCGTTCGAAAGGTTCACCGAGCAAGATTACACACAATTAATCAATATGTACGGTCGCGATCGCACGGCGCAGACTTTCCTCTCTAACTACATATACAACGATGTGGCGGTCATCACCATCAACCCCAACTCCACCATGAACTGGGAGATATCACCGCCCGAACTCGACAGGCTCGAAAGGGAGGCTATCTCTGGTAAGTGATATCTTATATCTATCTATCTATCCTCTCCGACTACATATACAACTATGTGGCGGTCATCACGATCAACCCCAACTCCACCATGAACTGGGAGATATCGCCGCCCGAACTCGACAGACTCGAGAGGGAGGCTATCTCTGGTAAGTGATACTTTGTAAACCTCACAGACATATTTTTGTTTTTTTAAGCATTTCAATGCTATGTGTTAAAATCTAAAGAAAATTATACTACAAAAAAAGAAATAGTAGAAGAAATTTGGTACGGTCATTAGGTCATTAGGGTTCAAGTCCCGTCTCCTGCCTGATTCGTGTGGATTTTTATACTAGTATTTTTTTTAAACCTCATATATTTGAAGTATAGTGTGATTAAAACTTTATGTCGGCAGTGAAGTTAGCACAAGTCGTAAACTAAATCTAGGATTATGTTGGTAAGAGCGGGATTGCGCTCGCTGCTAACTTACACATTCAACGAAGTGGAGGTATTCATAACTCGACTCCAGCACCACCATCAACTCGAGGTGAGCTATTTCTGGAGATCGACGCTTTTTATACCTCACAGTCTTGCAACTTTTAAAGCTACATTCCGACAAGAACCAGAGTATCCTTACTTTAATATTTGCAGTGCAGTATATTCATTGCTGTCCCTTTTCTACCACTAGATCAACCGCTTCTAGTGAAGTTTACTTACGTGATAACGCATCCGACGAACGCGGTGCCCAATCCACCGACAATAGAGGACCATCGAGAAGTGTCCATAGAAGCCAAGGTGGATGGTAAACCTAATCCGGAGAGAGAAACTCTACTGAAACTGCTCGCTGGTACAGCACCGCCTGATACTTGGTAAGTTCTATCTACTATATTAAAGCCTTTTATCTTCGATCGTAAAAGTTATAGATACTTCGCAATGCAGAAATTCATTATCTTGAGTTTCGTGCTTCGAAGACACGTTAAACCATTGGTTTCTGCTCCATCTGCAATCGTTGGCACTCACGCATCTGCACAGGACTCGTGTGGTAGGTAATGGCCCAGTCTCCCCTTTCCGTCTATAAAGAAGGCCTGTGCCCCAGCAGTGGAACTTTAATAGGCTGCTAATGATGATTTTTTTTGTAGCATAAGAGATTCTTATTGCATCATTGTTCTATAGATTCATTGTAACTATAAACTTTTTGACGATTTTACTAACTCCTTTAATAGGCTAGTTGACCCTTTTTGGAAAAAGGTTTTAAATGGTTAATTAATGTTCTATTAGACCGAAAAAAAATGTATTGTATTTTTTTTAAACCTAGAAAGCTACAAATCTTTAATTTTAAAATAGACTTTTCATGGACATACAAAAACGCTGTCGGCCATTTTAGTCTATAGATTATCTATGCTATGACGTGAACTGTCGTAAACAAAAACTCGTAAACACGTAGAAAATTACTTTTAACTGAGTTTATAATAAACAAAAACATGATTTCTAATAAATACCACGAAAAATAAAGTAATTATTATTACTGTATTGTACGAGAATATAAAAACACATCCTTGAAGACTCCAGGAAAGTTGTCGATTAAAGTGCCGAAAGAAATTAACCTACGCAACTTTATTACACTTATTCATATGTTGTATCAGTTTTATGTTTATTACTACATTGTAATACTAAATGCACTGTACTTACATAGATGCCTTGTCGTTTCTCTGCTCCGCAGAGCAGAAATCGGGGTTTAGTGCAACAAATTCACCAACCATCAATGCGTCAATTCTTGGCAGATTTGTGCTTTCTGCTTTCACAAAGCCGGCATCCATAATTAGTTTTGTCAAATAAAACTAAGTTTACTGTTTTTTTCTTTCCTAAAGTTAAAAGTGTTTTATGATAAATTTAGTCAGACGAAAGAATCCACCTACAGTAACACGCGAATGACATTTAGTTGTTTACCAGAAGAGACGTCAAAATCATGGCGGATGTGGCGAACAGCGTTTTTAGTGTTTAAAAAATATAGACTAAAAAATATTTTTTAAAATTAAATTTCTACAGCAATCTTCTGCTTTTATGAAGTGAAATCGATATATTAAGGTTCCTTAGACTAAATACTTTAAGAAATAAACATTTATTTAATACAATTTGACATGAGTAAACTAGCCTATTATTTAAACGCCTAGATAGAGCAGTCCAAATAAATCACTCAAAGAGTTTTCTTTGAAACATATTTTTTTGAACAAGAGTTTTCTTTCACATTGCGCGAAACATGAGCCGTTTGGCTCATGTTTCGCGCAATGTGTGCGTGACTCTAATTTCAGATTGTTCTAATGCAGTCAATGTGTGCGTGTGTAGCGTCGAGCACATCTACCATATATAGTAGATAATTATTGTGTCGCTTCCGTGCAATTAATACGGTATCTAGGGTGTATAAAATAAAAGCTCACTCCGAACAAAAACGGCCTATAATAGCATTTGAACTGATTAAAATATCGCTATAATCTCAATAAGTAGGTATATTCAAAGATGCTATTTTAAGCTAAGGATCTTCTCAGGATCAAAATTGACGGTGTAACAAATCAATATCTTCATAGGTTGAACGTGCGCATGCTCTTTCCGAAGTTCGTGAAGGTTTTCAACAAGGGCACCGCTAAACCAGCTTACCAATTAATGCCCCAGTTAATACCTGATGGAGGTAAGTGATTAAAGACACATAATGGACCAAATACACCTAACTTAACCTAACCAAAACGAAAATATCCGAATACGGGCGTACTCGACTCCATTCATTTACATTTAGTCGTTTACCCGAATTCCATTGGCCCTCGTATTCGGACTAACGACCAAATGTAATCGCGCCATTAGATTATTTTAATTTATATTTTATGTGAACTTATACATTAGGGATTATATGGGTATCCGTTGCTGTAACCGAAACATTTGAATATCCATTATAAAACATTTTAACTCCTGTACAAAGGGGCCGTTCAAGTATTACGTAAGCAGATTTATTACAATTATTTACCCCCCCGTCCACCCTTGTCAGCAAAAGTAACCAAAGCTCTTAACCCCCTATGCTTACGTAAACATTGGTACCCACAATATTTTTTCATCCCCGAAACCCCGAAAATGTGTTTCGTTTTCAAGTGTAGACAATGCGCGGGTTGCCATTTGTGTAAAAAAATAAATAACTATTGCTGACGTAATCACCATCTAGACTCCGCCAGACCCCCATGTCATCAAAAATAAGTAAAGCATAAACCCCTCCCCTAACCCTGTAGTGCTTACGTAATACTTGAACGGCCTAATATCAGACAAAAAGTTTCTTTTTAGGGTTCCGTACCTCAAAAGGAAAAAACGGACCCTTATAGGATTACTTTGTTGTCCGTCAGTCCGTCTGTCAAGACCGTTTTTCTCAGGAACGCGTGGAGGTATCAAACTGAAATTCATATCTAATACTCAGGTCTACTGTCTCTTGGATCTGTGAATAAATCAAACTTCTAAGCCAAAGCAATCAAAAGATACAGCCGTTTATGCCGCAAATTTTCGAAAATCGCACGGGATCAAAACCTACAGGGTACTTTCCGTGAACTTAGAATCTTGAAATTTGGTACGAAGTAACGTCTTATAGTACAGATATAGGAAAAATTGAAATAGGGCCGGTTTTTTTAAATGCATATGACAACATTTCACAATTCTGATTAAAAGTTCGTTTAAAAAAATGTACAGGAGTTAAAATTATTTTACTTTTGCCCCATTTTGTAGATCTATTGTGCTTAATGTAAGCATTTATTTGTATAGGCCCGGACAGCCGATTGTACCGAGACGTACAATTGAGATTGGAGCGCGACGGCGACACCAAATACTGGCGTGTACGAGAATCGTGTTCGCCAAAGGTATAACCTAATATTGATTTATTTAACGCCACATTCGATAAGCTCGATGGCGCAAGTGGTTAGCGCGATCGGCTGCGATCGTTGAAGTTAAGCAACTTTCGCAGTGGTCGGTCACTGGATGGGTGACCAAAAATTTACTATCTAGTGCTCCTCCGTGCTTCGGAAGGCACGTTAAGCCGTTGACCCCGGCTTCATCTGCAGTCGTTAGCAGCCCCAATCCGCACTGGGCCCGCGTGGTGGGTCATGGCCCAATCTCCCTATTCCATCTATAGGGAAGGCCTGTGCCCCAGCAGTGGGGACATTAATAGGCTGATGATGATGATGATGATTTATTTAATGATGAGAAAATATGTACCCAGATTTTTTCAGAATGTGAAGATTTGATAAAGAGACGTTCTGTTGTACGACCACCTGAGAGTTGGACGTTTTGCTATTCAGAAATCAGAAATCAATATATCTTTATTCAAATTTTTTTCCCTACCACTCGTTATGGACATATTTTTTAGCTGCGGAGAAAAACGAGCGAAAAAAACTCCACAACATTAAAAGTCTAATGCAGCTATACTCTAAGTGTGTTCCGCGGAACCCTAGGGTTCCGTGATACCTCTGTCGGGGTTCCGCAAGAATTTAGAAATAAAAAAATCAAAACACCTCTCTCTGGTCGCTCCGCGGCTGTGCGGACTCCGCGGCCGCGCGGAGACAAAACGCTATGAATGTTATTTATTTATTTATTTGTATTTGTATAAGCTTGTGTTACATTAGCTGGTACAATATCTCATAAGTTTGGTCTCAACAATTTTATACTTGTACAACGCGTTCGCTCTAAGTTTGCCGGTCTGTGGAATGCGCGTACCCTCCCCCACGTGACAACAAAACTTATAATGTGTCATAGTTTTACCCAAATATCTAACGTACACAATTTTTATTGTTACAATTAAATAAAAAATTTCGAACGTCATACACTCATACCTATCGCCAGCGGCAAACTTAAAACGAGCGGGTAGTATACTTGTAAGCGCTCAGTCTCTTTGATAAAAGCCGCCTCTGAATTAGACGCTATAGTTGTCAACTAGCGACTTTCGTCTCTAACTTCAAAGGATAAAGTCGATATTGTTTACAACGCTATTTTTAAATTTCTGTTTTTATTTTTGCTTTTTGTTTATCAAAGGTGCCGACTCGAGTATTTTCGAGAATATTTGAGATCGAGTCTAGGACTAAGTATAAAAGCGGCGATCGCGCGTTGGCGTCGTCAGTTGATGATTAGCGTTCGGAGCGATAAGTTACTACCTACTTACAAGCTCGCTAGCGAGAAACTGGTGTTCATTGTTTTACTGCCTGCTGTATTCTGTTGTCTCAGTTTTATACATTTCTTCCCTGTAGGTTCTAAATTTAGTCTCTTATACGCAGTAACGATTGTGCATTATTTAAACCCCACTATCCTGACTTGTAACATTATAAATAAAGAAGAATGGAACGTTGGCTTAAAGGTGTTAAACGTGTTCCAACAACATCTTCTAATGACGCTGAATGTTCAAAAGCAATGCGCGCGGAGAATTTAGCAATCACCGATCCAGAAGATGATGCCACGAGTGCCACGACGTCAAGCTCGACGGTTTCAAAGACGAAAAAAAGGAAGTATGATGAATCTTATATCAGTTTCGGATTTGTTGATTCCAACGGCTCACCTCTCTGCATGCTCTGTAGTAAACTGCTTCCTAATAGTTCCATGGCACCTGCCAAATTGCGTCGACATTTAGAAACCGTACACCCCGAGACTAAAGACAAGAATAAAGAATTTTTTGTTCGCAAAAAAGATCAGTTATTAGAAAGTCAAAAAAATATGATGCATGTAACACAAACTACCAACGAAAAGGCCACGGAGGCATCATACTTAGTTAGCTATCGCATTGCACAAGCAGGTGAAGCGCACACTATCGCTGAGAAATTAATAAAACCATGTGTATTAGACATAACAAAATGTATGCTTGATGAAAAATCTGCAAAGCATCTTTCTACTGTTCCGCTATCAAACGATACTGTTTCACGACGAATCCATGATCTGGCAAGCTACGTCAAACAAGAACTAGTTACACGTCTACAAAATACACGATTCGCTTTGCAAATGGACGAGTCGACTGATGTCGCTGGTTTGGCTATCCTGCTGGTTATTGTGAGATATCCATATAAAAGTTCTTTTGAAGAAGACATGCTTATGTGTTCATCGCTGCTTACAAACACTACCGGGGAAGAAATTTTTAATAAAATAAATATATTTTTTGAAGAACATAATCTCAGTTGGAACAATTGCATTGACATTTGTACAGATGGGGCCAAGGCGATGACAGGTAAAACAGCAGGAGCAGTGTCACGAATGAAAAATAAAGCGCCTAATTGTAGTTCCAGTCATTGTATTCTGCATAGACAAGCACTTGCGATGAAGCAAATGCCGTCTAATCTAAAATTAGTTATGGATGAAGCGGTAAAAATAATTAATTTTATCAAATCACGACCACTACAATCCCGATTGTTCTCATTATTGTGTGAAGATTATGGCAGCAAACATAAAACACTGCTGCTCCATACAGAAGTGCGATGGCTGTCTCGGGGAAAAACTTTAACAAGGCTATTTGAACTTAGAGCCGAGTTACAAATGTTTCTTTCAGCAGATACTTCTTTTAATTTGAAGGACCGTTTGTATGATAAAACTTGGTTGTTCCGATTGTCTTTTATGGCGGATATCTTTCAAAAACTTAACGAATTAAATTTATCATTGCAAGGTAAACAGACAACAGTGTTTCAGGCCTATAATAAAATAACTACTTTTAAAAGAAAATTAGATTTTTGGATCATTTGCATTGGTAAGAAAGAAATAGAAAGTTTTACGTTACTCACTGAGTTTGTTAGCGAAAACGACTCAGAAATGTTTGAAGATAATGTGTTTGAAGAATTGGTCCAATATCTCAGTTCGATGCGCGCATCTTTTGAAAAGTATTTTCCCGAAGAACACAATACAAAAATTAAAGTGAACTCCTGGATTCATAATCCTTTTTTACCCAACTTGGAAAAGCCTGAAAACATGTCAAATGAGATATATGAATCTCTTTTAGAAATGTCATCAGACACAAGTATGGAGTCATTGTTCAAAACGACGCCTCTTAATGATTTTTGGTGCAGAATCCAAGATGAATATGCAATGCTTGGCCAAATGGCTCTGGATATTCTTCTCCCGTTCCCAACTACATATTTGTGCGAAACAGGATTCTCTACCTACGCAGCCACGAAAACAAAATATCGCAATAGACTGGACGCCGAAGCTGATATGAGACTCCAACTTTCTTCCATCAAACCTGATATCAAGCAATTGATGAAAAATAAAAAACAGTTTCATACCTCCCACTAGTTAGATTTTTTCTTTTTTAATGTTTTCTATTATTGTCCTTACCAAGTGGTGAAGTAAATAATAATTAGTAACGGATACATTGTACTTTTATTATGCTGATTAATATAGAATACACTTATAAAAATAATTGTTTTATTGTAGGGTTCCATCAAGTATTTTGCTTCCCAAAAGGGTTCCGTCATTTAAAAAGTTTGAGAACCACTGGTCTAATGTAACAACATTTACAAATCATTATGTTGTTACAACGTCAATACAATTATGATTTATTTAATATAGAAAACCTGTTGGAATGATTGGAACAGTTCAAACACAAGCATTTTTGTCTGTAATATAATCGAGACACTTTGTAATAAGCTTTTTTAATAAGTGTTTTTTTATAATATCTTTAAATTTATTTATGGCTAACTCTTGGATATTGCTTGGGACTTTATTGTATAAGCGAACACAAAGACCTTTAAATGAATTATTAATTTTGTGAAGCCTAGAAGCAGGTAAAGTTAGTTTATTTTTGTTTCTTGTATTAATTGTGTGAACATCACTGTTTTTAAGAAACAAATTAATATTTTTTCTTACAAGTAATAAATTTTCGTATATATGTATTGTGATGCGACCGTCATTATTCCAAATTCTTTAAATTTATCTCTTAATGATTCTTTAACTTTAAGATTATAAATTGATCAAATAGTTCTCTTCTGCAGCACAAAAATAGTTTGAATGTCGGAGGCATTTCCGCACAGTAAAATTCCGTACGACATTACACTATGGAAATAACTAAAGTACACTAATCTGGCCGTATCTACATCCGTTAACTGGCGTATATTCATTACGGCATATGCTGCATTTATCAAAATATGTGGGCCCCATTGAAGCCTAATTAGACCTCAAGTACCCTAACCACGAAGTTTGGCAAATTCGTATTTGTATCGCCGACGTCAAAGTCTCTATGGAAATTAAGCAGCGCCGGAGGGGTACCGGACGTTAGCTTTTCCCATAAAAACTTTGCAATGACGATACGAATACTTTCTCGCGAGTTGTTGGTGATTGGGGTACAGTAAGTACCCTTAGCACGAACCAATATCGAATTCGAATAGTTGGCGAGTGCGAAATGTCGTTGTCAAATGTGTACTGAATTTAAGTTCTCGTTACGTCCGTTATGGCGCTGCTGTTCAAGTTTCCATACAAAATTTGACAATGAGATTTCACACTCGCAAACTATTCGTTACGTTACGAACACGGAGCACCCCCACTAGAGTCCGCATCACACAAATTTTGTTTGGAATCAAAATCGCCAAAGTCGGCGGCGTGCAGGGAGGTCAGCCCCGTTGTGATTGGACGCGTCAAAGTCAGATCATATACTCAGTGCAGCGAAGTGATGAGGGTAAGATCGATTTTCGAAAATATCGATAATTCCTATTGATAAACAATTTAGTATAGGGGCCTAGTACTTTGGTGCGTTCTAATTACATGAGGCGACCAGTAACTACTAACAAAATAATATATAAGCAACACAAAAGAACACATGACAAATATATAGATAGACAATAATATGAAGTTTTTGATAATTTTTAAAACTTAAAGCGCCTTACTCATCGGGTCAGTACGGGTTCATTTTGTTTTGTTTGCGGGAGTGACAGGATGGGTGAGTCGAATGATTCGGTAGCATTCGGAAAGCTAAGTATCCGCTCGGTGAAGATCTGTATGGGAACCACTTAGTGAGAAAGCTCTCACTTAATTTTATGCACTCGGAAAGAATCTGTTCAGATTCGGTACAGAATCGAAAACAAAACAAACTCGCACCGACCCGAAGATAAAGGCCCCTTAATTATTATTTTATGGTACTTAGGACAATAAAGAAATTTAGTAAAACCCATTTTTACGAAGATGTACTATTTATATTTAAATACATTATATTTTTGTTTATACAAAAATATAACATAATTTTCTGTACTTATGTACAGATATAACATAATTTTCTGTACTTATGTACAGAAAATTATAACAATTCACCTTAGATTAAATCAAAATGGGAAGATATCAAAAAGAGACCCCGACCACACGGAAACGCGTCTCAAAAATGAGCCTTTTAAATTAGCTGCATGCACACAATTCGCTGTAGTCGCAATTTGTCAAAAAGTATCGCGTATATTTTTTACTTGTTAAAAAGTTAAGCGGATAAAGATAAAATAATGCCTTCGACGATTTTAGAAAGTACACAAATAGTTCACAGTAGTTCATAAATAGCACAAATAGTTCGATTTATATATTTAAGTTATTAATTTTATTTTTTAAGGATTTTAGTTTTAGGATTTAGTATCATTGTTCTAGTTCGATTTTAATATCGACGGCATTTTCTAACAATAAAATTCCATATGACATTACACTACGGCAAAAAATTTACTAAGCTGGCGGTATTTACATTCGTTAAGTGACCTTTCTTCATTATGTTACGTTATATGTTGCAGAGCTAAGTTTATTTGACAATTTAACAACATGTGAATCTATTAAAGCTTAGAATCCAGAGAATTCCCTAAGAAAACTGTGGTATCTACAAGGTCATATTCTTAACCTTTATATTCACACTGATGTTTACCCGTTTAATATTAACCCGCAATACAAAATTTTAACATTTAGTTTTTCCTTCATTAGGTAGTTGATTATTGACATTGAACCAGTGGACTACCTTAGAGATATAATTGTTCACGTTGTCAAGAACTGTTTGCTTATGGTCGAGTATCTTGTGGGTTTTTCTTGTTTACATTAAAAATAAAAAGGACCAAGGCTTGAAGTCTGCGTAATTCCTATCACAACCGACTAACCCTGAACTTTTTGCCATTGATATCAACACACTGAACCCTATCGCTCCAGTACGGTGTAATAAAATCCAGATTGGTATCTCTTTATCGTTTCTTAAGTGATGTTTTATGAAAATAGCAATCAAAACCCTGAGACAAGTCGCTAGACACACGTAGAAGTGGGTAATGGAGTTATATTACTGTATTTCAAGAGGTCATGTCTTATAATGCATTATTTAAACATTGAAAGTCACCTTTAATGCATACTTTATAAGGTCTTAATTAAAACGCATGCGTCAAAGACTTATGACATTTCGAAATGCAAGGTCGTAAAATTTTGCGGAAGAATATAGAGGTTATATTTTTGATTTTCGCGCGCAATTCTAAATGCGCTGTTAGCAATGTAGCTGGTACAGACCGCGAAGAAAAGAGACGGCTATACGGCGACGTATTCGTATAACCGACCATGCATTTGAATATAACAAATATTTTATATTCAATCAGTTTATAGTAAGTATTACAACAATAAAATTTGCTTCAAATACGTTAAATAAAAAAAAACATTAAATAGATACCTGTCGCAAAAACGACACTTTACGTACTATTAGTATTTTTTCCGCATTTTTTCACGGAGCTTTGCGGCATCTTGACTTTTCAGCGGTCCGCGCGTGACTGTGAACCAAGAAGTACTTGAGAGGAGCTCAAGCACTTCTTGATTGGGACACATTTTGAGCGCTCATGGTGTATCTAGAGTATTTAATATCTTTAATTCTATGTTTTTATCTAGGTCCAAAAACTATGCGCATTTAATTTCATATAAATCCGTTTAACCGTTTTAGCGTGAAAGAGTAACAAATATCCATACAAATTTTCGCGTTTTCAAATTTTAGTAGGATATGTTTGAAATCAAATAAAAACTGTTGGTTGTATGTATTGATGTATACTCATGGCATCTGTTATTGTATACGATGAAATAAATAGTTTTTAATGTTTTTATTTATTTTTTCCATTTCCATAGCTGACAAACTTATCGATAAACTTACGGGTTGGGACATGAGCTGCGTCTGCGTCACTAGCAATACACGTGCCGGTGTGAGACCGGGATAGCATATATGATGTAGCGCATGCGATAAAGGGACAATGTACAAAGACATCAACGCGTTCACCAAAAAATGAATACAATTAACAGCAATTTAATATAAGAGTATTTTTGTCTTTTTGTAATGTATTTAAACTTACCGGTGAAAAGTAATACCATATTTTTGAAGACTGAAAGTTTGACTCCACTTTCCACACAATTGAATTGCATAGTACGGATTTTTTTACAGTTTTTTAACACGAAAACGAAAGAAGCAGTTCGACCGACGCTCGGTTACCAAATAAAATGATGTATCGCGACGTCTGTGGGCGTGCCTCATGCATAGGTAAAATACTACTTAAGCTTGGCGTAAGCGCTTGCCTTGTGTGCGGACTCTAGTGGGGGTGCTCCATGGTTACGAATTCGTAACGTTTGCGAATACGAAATGTCATTGTCAATTTTTGTATGGAGATTTAAAAATCAGTACAATCAGTATTTCACGTATATCTACTTCGAATTCAACTATTCGAATTTGATAATGATTCGTGCTAAGGGAACAATATTTATTGAAGATTTAGTCAAAGAACTCCACCTCATCAGTCTAATAAATTAAAAAAGTGACTAATCTCCATAAAAATATTAAATTTTTATAACTACAATGAATATAACTTATGTTTTTTATTGCAGGACCCTTTGGAGCAGATTCCAATGAATAGTTGCAATATGCTGATAATGTACACGTTCAACGACAAACTATTTCCGGAGACTCTCAACTTTATATCTGGAAGTGGGTTAGTATAACTAATTTTTCAAGTGACATTAATTAAAGTTGGATTTTTCATTTTTGAAAACACATGTTACACACCTTTTCGGTTAGTTAAAGTTGAAATTACACTATCACTATTCTCTGTTAAAATGAAGACAGAGATAGCTTTAGGTTTAAACCAGTACGCTTAGCACGAACCAAGATCGAATTCGATCTCGATATGCGAAAAATGTCAAGAAGTTTTGTATGGAAGATTTTTAGTTCTCGTTACGCCCGTTGTGGCGCTGTTTAAATTTCCATACAAAAGTTCTTGACGTTTTTCGCGTATCGAGATCGATAACAAACTATTCGAATTCGATATTGGTTTTGGTTCGTGCTAAGGGTATCATTTCTTCTCATGGCAGGTTAGATATTCTTGATGTATATTTCCATATAAATATACATACCTACAGATACCAGTGTCTCGGGAGTCTAATGATAATTATTTTGGTCCTTAATGATGGCGCAAGTGGGAAGCGGGGTCGGCCGCAATAGTTGAAGTTATGCAACTTCCGCAGTGGTCGGTCATTGGATGGGTAACCAAAATTTTACTATCTCAAGGTCTTCCATGCTTCGGTAGGCACGTTCAGCCGTTGGTCCCGGCTGCATCTGCAACCCATCAGTCCGCACTGTGCCCGCGTGATGGATCATGGCCCATCTCCCTATTCCATCCATAGGGAAGGTCTGTGCCCCAGCAGTAGGGACATTAATAGGCTGATGATGGTCCTTAAAATGTTGTTAATGACTTGCCGTCATTTGTTTTACGTTCGACGACCTCCGTAGCCGAGTGGTTTGTCCACCAGGTTTCATGATGTCGCCGACTCCAGAAGTCCCGGGTTCGAATCCCGGTGGGGGCAGATGTTTGTGTGATGAATACGAGCATTTGTACTCTAGTCATGGGTGGGTAATTTGTATTTTTATATAAATATACTTATTACCCCAGGTGTCCCATAACACAAACCTATAGTTCTTACTTTGGGGCTTAGACTAATTGGTGTGAGTGTTAGAATTATTTATTTATTATTTTATTTACTCGGTGGTTAGAATCATCGGGCTGTACACAACGTTTGTGTTCCTGGCGTCACGCGTGTTGCGAGGCTTCTTCTCCGGGATTTACACCAAGATCATGTTCGATGACTTGCCCAATGTGGACCGAGTACTTCAACTGTGCCTCGACATTTACCTGGTATGTATTATCATTTTTATGGAAAAATGTAGGACACTTGTAAAATAAAAACTAAGAAAACTTGTTAGACTTTCACAGCGACGAAAACCTAGAAATACTTAAATACATATTATATTTAAAGGAGGAGCTCGATGGCGCGGGGGGTTAACGCGTTCGGCTGCGATCGTTGAAGTTAAGCAATTTTTGCAGTGGTCGATCATTGGATGGGTGACCAACATTCTATCTCGATTTCCTCCGTGCTTCGGAAGGACGTTAAGCCATTGGTCCCGGCTGCATCTGCAGTCATGGCCCAATCTCCCTATTCCATCCATAGGGAAGGCCTGTGCCCCAGCAGTGGGGACATTAATAAAATGATGATATATATAAACATCAGTAACAAGAAAACGCACGTGTTCATTAACCAACCATTTTTCCTTTCCGGAATCCCAATCTAAGGCCGTTATGGGGTGCAGTTATGATCACACTGCAAAATCAATTTTCGGTCTTTGTTATGTTACGAAAGTTAAAAGTGGATATTTTTTAGATTTTTACGTCCCATCTGTGCCTCTGAAATGTTGCAAACCTATGTACAAAATAATGTTATTTTTTGCAGGTACGCGAGGCTCTTGAACTGGCATTAGAGGAAGACTTATTCGCGAAATTGGTGTTCCTATATAGGTCTCCCGAAACTATGATAAAATGGAGTAGAGCGAAAGAAGAAAACGAAGATCAAAGGGCACTGCCACCGTCGCGCTGAAATAATTGAAATTTTAAACTCAAAATGATGAATATGTTCCTTAAAATATAGCCTCGAGCCTTTTTTTGAACAAGAATTGAATTCAAAAAATGCCCATAAACGAAACGAGACGAACGAAATAAAAAATGCACTCAAAAGTACAAGCTAGTCGAGCCTTCGGTTTGTTAACCAAAAATTAACGTCCTCCTTAGTCATGAATAACTGCATATTTAACATCGTATTATGTACTGGCAGATTTATTAGATAAGTAAGTTGTACAGATATTATTTTAAGAATAACTGCGACACTATATTTATTAAATTTGCAAATTGAAATTGGGATATAACAACTTAATGTTAGAATACACTTTCAGAAGGTAGCGCACAATTTATGGGTTGTTTGGATTATGTGCTTTTGTATTTTGTTTGTATATTGAGTGAAATGAATCATGTGAAGAGTAAATCAATTTGATACTCTAGCAAATATACTCTTGTCTTAGCTTATATAAACACTTTCTAAATTCCTCGAATTCTAAGGTGAACAATGTACCAGCCGTAACCGCGAGTGCTAACGACTGCAGATGCAACCGGGACCAACGGCTAATGTGCCTTCCGAAGCACGGAGGAACTCGAGATAGAGGATTCTTGGTCACCCATCCAATGACCGACCACTGCGAAAGTTGCTTAACTTCAATGATCGCAGCCGAACGCGCTAACCATCTGCGCCATCGAGCTCCTCCTTTATGCCTATGCAAAGTAACATCCACCGAGCAAGTAATCTATAGTAACATCCGCGCGTTACCATCGCCGTCCACCGCAGTTCGCCGCTAGTGCATTGTTCACCTAATGGAACTAAATTATAAGTAAATGTATTGCGAGTGATTATTGTAATTACCAGCACGCTCTCTTATTGATCAGTTAGATCTGCTGTAAGGCTCTTAAATAGGTAGTTTAGTTACGTTAGAAATATCCTAAAAATGATTTATGAAAATTAAATTCGTTTTACAAAATAAAATCAAATTTTAGTTAATTTTAATTTAAGTGCTTAATGAAAGATTATATTGTTAGAAAATTGATGAATGTCATTTGTAAAGAAATGGAAAATGATAACTGTTGTAAACTTGTTGAAACCATATTCATCAAGGTTTTACTTAAATCTACTACCTATGCTTAATTTATTTTTGTTATCACAACATATTTTCAAGTTACTCACTTCCATATTTTATTGAATGTTGCACTTTGTATACTTTTATATTACATTGAACATTTCCATTAAATATTCAATAAAATATACCTCAGTCTTGAATTGCATTTGATAAAGGTATTTATAAATTATGAAGTAAGTTATACACTTTTGTATCATTGTTATGTTTTAAGCTGCATTTATATGTTGTCAATTTGTGATAATAAAAGTCATATGAAGTTAATATGTGTTTTATTGTTTTGAAAAGATTCACAAATATATAATATCTTACATAATACTAAAAACAAAGAACTTAACTAACTACCATAAGCCTTGGTGCAATGTTCATAGACATTAACTCTTGGAATAGCAATTTGGCAGCATATGGTAGTCGGATTTGAGATATTTGAGTTTTATTCTTACAGCCTTTACATTCAAATGTATTATTTCTCAGATTGGCAATAGCTATCAAGCCACAGAAATTACAAACATGTATTCTGTATGGGTCTGATACTTCAAACAGTCTCTCTCTCAAAAACTGGGCAGCTCCATGAGCAATTTGACAATCTCGTTCCATTTCACCAAAACGTAATCCACCATCTCTGGCCCTACCTTCCATGGGTTGGCGAACCAGAATCTGCACTGGTCCTCTTGCTCTGGAGTGAATTTTGTCATCCACCATATGTTTCAGACGTTGATAATATGTGGGACCCAGAAAAACTTGAGCATTTATTTTTCGTCCAGTATGCCCATTATACATCACTTCATTACCACGTAAATGGTAGCCATATTCTTGTAAAAGTGAGGAGATTTTCTGCACATTTACTGCATCGTTAAATGGTGTAGCATCACCTATTTCACCTTTATTTGAGGAGACCTTACCTTGAATACATTCAATCAAGTGACCAATTGTCATACGAGAGGGGATAGCATGTGGATTGATGATAATATCTGGTGTCAATCCTTCACAAGTGAAAGGCATATCTTCTTGCCTATATTGAATACCACAAGTCCCTTTTTGACCATGACGAGAAGCAAATTTGTCTCCAATTTGTGGGATTCTCACAGATCTCACACGTATTTTACAAAATTTGTATCCTTCGCTGTTAAGTGTAAGCATAACTTGGTCAACAATACCAGTTTCACTGTTTCGCAAGAATGTAGAGGCATCTCTCTTACTGTATCGTCTTGATGTTCCTTCCAGCTCATCATCGTTTTCTGGCAAAGTTATAGTTTTTCCAATGACTACATCGTCACCAGATACACGAATCCCTGGTGCAATTATACCATCATCATCCAATTTGTCATACAAAGCATTTCTCATTCCTTGACATGTTTGTCTTGTTGGTTTCTCAAATTGTTCTTCCTGGTCTCCAATTCTTTTAGACTCTGAGTCTTTATAAGAACGGTAAAACACAGATCTGAAAAATCCTCTCTCAACAGCTGAAGCATTTAAAATGACACTGTCTTCTTGATTGTATCCAGTGTAACATAAAATAGCAACAATGGAATTAATGCCAGCAGGCAATTCTCTGAATCGTAAATATTCCATTGAACGGGTAGTTACAAGTGGCTTATGTGGATAGTACAGCACATGAGCCAGGGTGTCCATTCTTACATGGAAGTTAGTGATATAAACTCCCATGGCTTGTTTACCCATAGCACTCTGGTAAGTATTTCTGGGACTTTGATTGTGATCAGGGAAAGGAATAATGGAAGCACAAACACCCAATATCATAGCAGGATGAATTTCACAATGTGTGTAAGTAGTGCAATAAGCATACTCTTTTACTTGAGCTAAATCATCAGGACTCATGGCAATCATCACAGTCTCTTCTTCTAAAGTATCAATATATTCAACAACTCCACTTGCCACCAAATTTTGCCAACCATAGTTATTATAATCTCTTTCTTTTAAATTATCAATATGTTTCTTTTTTAATAATAAAGCCCCATTTTCAACAATCAATAATGGGCGACAAATACGACCAGCATCTGTGTAAATCCTGATTTCTCTATCTCTAATGTCACGAATCATGCTTACTTCTGACACAATGATGTCCATCTGGCGTCTCAGTTTACGTAAGGTTGCCATCAACTGTTCAGGATCACGATGAATACCCACCCAACATCCATTCACAAATATTTTTGTGGCATCCGCAATAGCAGAAGGTGCTATTTCTTCCAGATTTTCCATAGACCATTCTTCTAAGAACTCTAAAATAGGTGAAGGTTGACTTCCAACAGATATATAAGCCATCAGAGCCAAATTTTTTACAAGACCTACAGCAGCACCTTCCGGCGTCTCAGCTGGACAGATCATTCCCCACAGTGTATTGTGCAACTGACGTGGCTTAGCTAGTTTTCCATCACGTCCAATAGGAGAGTTGACACGGCGTAAATGTGACAGGGTTGAAGCAAATGTCAATCTATTCAATACCTGCGATACACCAGCTCTTGCTTGATGAGCTTTCTTTTGGTCACCCCAATTGCCTGTAGCAAGGGAATACCTTAGGCCATCTGTAATTATTTTAGTTTTTATAGCTAATTCTAAGTTAAAATCTTTTCCTCTGTCAATGAACTTTTGTGCATACATTCTCACTTCCTTCAGTAGGTTCTTAAACAGCCCTCTAAACAGGAAAGCTAATAGAGGTCCTGCCAAGTCAAGTCTCTTGTTACCATAATGATCTCTGTCATCTAATTCACGGCGTCCTAATGCAGCAAGTAGTAATCTGTGCACCATATATCCCAAAAAGTAGGTCTTCTTAGTCTCACAAAAGTCAGATACACCAACATGTGGCAGCATTTCTTTTTGTAAAATTTCTCTTGCATATTTAATACGCTTCTCCTTAGTGACACCAGGTCGTGCCCCACGGGCTCCAATAAAATTAAGAGCTACATTTTGCTCTTGGATAACAAAAGCTTCATCAAGAGATGGTTTGACCATCTCCATCATTTCTGGATCATCAAAGTCATAGATAATATGTTCCAAAATATCTCTATCTGCTACAAAACCAAGAGCTCTAAAAACAATCATAATTGGTATTTCTTGTTTGATGTATGGAACAATAGCAATAATTCTCTGACCAATAGCAGACTTCTTGATACTCTGCCCTCCTCTTGCCATCATGTTGACCCACAATGTTGAAGTAGGTCTAGAACTATGTTCCAAACAAGATCTTATTTCAGTTTTATATGCATATTTTCCATCTTTCATACTAAATACATATACAGTATTTGTTGCCATCTTTTCTTGGGCAATTAGTACTTTTTCGGAGCCATTGATGATAAAGTAACCACCAGGATCCAAGGGGCATTCATTTAATTCTGTCAAATCTCTGTCAGTTAAATTGCTGAGCAGACAATAAGTAGAACGCAGCATAATGGGGATTTTTCCAATAAAAGTTTTTTGATGTTGGGTTTCAATGGGATCTTCATTTTCTTTGACAATTGTCTTTGTTATATCGACATAAAGGGGTGCTGAATAAGTCAAATTGCGTAAACGTGCTTCATTTGGCATCATAGGTGATGGCGCACCATCTTTTTCCCAGTGGGTCGGCTTAGACAAGTATATTTGATCAAATTTTAGTAAATATCGTGGTGGGGTTTCTATTTCACCAGATGAATGCTGAGCTTCAGCTTGAAGCTCTATAGGCGGAGAGTCTTCGACTATCCGCTGCACAGACATCTGAATGAATTCATCGAAACTATCTAGCTGCTGTCGCACCAAGCCTTTCTCATCGAAGTAAGCGTTGATGACAATCCAACAAGCTTCTTGCCACAGCTCTGAAGATATTTCCTCGATATCTTCTTCTTCATATTGGTCATCTTCGTTGTCATACATATTAAATGTTTAGTGTAGTTATAGGGTCTAAAACACTGTTTTTTTCATGAAATTTATTTGTAAATGTATCACGGATCAGCTAAGCAATCCACAATTTACAAATGGCGGATTGCATTGCCCCACAGACTAGTTAGAGATACTACGTATCATTGCCTACAGTAGCCCACAGACAGATGACAGCTCACAGCAGTCAAGTCGGTGATAGTTAAGGTCACTTGACATTGATGTCGATTCTGGCATGATTCTCTAAAGTTAAACTTAAATTTGACAACAGTGCATCCCTGTCATTCTCTATACAAAATGAAAAGGAGAGACTGATGATAAATTTAGTTTTAAGTTTAGAGAATCATGCCAGAATCGACACCATTGTCACTTAAGAATTCGTGATGTACCTATGAAGGAAAATTAATGTCATGTAACGTTGTGATAATTTTCCTTAAATAAATAATATGCGCACAAAGCTCTATATTATTAATAGGTTATGGGCCGCATCACCCTTAATAGTGCAGAAAAGAATGAAATGAGATAAAGAAAATAAATAAATATTATTTATCGAAAAAGTAGAACAGAATTTGTGAAAAAAAAGAAAATGGCTGCTAGTACGACAAATTTTCCGCAGCTACATGCTGACAATTACAACAATTGGCTTTTTAGAGTACGTTGCATATTAGGTCTAAATGAAAAAATAAATGATACAGAAACAAAAAGTTCTGATTTTTCGACTAAAGATGCAAAAGCCAAAAATATTATCGTACATTGTTTGCCAGTTAAATATTTGAACATTATTAAAGACTGCGCTACGGCCTTCCAAATGCTAGAAAGAATAAATGATACATTTCATAGAAAAAGTGTCATAACGAAAATTCACTAAAGAAGAAAATTATTAAATATAAAACATAGTAATACGGAAAGATTAGAAGAATATTTTTCGAGATTCGATGATATAGTCAGAGAGCTACAGTGCGCGGATGAAAAGATTAGTGCGATGGATAAAATATGCTATTTGTTGATTGGATTAAGTGAAAAATATGATAATGTAATTACAGCGATCGAAACATTGAGCAATGAAAACCTAAAACTAGAATTTGTTAAATCAAGACTATTAGACGAGGAACTGAAAATGACAATGGCAAATTCAAATGAAAACTCCAAATCAGATGACGCAGCTTTCATCACATGCTATCGATGTAACAAGCACGGACATATAGCATCACAGTGCAGAGGCAGAGGTCGAGGTAGATATAGCAGACGTCAGACGAATCAACGTGGTAGAGGTCACCACGAGTATGAAACGAGACAGGATTCTTTAGCAGCTACCACCGCTTTCAGCTTCATCACTTCAACAGAATACTGCAATACGTCGTACAAAGTCGGAGAGATAGAATGGGTAATCGACTCAGGTTGTACGGATCATCTTGTTCGGGCAAAATTTGAGAATAGTATGAATAACATCGAAAATTTAGAAAAAGAGGTGATGATTCATATTGCTAATGGAGATTTTTTTATAGCTAAAAAGGTAGGTGAAATTAAATTGTTGCCCAATGGTCATATTACAGCTCTTAAAGCGTTAATTGTGAAAAACTTAAAATTTAACTTATTATCTGTAAATAAAATTCTAGAAAATGGTTACACTGTTAATTTTAGCAAAGATAAAGTTTATATAAATGATAGAAGGTCTGGTAAATTTCTGGTTGGTCTAAAGCAGGGTAAATTATTCACTCTAAATACAGAACTTGCTCTTAGTGCAGGAACTAACTCTGACTATCTATGGCATAGGCGCTTAGGACATCTTAACCGACGTGGGTTGAAGATACTCAAACTTCCCGTAAGCAATGAGGTATGTGGACCATGCATGCAAGGTAAAGCTACTAGATTGCCTTTTGTTCCAGTAGCAAGACCAAGATCTCGAGCTATAGGTGAATTGATTCACACTGACATAGCAGGACCAGTGAATATTCCAGGAATATACGGACATCTGTACTATCAAGTAATAATTGATGATTATTCGCATTTTTTAGTGGTCAGTCTACTCAAGCTCAAAGGAGAGGCAACAAACAATTTAATAAATTATTTAAACAAAATTGAAACACAGTATGGGGCAATAGTTAAGAAGATTAGATGCGACAACGGAAAGGAATTTAGAAACAATACTTTAGAACATTTTTGCAAAAATAAAAGTATAGATATTCAATACACGCAACCATACTCACCACAACAAAACGGAGTCTCTGAACGCATGAATCGAACACTGTATGACAGAGCTAGAACCCTAATGGTAGAGTCATGTTTACCTAAACACCTATGGAGTGAGGCAATAATGGCGTCAGCATATCAAATCAACAGATGTCCTTCATCGACAATAAATTTCAGGACACCAACCGAATTGTTTTTAGGCAGCAATGATCTTAGCAGATTACGTGCATTCGGAAGTAAAACATGGGCTGTAATTTTACCAAAGAGATCCAAATTTGAGCAAAGAGGTCGAGAGTTACGAATGGTAGGTTACTCAAACAATGGTTATCGTCTATGGAATCCAATGAAGAATCGCGTGATGTTGGTTTTGATGAGAGTGATGTGACATTTAAGGAAAGTAAAGATAATAAGAAAGAAGACACAATATGGACTGAGGAAGAAAAAGTAGAAGAAACAGAAGAGATAAGTAAGGAAGGGACTTCACATGAACAAGATAGAGAAGAAAATGATAAAAAAATTGTAGAAGAGAGAACTGAAGAAAGTGTCAATGAAAATGAAACAGAAATAGAAGAATTAAAGAAAACTAGATCTGGATGAATTTGTAAAACACCAACGTATCTACGAGATTACGATTGTGACGAAGACGTAGTAAATGAATATGAAAGTAATATTGCTTATTGCTTAATGACAGATCCTCAAACGTATGGAGAAGCAATTGAAGGAGGAAAGGAATGGCAAGATGCGATTGAGAGTGAACTTAATTCTTTGAAACAGTTAGATACATGGGAAGAAGCAACATTACCAAAAGGGAAGAAAGCCATTGATACCAAGTGGGTTTTTCGAACAAAACAAGGAGGAAAGAAGAAAGCTAGATTAGTGGCTAAGGGTTTTCAAACAGAAAATAGATATAATGTTTACTCCCCTGTAGCTGTCTACATTAAGGATGATGTTTTGTTTAGCAGTGCAAGAAAACTTACCTATGAAACAACTTGACGTACCAACAGCATTTTTGAACGGACATTTATCAGAGGAAGTGGTATCAATTCTGACATGATTCTCTAAACCTAAACTTAAATTTGACAACAGTGTATCCTTGTTATTCTCTATACAGAATGAAAAGGAGAGACTGATGTTAAATTTAGATTTAAGTTTAGAGAATCACGCCAGAATTGGCACCATTGTATATAAAACCACCAAAAGGAGTAAAGATTAATAAAAACAAGGTCCTTAAATTGAAACGTTCATTGTATGGTCTTAAAGAAGCACCGAAATGTTGGAACGAGGGAGTTCATAACTTTATTATTTCCCAAAATTTCGAAAGCTCTAAATATGATTTTTGTCTGTACACAAGTTCAAAAACGTGGATACTTATCTGGGTAGATGACATTATTGTGATGGGAGATTATGAATCAATAAGAAGTGAACTAAGAAAAGAATTCAACGTGAAGGAGATGGGAGATATCAGTGAATATTTAGTGCATCCCTGTCATTCTCTATACAGAATGAAAAGGAGAGACTGATGTTAAATTTAGTTTTAAGTTTAGAGAATCACGCCAGAATCGACACCAGTGTCTTCTTGTCGTTCACTATATAAAATGAAAAGAAGAGACTGATCTTAAATTTAGTTTTAAGTTTAGAGAATCATGCCAGAATCGACACCACTGTTTCCAAGTTTCTAAATAGTAAAATAAATGCGAATAAGGTTATATATTTTTTCACTTATTCAAATTAAACTATTCAAAGGCTAACATAAAAATATTTATTTCCATTTGGAGACTCATCACAGCACGTTCGCTCACACAGTCTTTGAAGTTTATTCAACGATAACAATCGATATATTTTTTAATTCATTTGACTTCAAATAATAAAAAGTATAATCATTCAATAGACAAGAATTTAATATTAATAAATCTGATTAATGGATATCGCTAGGGATGGCGATTATTTCCAAAAAAGATCGATGTTTAAATCGATTTGAATCGAGTCCTAATGAATCGATCCACAAAAAAATCGAGGCCAATAAGATTGATTTCCGAAAAAACATTCATTTTTTTTAAAGTTTTTGTTAATAACGAAATATAAATCTATTTTATTAAAAACAAGATATATATGTACATATATCCTTTAATGTACACCTAACAGTAAAATCAGGTAATTCGATGATAAAAAATCTTTTTATTCAAAGATTACAAACAAACGTAACTTTTTTTATTAAAGAGAGGCGAAGGAATCCAAACATATAGTCATCTCGCGAGTTTTTGAATAATTAACCCTTTAACCGGCAGGCAGCACTCTTATAAGACAGGTACATACAATTAATTGTCAATACTTTTTTGATTTATACCAAAAAATGAAATAAAATCGAATGTCGATTTTCAAGGGAGAAATATCGATTTACTGAATCGATTCAGTACTACATATTGATTTATAAAATTGATCTTTTTGGCTCCAAAAACGATTCTTCGATCACAGATCGCCATCCCTACAACACTACTTTCAAAGCGATGTTTTGTTCAAAGGTTTGAGAATCACAGTGAAAAATTATGATTCATTCATAATTTTTCTAAATGGTGAAAACTTTATACAATTTTAGTCCAGAGTTTGTTGTAGTTGTAGTATGGATTCATCGAGAAGAAACAATCCTGAGAACCAAAGGTGTATACTTGGTTTGCAAGATTTGAAGTTAACAAACAAAGATGAGGATGGAACTGAGCAAGCGCACCGCGGCGGCGCGACATCGAATACTGGTACTGTAGACAAAGCTCGCCCAGTGGGGGCGATCGAGAGTTTCGTGCTTGATAACACACAAAATAGTAATCGTCAAGATTATAGTTTTTACGAACGGTCTAACGTCATAGCCGCATCCAAATTTGCGACCCCAAAACGAGTGGAAACTATCGCCTCGCATAATAAACGCGACATCAACACAGCAGCTTTACCGTCAAGCCCTACAAGATCAATTGATTCTTTATCATTAAGGTCACTCAGTTATCAGACTGAGGATTTGTATGAGATACCTTCAAACCCAAATACTCAATATCCACCTCCAGTATACGAGAATATTGATTATTACGGGGAACAACGATCGCCTCAACCACCCTACTATCATCCTCTGTATCAAAAAGGCTCAGCACCTCCTGTTTCCGACGGCTACTACGACACGCGTTACAGCAAGGCTCAACCCCAAGTGCCTGTGAACTCAAAACCGAAACCCAAACCATTAGTTTACGAAAACATGCTGTGTAATAGTGACAATACTGCTGACAAGAAAAGTGATTTTAAAGCTCCACAAAGTCATGATCAACGGTATATTCAGCAAGGATCAGTCCCTGGACCACAAGTGCCCAATACTAGTGTTAATAGAAACATATCCCAGATTTCTCAAATTTTTAGTGAAAAAGTAAAATTGGACAAAGTACCTCCTCCACCACCATATACTTCTACTCAGGAGAACCCAAGTAGTGATTACACTGTTATGAAATCAGCTCCTCCTAAATACACTGATGTCAGTGCACTTTTGAAAGCTGATAGTGTAATAAGTTTTGATGATAAAGCTGTTAAAATTCCATCTACTGCCATATATGCATCAATAGCGCCAAGTGCACAAAGGCCAAAAGCCAACATTGCTACAGAAGTTCAAATTGCTACAGCTAGCCCTAAATTCTTTCACCCTAAGCCTAATATAGCTAACCAAATTGGTAAAGACAAACCACCTATAAGTAATGGTGGTTATGCTACTAAGCCAAGCACTGTTGGTAGTAGGATGCAGATAGTGGAGGACACAAGCACTTCTGATTATGTTTGTATGACTGGAGGGACTCCAGCCACAGCAGTGGCTGCAGCCAATAAAGAGAGTGTACCACATACAACAGATCCTTTAGCACCAAGGGGATTAGTCTCTGGACTAACATCATTGTGCTCTCCTGCCCAGTCTCCAGCACCTAGTCCTACACCAAGTTCCATTTCACAAGTATCAGGTGGCTCCCGGGGTTCAGGAGGGCGTGGTAAAAGTTTGTTGCCTTACAGCATCACTCCACCTCGCCCATCTGGACCGAGTGAAGCTCAACGTAAAATAGAAGAAATGACTAGACAGCTAGAAGAAGAAATGGAAAGGCAAGATGAAGAGGGAGAGTACTTTGGTAAATTATGTTTACATTTTAAGTACTTGGGAATATTGTTAAATTTAATAACTGTTAGTAATGCTTATCGTCTTGGTTAATTCACAAAAACAAGTTATTTGTTTTTATTCACAATAAATATATTTATACTCTCTCTGAACAGCACTGAGGTGTTTTTAATAAGCTATTGTGTATTGTAATGTAATATATATAAATTGGATTGTTATTTTCAATAATACTTTTCAGGCATTTGTCATATATGTGGAGCAGGAGTGACAGGGGCTGTGCAGGCTTGCCAGGCCATGGGCAATCTATATCATACCAACTGCTTCATTTGCTGCTCATGTGGAAGAGCTCTGAGGGGCAAAGCTTTCTACAATGTACATGGAAAAGTTTATTGTGAAGAGGACTATTTGGTAAATATGTAATATAACATTAATAGATTCCTATTAGAATAATTATTATGTAAATTGTATTATTATTTAAATTAATTTATTAATATTGTTGCAGTACTCTGGATTTCAACAAACAGCTGAAAAATGTGCAATCTGTGGTCATCTCATAATGGAAATGGTAAATTTATTGCCTAACATGATATACTTAAATTCAATTGTACACTATTTAGACCAGGGTCGATAATTTTAAAAATGGTGAAAAGTGAAAAAAAATAATAGTAGGATGAAACCCATTAGAAAAGGTAGAGAATATAACAAAAATGAAAGGAAAAATAAATTACGGGCGATCTGAGGTCGGGAAGGGGGAGGGGGTGAGTTTTTAAGGGTAAAAATGGTTAATCTCGAATTCCGGTAAAACTGCAAGTCCTATGAAAAAAAGTTAAATAGCAAAGTTGTAGGTAATAAAAAGATCTACAACTTTTGTATCGACACTTTTTTCACATAACCTGAAAATTTGTGTGAAAAATGCGAATAACCGAGTTTTTGGTTTTTGATTTTTATTTTTTGCAAAAAAAAAATATTTTTTTACGAAATTTGGTGAAAACTTACCTTTATATGTCCCAAACATACAGTAATTTTTTTGATTTAAAATATAAATTTTTTCACCTTATTTTGACTTAATATCCAAAATGCACCCTAATTTTCAATCAAAAATTCTCACGTCAAAATATCTTTTTTAAAAAAGTTGGGGTGTTTTTTGTTTGTTGAAATCTCTACTTTCTTATGGTATAAAAAAATATACACTACTGTGATAAATGTTCTCAGAAAATGCAAATTAATAATGAAAAAAACTCGAATCCGAAAATCCTATTTTTAATACCTACTTACAACAACTATTTTTGCATGTTTTATGGATTTGTAATTTTTCTGTTTATCAATATAACATGAAATCTTACGTTTTTCGAGTATTTAAAGTGTAAATTTTAATAAATAGTTCAAAATTATACATAATGATTCAAATCAATTTTTCGGATTGGAGTTTTTTTCATTATTAATTTGCAGTTTCTGAGAACATTTACCATAGTAGTGTATATTTTTTTATACCATCAGAAAGTAGAGATTTCAACAAACAAAAAACACCCCAACTTTTTTAAAAAAGCAGATATTTTGACGTGAGAATTTTCGATTGAAAATAAGGGTGCTTTTTCGATATAAAGTCAAAATAAGGTGAAAAAATTAATATTTTAAACCAAAAAAATTACTGTATGTTTGGGACATACAAAGGTAAGTTTTCAGCAAACTTCGTGAAAAAATATTTTTTTTTGCAAAAAATAAAAATCAAAAACCAAAAACTCGGTTATTCGCATTTTTCACATAAATTTTGAGGTTATGTGAAAAAAGTGTCGATACAAAAGTTGTAGATCTTTTTATTACCTACAACTTTGCCATTTAACTTTTTTTCATAAGATTGCAGTTTTACCGGAAATCGAGATTAACCATTTTTTACCCTTAAAAACTCACCCCCACCCCCTTCCCGACCTCAGATCGCCCGTAATTTATTTTTCCTTTCATTTTTGTTATATTCTCTACCTTTTCTAATGGGTTTCATCCTACTATAATTTTTTTTGGTCTCAAAAATTATCGACCCTGGTCTAATTGGTTATTATTTGTGAATTGTTATAGTTGATAAAAGCCATGTACTATTATTTATTATTGACTTTACCTCTTCCGTTTGTTCAGTTTAAATAGAACATAACATCACAAGAATAATCGTTATAATTTGTGTTGTGTGTTTAAATTAGATAAAATTTTGTAATTCCAGATTCTACAAGCTATGGGAAAGTCATATCATCCAGGATGTTTCCGTTGCTGTGTGTGCAATGAATGTTTAGATGGTGTACCATTCACTGTGGATGTGGACAACAAGATATATTGTGTCAATGACTATCATCGCATGTTTGCTCCCAAATGTGCTAGCTGTGGAAAAGGTATTAATAATATAATCAATCATATGCAACTGATAAAATGTTACCAAAGAAGACATTTAGTTCTGATTAAGTACTTACATGCTCTGTTGATAAATTTCAAAGAGCAGTGATAAAGAGTAGGTACATAAAGCTTGAACTATCTAACTTTAGATTGTGTTTCTAAATGTGACAAAGTTGAAGAAGGGTCAATTTAAATTAGGTTAAGCTCAATGGATTTTTTTTTATTTTATTTATAGTTATTTGTTTTAAATAATGTATTAAGTACACATAATAAGTATTTATATATTTTTCTCTTTTTTTCAAATTATTTTGCAAAGTATCTTAAAATTGCAAAAACCATTTGATTTTTAAATACATTTTTTGCATGGTTGGCAGATCATCGAAAGTTTTATTTAAGTTATTTTAAAGCAGTGATATTAATATAATAATAGAAATGTTTTATATTATTATTTATTTAAATATTGTTTGTATTTTTTAAGGAATTACACCAGTAGAGGGCACAGATGAAACTGTGAGAGTGGTGTCCATGGATCGAGACTTCCACGTGGACTGCTACATGTGCTGTGTGTGTGGTATGCAGCTCACTGATGAACCTGACAAGCGGTGCTATCCATTAGCAGGTGAGTTAGCCATTTATGCAAATAAATCAAAGTTTAAATATTGGTATTCATTTGACATTGTGGCTTACCTACAATGCGAAGAGATGGTGCTGCCTTGCAGCCTAAGAATTATTAGAAGAAATTGGACACGGCCATTAAGGCCGCGGTAGTATAATGGTCAGTGCATCCGCCCGGATAGCGGAGGGTGCGGGTTCGAGTCCCGTCTGCTGCCTGGTATGCGTGGATTTATTCTTAATAAAATTTTCATTAGATTTATTACTTGTTTTACCAATATTTATTTTGCATTACCTATACCTGTACTACATACATATGACGAAAATATAATGACGTCATAACGTCCGAAGTTATGTGGTCCCTTCAATGTCGTTATATCCAGTTTCCACTGTATTTCCTATTCTACATTTACCTGGGGGTATATCATGTACTACGCGTTCGCTTCGAGTTGGCCGCTCCCACCATCCGTGGGCAGTTATACACAGATAGGCTAGCCTAAAATATATATTATTTTATAAATATGTAGTTGATCGAAGTCGTTGTACACAGAATCTGGTGGTTTAGCCTGCTTAGGGGTTGATAGGTGTGGTTTTTACCCCTAAAAAAGTGAATTTCCGCAGTGCTACAAGAAAGCAAACATAATTACGAGTATTTAAAAAAAAATTTGGTTTACATTTACTGCCTCGCGCGTAGTTTTGATCGTTTCCGCACACTGTCCGCTGCGCTTCTAGACAGATCCTACTAGTCGATCCAATTGGTCGGCGGTACCAGTTGATGTGCCTGTGATTGACCTATGACACATTTTGTAATTATCATCGACGGCCATCTCGAAGCTAACGCGTAGTAAGTAAATACATTGATATGAATTTTATGTTAATATCAAGCCCATTTGTGCTGCGTATGGACATTACCTACCCATGTATGTGTTGTCTTTACTCGGCATATATCCTCATCGTGCTCTATAGGGAATGAAGCTATAAATCTGCCGTCCTAGCAAAGAATGCAGTAAGAGCTCCGAAATTATTTGAGAAAATGGCGTTAAAAGTTTTGACTTCAAAAAAAACACTAAACGCCATTTTCTCAAAATCATGTCGGAGCTCGTACTGCTTTCTTCACTAGGACGGCAGAAATGCGTGCATTTTAATGAGACATTCGACGACCTCTGTGGCCGAGTGGTTTGTACGCCGGGTTACATGGTGACGCCGACTCGAGAGGTCCCGGGTTCGAATCCCGGTGGGGCAGATGTTTGTGTAATTAATACGAGCATTTGTATTCCAGTCATGGATGTTTAATATGTATTTCTATATTTGTATTCTTATATATGTACTGTATATGTATTCTATCCGTTACCCTAGCATCCCATAACACAAGCCTTATAGTGCTTACTTTGGGGCTAGGCTAATTGGTGTCTTAGAAATATTTATTTATTTATTCGGTGGGGTAGGTCGGCTGATGTGCCGCGCGTGCCACCTGGCCACCATCGGCGCCTCGTCGGGCCCCGGCCAGCCGCCCGCGCCGCATCTCTCGCCCGCCTCCTACCAGTACATGGGCTGAGACTACTTACTATAATAGTAGATCAAGGCTTCGTATACACTAAATTTATGTCAAAACGAATCGGGGCTAATTTTACAACTTTAACTCGTTCCACAATCAGTACCCTTAGCACGAACAAACATCGAATTCGAAAAGTTTGCGAGTGCGAAATGTCATTGTCAATTTTTGTATGGAAACTTGATTAGCAGCGCCACAACGGACGCAACGAGAGCTAACAATCAGTACACATTTCACGTATCTAGATCGAATTCAACTATTCGAATTTGATAATGGTTCGTGCTAAGGGTACTGTAACCTTAGCATGAACTAATATCGAATGTCTAATAACTTGCGTGAGCGTAATGTCATTGTCAAATTTTGTATGGAAACTTAGTAGCGCCACAACGGATAATGAAACCGAAAACTTAAAATCAGGTCACATTTGACGTATACAATAGATCGAATTCAACTTTAAAAGAATTTGATAATGGTTAGTGCTAGGGGGTACTGTTCCATTTCATGCATGGGAAAGAGTATTGTGACACTTTCACACTGAATCAGCTTTTAAGAGAATTGTGGAATGGTAAAACACTTTTTGAACGGTCTGATAGCGCGCTTTTTATTATTTCACATTATTCTAGCTAGAGAATAATGTTTGAAGTGCTTTATTCAATGATTGGTGTGGGTGAAAAAGAAAACAAAAAAAATATCATGGAATGAGCTATAGTGAGACAATTATCGCCCCGAGATTGCTTCCAATATTTAATAACGCGTGAGTGAGAACCAAAATGGTTCACATCTCATGATAAATTGTATTCACCGGTCGCACTTAGAGGCGTCTATTGTTTTTTTTTGTTGTCACTTTCTATGTGATAAGTTAAATATTTTACAACACGCCACTTCGACAACCATTACGTTCAATTGACGTCTCAATGTGCGCCCATTAAGGAACTTATATACTAACTGGAATGCTTACGAAACAATATGGGAATTTAAAAAATGCACTCAACTAGTTATACATAAAGTCCATTGTTGTTTCTACGTTCATAAGGGGGGATAATACTCCTAGCGCGACAACGATGAAAGTGAAATCTGTCCCTCTCTTGCAACTGTTTGGGCACACTACTAGAACGAGACAGATTCTACCAATTCAGCTATGCTCTTGGAAGGATTTTGAGGGTCGCGTAAGCATTCCAGTTAGTATATAAGTTCCTTGGTGCCCATTATGTAATAACAATTTAAAATACTGATATCGTGTGCAATTTTAGACCGTTAGCGTAGCTCAAGACGATAGTTAATCCAGTCAAATAAATCAGCTTGAAAAGTTAATTATTGAATAATGTAACGGATCTATCTAGCTACTCCATCATATGGTAGCTATTTTAATTGATGTGACTTGAGATGTGTGCTCAATATACATACTATTGTGTCAACGATAGGTTACGGTTCTTGTATGTATTAATAATGTAGCTTTAATAATAAATTGTAGACTTGCAACTCAGCCATCAACGAATATGGAATTGTACTGCTTCCGTGCGCCATAACGCTACCTACTTGCATCATTTAAGTAATTGTAATTATTGTTTAAGGTATTTATTAATCGCGCTTAGGGAGCTCTATGGTGTTGATGTCTTTTTGAAATGTTGAATTGTAGCATGTTCACAGGTGTCTACTATTAAAAATAAGAAGAGGTATAAAAGTATTGATAAAAGATTTGTAATGTTTATAACTCGTGTCAGAAAGTAATTAAAAATGCCGACGCAAGACGTTCTCTCTCTCGTTACTTATGATAGCATGTGCGAGAGGGACAGAATGTCATACGTCGTCATTTGCGATGACACGAATTATGCATGCAAGTGATTTGTTTAAATTGAATCAATAGAATGTTGTCTAATGTTATTTGTGATATTAATAGTTTGCCATGTTGGATTCATATCATTTGCTTCTAAACCTGGTTATACGTCAGCATTTGTTTTGTTTATTGTTATCGTGTGTCATGACTTCATAAACAAAGTGAGGGGGATGCAAAATTTTACCACTCACTAGTTTTTTTACAGATGTTAGGGTAGGACATAACTTAAGCTTCTTATGACCTACCCTAACATCTGTAAAAAAAACTAGTCTGGTAAAATTTTGCATTAGGATCTTGATCCTATAAATATTATTTTATATTGTATAACCGCGATCTCTCTTTCTTGGGCTATAATGTGAATATTGTCAATGTTGCTCTAAGACCGAATGGGCACAATCTATGTATAATTTGACGACAAGTCAGGTTTTAGAACTTTATTCGCCTTATTACAAAACTTAGACTAAAGTTAAACTTGGACTAAAATTGATGCTGTCACTCTTGTTTTCTAAAAAGACACAGACAAAATTAGGTTTAAACCAAGACTAGCATTAGTCCGCGTTTTAGTATAAGGCGGCACAAGTTCTGCTTGAATAATAATAATTGCTTTGGCTATGTGTACTGTTGATAAAAGACAAGATTATATGAAAGTTTATGATGAGAATAAATGCCAGCTTTAGTTGATTTATGTTATCAACTGATTTTTATTAAAAACTGTGTTTTGCAAGGTACAAATATTTGAAAAGTTTTTTTTAAGAAAGCCACTTATTATATAGAACTGCATTTACTACTGTTAATGATAACACTAGACACGGCAGCACACCTGGTAGACTATTAATTTTTATGTACAAGTGTCACAAAGGGGCAGGTATAAATATTCTAAGAAAATTTTACACAGTTCTAAACATTCCAGTCATGTGCTGTCATGTTGTGTACTTAAGTTTAAAAAGTTGTATATGTACATTTTGATGATGTGATTTTTTTATTAGCAATAAAAATGTTTGTTAAGTAATAATTTTTATATGTGTATAAATATTTCAAACAATAAATTCTAAAAAAGATCATGTTATATATTTTATATAAATAACCTCTACAATACAGCTTCAGGTAAGAAAAAGGGTAAGTATAGTTAAGAACATTATACAACTCCCAAAGTAAATTAAATAGCAGTATAATAAATCATTTTTTTTGAACAGTTTACACAAAACATCCATTGTTTTACTCATATAACTTGGTTCTCAATGAAGACTAAGGTTTTGGTAAACAAAAAAGTATTTCTTTGCAAAAATTTAAAATATTTTTAATGTCATTCTAAATTATGTAGATCTATAGTTTTTAAGTATCTAATTGATTAATGTATAAATTATTTTATCAGCATAAAGTCTTGCAACTCTATAAAAATATTCACATTGCATGGTATGACATGAATGAGTTCTATTGAAAATGTGATTCCATGGCCATTTTTTTCATAGATTTCAAGTCGCATTGTAACTAATGGTTAAAATAAATCAATAGGAAATACGAATAAATAAAAAAAATTAAGGCAACAACATTATATAATTATTGAAATGGTTATTTTTTCTGTTTTCCAAGTTTCACCTTAATACTCTCTGTACATATATTTTACATCTACACCCATCTGAAATAAATATCATGTCAAAAATGTCTTATACAGTCACATTTTTTTTACCTTATTTTTCATATTTCTCATTTCTGTTTTGTATCTTCTCATTTCGTCCATCACATGGTTTCGTTTCTCTTTCATCTGACTCTGGTAATGTTGCTTGCTTTCATTGAATCTATCTTGAAGATTGTCTTTTCTTTCTTGAAACATTTCTTTAATTCGTTCTCTAGAGGGTACTGGTCGAATCCAGCCTATAGCAGTTAATTTGTTTATTGCAAATGTAGTTCCACCTGTAAAAAAGAAAATGTGTTACAGTAAATGTAATTCTTCTCACAACTATTAGCTAACATAGTGTTCTGGCTACCTTTCTGTACAGAACAGTTTAAAGGGTATCTGGAACTACAGTGGTTTTCAGGTATAACAATGATGAAGGGACCATGCGAAATCATATAAAATTTTGAATTGTATTTTAACAATGTTGTTTAAAACTTAATTTAGATAGTTTATTAAAAAAATTAAAAGAATCCTTCAACTCAACTATTCAATGGAGGGTCTAAAATAGTGAGACTGGGTTTAAGTATTGTTCATATGTTTGATCTTTCTAAATCTGAAATGTCATTGTATTTTATGAATCCTATATTGAACTTAGTATGGAATGTCTATTTTACAGATTTGTATGAGACTGAACAAAACGACTACTTATAATGAAATACCTATAGAGAATGTCATATTGAAGAATCCATTTTTTTATACAAATGTCACTTTTTGACTACCTGATAGCTAATACACATAAAATTTTACTGTAAGATATGTAAAGTTCATTACCAACTGTAACAGCATATCTCAATGGAGTGGCTATCTTATAGAGAGCAAATGCGAATGCAAAATATCCAGCACTTGAATCTCTTAAAGGTGCCAATAATGATTCTTTTACGCCCCAGGATTCAAGCATTCCTACAACGTCAAAACCACTAAAACAAAACGGAAACTCATTAGAACATAACTTACTACTAAACAAAGAATAATAATATAAGAAAAAATGTTACCTCCGAACTGCATAATAGAAACTGCCAAACCAAATGGCCGAAGTAACCATATGTACTGGTACTAACACATACCAGTAGTCTCTATACATTTGTCTAAATCTTTGTATAAGACCAAGTTTCTTTTCTACCGGTTCTTGCGGAGGTTTATTGGCGTCATTTTGCGTTGAATACTTTATATGAGATACCGATACATACCTAACAGGAGTAATACCTTTTAAAGGATTAATAAAAGCGATATTTTGATACCTCCTATGAACCAGAAATTTTGGTGAATGGTTTGGAACAATACCCAACTTCACCGGTTCGGTTAGATTGCTAATACAGCGAGTATTTCTGCAGAATAATCTATATATTAAAGCCATGTTAAAAATGTTTTATTTATAAAAAGTTAGCGATTTAAACATGTTTTAATTTTAATTGCAAGTAAACTAAATTGTAATACTTCCGACAAAAAATTGTAATGTTCCAATTTGACATTTGGCTGACAGACATGAATGACACACTGACACTGACATTGACATGTCTAACCATAGACAATATAGCGAAATTCTTCGGCTGTCCAAGTGTGTGTAATGTGGTCATTAGATGATCAATCTGGCGTCAGTCATCCGATGCTGTTTAGATTGATGTCAGATTGATCATGTAATGTGTGTCGCTTGTAGATAGAGTGCAACAGATTATCTCCATTAGGTTTCAAGTATGTAAAATTTTACTTAAATTCCTGTTTAGCGCTTGAAAATTCTTATTAAGTATTTCCACCCGGAAGGTGGAGTATTCCATCCTGTCTTTCTGTTGTTGTCCTCCTGTCTATGGTCAGTAACCGTATCGGTAGTTTTTTCTTTTTTTTACTACAGAAGTATTTAGGTTTGTGTTTGTTTAAGTTGATCATTATAGATTTCAAATTCGCCGAATTTAAGTTAAATGTGAATGAAAGTTAATAGTCTTTATTTTCTATAATTCGTAACATCGACTCCGTATAACTTTTGATGATTAAGTAATTATATCCTGTGAGATATCGCTTATGAGAGCTTTTCGTAATAAAATAAATATTTGCCTACCTCGCTTTGTGATTATTTTTGTTAATTGATCAATAAGCCATGCTATGGGGGTAAAAAGAGGGATGAATTTTTAAGTAAGGTATAATAATTAACTATTTTACTTTTCGGATACTGCAGTTTCATATGTGACAATCTTTATGTTAAGCTATTGATTGTTACATGTATTTAGAGACGGTTCGAATAGACATTTGATTCTATTACACATTTTATAAGTAGGAGGTGAACATTTAGAAAAAAAACTTTATTTCTAAGGGTACAATTATACGTGGCGTACTCACAAGTCATAAGTTCAAAAATACTTCACGTGCTAGCAAAGGACGGAACAACAAAACGTATTAAAATCGTAGTTCTACAGTAATGTGATAAATTAAATCAGTCCAACTCCGTTTAATCGCTTTGCGTGATTGATTAATAAATATCCTACAAACTTTGATATTATTAAATGTTAATAGGATGTATTCTTTAAGAAGTATCCTAGGAAGAGGCATAAGTGGTCAGCGCGTTCGGTCTGTCATCGTGGAAGTTTAACAACTTTCACATTGACCTGTTATTGGATGTGTGACCATAAATTTAAGATCTTGAGCTCCTCGAAATCAAAACCACTTATTAAGCAGATTGTTAGAAAATCAGTATGGTTAAAAAATAAACTATCCAAATCAATACCTAATTACACGCGGACGAAGTCGCCAGCAAAAGCTAGTAGTATTATAAATGCGAAAGTGTGTCTGTCTATTATTTGTACCTTTTCGCACTTAAACCGCTGAACCGATTTAGATCAAATTTGTTATAGACATAGTTTGAGTACCGGGAAAGGACAAAGGATAGTTTTAATTCCATAAATCATATATTAAGGGGGTGAAAAATGGGGCAGAAATTTGCATGGGAAATCCTTTTCCACGCAGACGAAATCGTACTCACCCTACAGTTAAAAGTTATTGATCCATATTTTTAACTATGAGAACTGAGAATTTCCGATATTTTTAAAACTTACAGGTTACAGGGTGACTATTTGGAAACAAAGTTATGTAGGTAAAATTAAATAAAATTACATTTAAACTAAAATTATTTATCTTTTTGCAAATAGGTAAGGCGAAAATTATTATAGGTATGTACCTACTTAATTGCAATAACAATATAATTTAAGTAAACTGTCTGTAACACAGTAACTTTGATTTCCGTAAAGATTGAGTCTGCTAACGGTGCCCATCACTGTCCATCCGACATCATTGAATCCCCTCAGGGTAGCTTCGAACACGCCATCTCCAGGTGTGGTCTTTATAACTATCATCAACTCACGCCAATTGTCGATTTCTTCATCCTCCGATTTGCCCGTTATCATTTCATTCGCTTCAATTACATCGACTAGGGACAGATTAGCACAATTATCGTGAACCGATACGCGTGCATTCAATCGTTCAACAAGGATTTTCGCGGCTCGCCAAACTACTTTATTTATCTTTGATTTGACTATGCGTTTGTGGCAAGTGCACCAATGGTCGCTGATGGCGGCAAGCTCACACGTTCGGTTGCTTGGTACTGGCAAAAAGAGACTTATGCTCCTGTTTCTATAATAACTTTGCTGACTCCGATGAAATATATTTTCGTTTTTCACATTTTCCAAGTTAGTTAAATCGTATAAAGTTGAATATATATCATACGGAGTGGTAAGGCGTTTGCTGTTTGTTTTTAAATTTCTGTATGCTGCACTAAAGTTTTCTTTAAAACTTGGTGGTAATAATACGAAAACGAACGGCAGACGCTCCTCTAGACGACCCTGTTTTGTGTACCTAATATCGCCCCATCGAATTCCATGGTCACTTAATATAAATACAATAGAGTCATTGAGATAACCTGAAATTTCCAATTTCTCAAAAAGTTTTACATAATCGTGGTCCATCGCCATAGGATAATTCAATTCATCGTGGCTCATGGTTACTTCCCAAAACAGTCCAAAGAGCCTGGTATGCCGTAACGCATACGTGATATCTTCAACATAATCCAACAAAACCTGGTAAAAGTATCTATCATTTAAACACGGTGTCAGTTTAATAGAAAAATTTTCTTTTGCAGCATATTTTTCTGCTTCATTTATAAAGGTGTGTGTATAATAATCAGTCGGAGTGTTACTAAAACCCGCTTTTAGATAATTGAACGTGCCCAACCAGCCGCTGTCTTCAGCGAAAGCTGTATAAAAACCTGCTTGCTTGAACCACTCCCAAATAAAGGGGCAGTTGTCGAATTTAGCATCTTTGTGGGGCAGGCAGGTCGTCATTATCTCGGTATCTGATAAACCCAGTAACAATGGTATCAAATTTGGAAATGTGTTGTCACCGACTTTGTTATAACCTGATAAATCTACGGCTCCCCTGTTCAACAAAAACTTGACGGTATTAGGCATTGTTCTGAAAAAATTAAGCCTTGACACAGAATCTATTCCCAAAACCAAAATATTATAGGCTGTTGCATTCTTAGAAATTTCTTCATGATCGTTATGAACTGTAAACTTCTTTTTAAGAGCAAACACGTAATATTCTTCTATAGTATTAATTCCGACGCTGCAGTTGACTTTGACGAATTCATGTCGCACATCTATTGTATCGTTAAAATAAATGCAGTCATTGTATTTAACTCTGTCATCAATAACTTCATCGACATTGTCTACTGATTGTGGTCGATAAAATGATTGGTAACAACAAAAAATATTCGCACTGCTTTCGCTAGAGTTCAGTTGTTTCTTAGTCCAAATGTGTGATGAGTTATGTTCCAGCAGTGCCAACGGAGAGAGGCATTTGGGTACGTCTGGACGTTCTACGAACTTTTTTATACTGTAATCGATCGGTTTCAAGAATGGTATGCTGCAACCTTCCGTTTGTATAGTAAATCTTTCTCCATTTGTATCACTTTCAAAGCAACTATCATCCCCACTTCTACTTTTTGCACAGAAATAATATGAATAACCAAATTCTGTGTTTTTCTTTAAATGGAAGAAAATATAAAGTGTACTAAAAGCTATTCCAATTAAAAATAATTGTTTCATACGTTTAGGACTAATTATTGGTCTCGACGTAACGAGTCTTCTATTGTAGGTGTTATAATACGTCGCTACCATCGGATCGAATTAAACGTGTTTCACTAAACTATTACTTCCTTAATTATGACTTTTGCTTTCACATAATATTGCACTATAACAAATTATCTCTTAATATAGTTCAAGAGCTCGCGAACCCTCCTAGTAACGGTTTTGTGACAGCCATCTTGACATTGTAGATTTTGATTTCTAAATCCCATTAACTTCAACTTTATAGAACAAAGTATTCCAAACCATACACTGTAAGAAAATAAAACGTAGTAAAATTTTAAGGTTAAAGTGTGGAGTTTTTAAATTTTATTGACACAAAAAATATAGTTACCTATGTACAGGGCTGAGGGCTGCTAAGTAAACTCATCTAACTCAACTCAGTAAATCTTACAGGACAACCAATAGATACCTGGAGGGATCACTAACTCATGCTTAATTATATTAATCACTCAAGTTTAATCACGAAACGTTTAGCAGACTTATTTTTTCACCTCTACAGTTTTACAGGAACGTGTGACACTTTGTAGGATTTCAAGAACGATGCCCAATGTTTGGCACTTGTTTTGTTTAAAAGTTGGCGTAATAATTATTATGATAATTAGCAATTTTACGGGCGTACGCCGTTAAGGTCGACTGATGTTTCACGCTCACGACTGTCTTTACGCAAGTAACTCATTCAGTCTTTCTTCTACGGATGTTTTGGTTAATAAACAAACACCGACAGTAACAAAACATGCATTTCCCAACTAAAGGCAAAACAAAACCGTAGCTTTACACTAAGATTATTAAAGTACGAAATATTTGAAGAACTAATTTGTTAAAATAAATGTAGCCCACATCTTAGAGCGATTTGACAACCTCCGTGGCCGAGTGGTTTGTACGCCGCGGTTTCAAGGTGTCGCCTCGACTCGAGAGGTCCCGGGTTCGAATCCCGGTGGGGGCAGATGTTTGTGTGATGAATACGAGAATTTGTACTCCAGTCATGGATGTATTATAATATGTATTTCTATATAAATATACTTATATATGAACTGTATATCTAACACAAGCCTTACGGTGCTTACTTTGGGGCTAGGCTAATTGGTGTGAGTGTTGGAAATATTTATTTACTTTATTTTTAGAGCATTTCCAGTTAGATCTTGAGAGGTCCTGGATTCAGAACTTATGTTTAAGTTTGTTTAATATTTGAAATCAATCGTATAGGTAGTTAAAGGACAATGTTAAAATTGACCTAAGAACCAACACCAATTTGGCATTTATGATAATTCTAAGTATATTTTTTGCGATAATTATCAGTATTTAGATTGTGACGGACACTTCCAGTTTAGTAAGCTAAATTAAAAAGTTGAAAAATAATCTGAGACAATAAATACCATTTTATGTGTATAATCTATGACAGCGCTGCAAAAAAAACACTCTTTCTTCCTAATACCGGCACTTCACTTGGCTATTCGTATTTGCTATTTTAAAACATGACATCAGTCTGTCCTTTTCATTCCTTATTAAGCATGACAAGGACAAACTGTTGTCAAGTGAAGGGTTACTCTGTGGTTGTGGTGCAGGCAGTTTGCATTCGTAGTAATCTGTGGAATGTGTGCATTCCAAATCCAAAGAGTAGTTTATTATACCGGAAAGTGCATTCTCGTTTCGGATTACCAGTTGTGTGTGTTAATTTGCGATTGTCATTCCTTTAATTTAACTATTTCGGCTATCTAATACACCATCGATGTTACCAAAAAGCAGGGCCTTTATTACCAAGTGCTAGTGAACCTGTGCCACAACATCCTGAGAGGATCATACTGCCAAATTATTCAAGAACACCTGATACACATTCACGCTGCATATTTACACAATAAACATGTGATATACAAATAAATACAATATGATACAATTATGTGAAAAATAGTCAATAAATAAGAAGCAAAACTACAGTTTTTATTTTATTTTTTTATTCCTACCGAACCAAGTTTTTCCTAATAGTAATTCTTTAAAATCGCACTGAATAAAATGAATTAGTTGTAATATTAATTCACTTCATACTGAGTTCATACTAAGTTGACCTATGTTTTATTGAATATTAATCATAACCTCAAAAAATTTTTAGTTTCCTAATAATTTAAGTTCTCAGAAGTGTCCGTCAATAATCTTTGTTTTTACAGTCATTTACTTACGATTTCGAACATAGAAAATAATATTTCATGATTGTTGGTTCTTAGGCTAACTATGTATGGACGCTGAACAATGTCCTTTTTTTGGGCTCTGTCTTATACTTGACATACTAAACCGCAGAAAAACCATTGAGTTATAATGTAAGGAAAACACATTATATTTTTATTACTCAATTCGTTGTGATATGTTAACATATGCGATATGCTATTAATTCTATCGATAAACATTTTCACTTACTATTTCTATATAGACAGATATGTATCTACGGAAACACTTATCAATAGCTATTGTTTGGCACACCTAATACTAAAGTACATTAATATACTTATGCTATTATACTCTCATAGAAAGAAAAAAGTTTGGTACTTAATGAAAAAAATGCATAGTTACATTCGGAAACAGTGTTCATCTACTACATCATATTATTAAGGTATACGAGTTAGTTGATTATTATCTGTACAAAATATCTAGAAGAAAATATAAGTCAACCTAAATATAGTCGGTTCACATAATCCAATACTTTAGTACGATCAAAAATATATTCTATTTACATTGTTTTGGCAGATTATGTAATATCACAGTTAATGTTGTTTGTTCTTAGGCACCACTGCTTATTCGAATTGTTTTAAACAGTTGCTACTTTAGATCTATGACTATGATTACTATATACCCATGGCTTGAGTAATGAATTCAGAAAAGTACAGTATTTACATTACAAACAAAAACGATATTTGGGTGATTTGCCTAACTGCTTTTTCGGGAAGTACAATATTTTTTATAAGTATGTTTAAAAACAATTCGAACAAAGCAGGCCGCAGACAAGTATTTTATCACTGACAAAAGCAGAACAGTTTTAGTTGGTAGTGTTGTACGCAGCGGCTCTGATCACCATAAAGGTTGAGTCGGCTAACGGTGCCAGCCAGCATCCACTGAGCCTCGTCTTGCCGTAGCGTGGCCTCGAACACTCCGCCGCCTGGCAAAGTACGGACTACCACCATTATCTCACTCCACTCTTTCTCTCGCTCATGCTGAGTGCCTACCATCATCTCTGATGCGTCTAAAATCTCATCCAACTTCAATTGAGCACACTGAGGCTGGTCCTGAATTAGAACATTCAAGTGCTTCACTAGATTTTGGGCCGCATCGATTACTTTTTTATCACTATCTAAAATTTTTCTACTTTTATAACAAGTGCACCAGTGATCGTCGATTGCAGCTGTCTTGCATGTTCGGTTAGTTGGTATTGGCAAAAATAAACTTATGCTTCTTTCATTTGCGTAACTAGTTTTTCTGCGAGAATCTATTATTTCATCTTTTATTTTATTCAAATCAATTAAATCCATTAATGTAGCATGAATATCGAATGGTGTTGTTAGCCGTCGACTGTTTTGTTTAATATTGTTATAAGCGTATTCATAGTTTTCGCGAAATGATGGTGGAAGTAAAATTTGTACGAATGGCAGGCGCTCCTCTAAGCGACCTTGTTTTGTGTGGCGAATATTGCCCCATCTGATGCCGTGGTCACTTAAAAGAACTAAAACGGTATCATTTAAATATTGGGACTTATCCAGTTTTCTTAAAAACTTTTCGTAGCTATAGTCCATTGCCATGGGATAATTTAAATAGTCATGACTAAGTGTGACTTCCCAGAAGAATCCAAATAGTCTAGAAGATTTTAAAGTTCTAGTTAATGCTTCAATGTAATCCAAAAGCACTTGATAGAAATACTTATTACCCATACAAATAAACGAATTGAAATCTTTGTTGTTTCCCACATTAATTTCAGCTTCATGCATAAAAGTATGAGTATAATAGTCCGTTGGGTTCCCTACAAAACCCATTTTCCCGAAATTAAACGTTCCTAGTTTTGCGCTGTCTTCTCCGAGGGCAGTGTAGTATCCAGCTTCCTTAAACCATTTCCATATAATCGGACAATTGTCAAAACTTGAACGTAAATCAGGCCAACACGTCTTCTTCAGGTCGGTATCTTTTATACCCATCAACATAGGAGTCAAATTAGGGAAAGTATTGTCACCAACTTTATTGTAACCTAATAATTCTATAGCACCTTTCATCTTCAAAAAAGTCAATGTTTTCGGCATAGTCCTATAAAAATTCAGCCTGGATACTGTATCAATTCCTATCACGATAACATTGTAACTCGTTTTGTTTGTCAAATTTCTCCCTAAATCCGTAAAATTGACTTTTTTTTCTTTAGCTTGGTACGAGATAAAAGGTTTTTTCGGTGCAAACAAGAAGAAACTTTCATATATTATCTTTAAGTGGTATGAACACGACACTTTAACAAATTCGTTGGCTACTTCGATGTAATCAGCAAACATGACACACGTATCGTATTTAACTCTTTCGTCTACATCGTTTGAAGTGATATCCAGTATGGTGTTAGGTCTGTAAAACGGCTTATAACAGCAGGAAAAAGATACGTTGTCAGGTACATTGTAATACTGTAATCTCTCATGTATGACCCATATATGAGTATCATTGCTGCCCAATAACGAAATATTGGCGTATCGACATTGTGATATATCAGGGGGAGTGATGAATTTCTTTATGCTGTCATCGAAAGGTCTCAATCCAGGAATCGTGCATCCTACCGTATTGATGGTGAAACCTTCATCGGACTCAGGTATGCTTGAGCGCCTAAAGTCCATAGGCGACGTCGGTGTTTCATAACTAAGGAAGAAGTCGACGGTGGTGTTGCTGATGGTAAAGAAGAGGAAGATGGCGCCACAAACAATTGCGAGGAGGAACAGGTATTTGAAGTGCGACGGGGCACATCGAATACAGTTCAGGCTCTTCAACGACCGACCCATGCTGAAATAAAATAAAGACACATTCGCACATGGTTCTTTGAAATTGATTTTATTTGGTCTACATACAGGAAAATCGCGGGTACATAATAAATATGTATTTATTGATTATAATAAATACTTGTGAATGAATATCCAAAAATAAAAATAAAGAGTATACCTGCCGCAAAAGATAAATATAGTATGCCTTTTGATTTTACAAGTGCAAGTGTGCCCAACGTCAATAGCTACTGTACTACATACATAAAGTGCAATAAATTTTACTTGTTAAATTCCGCAAATTTTGATTTGATTAATAAATGAATAAAATTGGTTAATAAATGTGTCCTTTTATTAAAAATATTTTTAACAGTTTAGTTTTTAAATAAAATTTACTAAAACTTCAAATGACAATTCAAAAGTCCAGTAACATTACGTTACTGTCAGTCTCAGAGTTACTTTTATTTAAAATTAAAATACTCGTATTATAACTTTATTACCTTAACACCAGCCGAACGTGATCGCTATAGTAATTTGAATAGTTTGCAACCAATTTGCAACGAATCGACGTGGGCTCGAGCACTAGCATAACACTTTTATAGGTAAATTTTAATTAATCACAGTTCCACTAATGGTATAACATAACTCACCTAGGTTTATTCAGTATGTAACTATATGTGCAGATCTTGAGACAACATTTTTAAATACCATTTTTAGAACATTGAAAAGTCATATTTCCATTGTTTTTTTAAGGTTTAACCGGGAGATATGGAAATTATGCACATTGCTGTTAGTTTTGGATTTAGTCGGTTCCAGCAAACTAGATGACATAATAATGTTCTCCGTGATATGCTTCTATGCTTATGTGGTATTTATATATCAAAATTTTGTTTCACCGATATGTTTATATTGCATTAACTTATTTGTTTTGGTTGGTTTACGTTTGTGAGCCGTCGGCTCAGATCGTTATTGGAGGGAGGACTGAGTAAACCAGAGCGGAGGCAGTGGGATGCTGTGCGCTTGCGTACTGACTTTCGTTCATAGGGCGCATTCCCTATAAATATTTTACTATCATATATATAATTTGAAATGGAAAGGAAAAATCGCTTAAACGCCACTTTAGTAACTTTACAGATATGAGGATCAAAGTATTTTATTTAAAAAAAAAAATAAAATTCATTGTAAAGGAGAGGTAGCGCCATAAAAATAAAAACATATTCATACAATAATATTTTCTATATAGCCTCTTATTAAAAAGTAACAAAGGGCCTTTAATTTACGAATTAGATGTCGCTTAAGTGAAAATCTCTTGGCCCGACATTCCGCCCTGAAGAACTAACTAACTAACTATATTTTTTTGTCAAGCAAACATCAAATCAAACGCCAAATAGCAAGGCGTAAGCGCCATTAGTTCAAAAAACACCAAAATTTATTTCGTTTCAGCGTTGTGAACAATTAAAAGCTTAAAAAATTGAGTTGCTTAAGCGTCAAAAAAGTACTCATATCTTCACGAAACATAAACATATTGACGCAGAAAATAAAACGATGGGTTGCACTCCGGGAGTGCCGACAGAAGTAAAAATTTGAATATTAACGTTGTGCATTTTTGATATTTTGGAATGGTTAGGGAACAATTGTGCACGAATTGCTTTAATTATCAGTATAAAAGTATTATCATTTATGTGGTAAAATACAACATTTATTAATGCGCTATCTTACACAAACATGACAATTTATATTACATTAAAAAGTTTATCTCTCAGAAAAATCAACTTCCATGAATCACATTAAGGCGCACTTAGCGACATCTATTGTAAAAATAATGCATTGTTTTCGCAATAAAGCTGCTATCTGGAAGTCCTAGTTAGAGACTTATAATTATAATACGATAAAATAAAATATTACTATGTTTCGTCCAATATAAAAGTCAACAACCTTTCCAATTTTATTGTTACAAAAAAAGTGTAGAACGCTGCTAAAGAAGTTTTCACTTCAAAATTCTGATTTAAATGATATAAATAATTCATTTTCGAGCAAAGTGGCGTTTAAGCGATTTTACCTTTCCACTGTCGAAATCTTTTTTATTTTATTTTTTCGCATATTAACTTCGTAATACTGTTCAAGTTTCATAATACTACAATTACTTAAATGGCAATGTTTCTTCTTAGACAAGTCGACAATAAGTATAATCTAAGTGTTAAGGGTTTATCTGTTTATTTGCAAGTTAGTTCCACCATAATCCATCATATTAATAGTAGAAAACTGTGATTTGCGTATTAGTTGATTGACGAAGAAGTAAAATAAAAAAGAAGTTTTATTTAAACTGATTTGTTATATAAAACACGTTTTAACGGGTAAGATTTTATTTCTTTATTGACGTTTCGCAGCCTTTTCAGGTCAGCGTCGTCAGACTTATAAACGTGAAAACCTAAGAAACAAATATTGATTTGTTATTTCATCTTTTGTACCCGAACCATAGTGATCACATTCGGGATGACTTCTTTTTAGTTTTTTTGCTTTTCTTGATTTTAATACAAGCACACCATTTTTTCTTAATACTGGCTGATTCACACGTCCTGTCTTCAGATATTGGGAGAAATAGACTAATGCCTCTTCGTTTCTTATCATAAACTGTTATTCTGGTTGAAATTTCATGATTCCGTATAGCGTGTAGGTTAATAAGGTCGACAAGAGTTGCATGCATATCGAAAGGAGTTGTTAGGCGGTGGCTATTAACTTTGAGATTGTCATACGCTGCTGAGTATTCAAGTCGAAACGATTGAGGCAATAAAATACTTGCTATTGGAAGATTAGCTTCTTTACTTAATTTCTTCTTTATCTTATTATCTAAAAGCTTCAAGCCGCCATCGCTCAAAACAATTACAACTGTTTTATTAAGGTCACCAGAGTTTTCAATATTTCGAAGAAACATTGCATATGCATCATCCATCACCATCGGTAAATTCAAATATTTATGACTTATCGATGATTCCCAGAAAATTCCAAATAGCTTTGACGATTCTGCACTGTACATAATGTTTTCCAGATGATTGAGATTGGTACGATAAATAAATTCATTTCCGAGACATATATTATTATCACCACTGGCTTCGTTAAATGATGGACGTAAATAGTAATCTGTTGGAGTGCTGGAGAAACCGAAATTGTTATTAACAAAAATGCCGTGACCAATCGAATCTTCTAGAAATGCTGAATAGTAACCCTCGTCCTTGAACCTTTCCCAAATAAATGAACAGCTGTCGAGTGTTGTATGAGCATCGGGCCAGCAAGTCCTTTTCAACTCTTTTACTTCCATACCCGCGAGAACTGGTATCAAATTATTAAATGTCGATTCGGCTACTCTGTTGTAACCAAACAATTCTATAGCACCTTTATCTGCAAGAAATGTTGAAGTATGTCTCATTGTACGATGAAAATTTGCTCTAGAAACGGCACTTAGACCCAGTATTATGACATTGTATGCAGTATTATTTGGAAATTTATTAAAAGGTATTGCTCTCTGTCCGGTGAATGGTTTTTTGATAGTAAAGGCAAAAAATTCCTCGTAGATTACCTTTAAGTTGTATCTGCATGTAACTCTTACATACTCGTCATTGGCTTTAATAGATTGTTGAAAATATTTACAATGTGATTTTGCATATTTATTTTGAATCTGGAGATATTGCCTCGCCTGGTAACAACATTCAAAGTCAACAATCCTTTTTACGTGGTGATGGTTAAGATTTTCGTCTAAAACTCGAATATGAGTTTCGTTCTTTTTCAACAACGGGTAACGTATACTTTGACACGGTTTTAAAATTTCTGGATTTCGATAAGATTCCCAAAGTGAATTACGCGACCAGCTGACGTATGGTATTCTGCATTCTTCGGTTTCAATAAGTGCCTTCTTGTTTGCTGCTTCTTGGTAATCATAAAGTGTAACGTTTAACATATCCCGGAGATAAAATATCTTATCATTTATCCTATATGCTGAGCTGTCTGTCCACAATGTTGTTATAATAACTGATATAAATAATACAGTCTTGATTTTTACATCATCTATTTTCTGGTTCATATCACTCACGATTACAAACTGCTATACCGATTAAAAAAAAATGGATAGGTAAAAGAGACACTATACATAACAATGGTACAGAAAAAAATGTAGATTGTAGTATCTACATTTTCCACAACCGGATTCCGGACCGGATTCCACAACTGCTGAATGTTTTAAAATTATACTTAACTAATTAGAAATTATTTTGTTTTTTACAACGTCGTGTAAAATAACGGACTAACCTGATATTACTGAGTCTTCAAATTCAGTTTAATGTGTACAGTAAGTGAGTACAAACACGGTAATGAATCACGGAAACCGCTGAGAGGAAATTTCTTTGGTTTGTTAACAAACATTCGATGTTATGTCGACTTTGCCATTTTATGGCTTGTTAGTTAGCGGTACTAGATTAAAAACTACTTTTCAAAAGCTGCTCGAATGCATTTGTTTGATTACTGAGGGTGGTCAGCCACAAAGGATTCTTTTTACCTATTTAGGTAATTGGTCTTGCAAACTGACATAATCAGCATGATATAAAAACATTGTACTTACCTACGTCAACAGGTTTATTTGTATAAATAAACAAATAAACATATAAAAATTATTATATATATATAGATTTAAATAACTTTGAAGAAATATATTAATAACGAAAATATATATTTAAGTTAGAAAAATATCATTAAATATGATAGTATGAATTAGTTACAAACGTAGTTAGGCGTATCCGGGTTAATATAAGTATCTAACACTATATCTTCTTCTATACTATATTTAAAACAGTTTATTATTAATATTGTATTGCTGAAGTTTGTATATTTGTTTGGTTGAACGCCCTAATCACAAGAACTACGGGTCCGATTTGAGAAATTCTCTTTGTGTTAGATAGTGCATTTATTGAGGAGGCTATACGTGGGACACTCAGAAAGTTTTGAGAAACTAAAAAACTATCTTCTATGAAAAATCTCTCCACCAGCCTCTACACAAAGTTTCATGCGTCTGAACCAATTTTCGAATCATTTTTTCCAGTCCTCCGCAGACGCCTCTTCCACGGCCTTCTCAAACGCTGCTAGCGCTTCATCCGGTGATGAAAACTGTATCCCTTTGAGCTAATTTTTTATTTTAGGGAATAAAAAGCGGTCAAGTGCGAGTCGGACTCGCCTATGAAGGGTTCCGAGACACATATTAATATACATAATTTATTTTTATTAGCTTTATCATTCTCTTATTTTAGAAGTTACAGGGGGAACACACACATTTTACCACTTTGGAAGTGTCTCTCGCATAAACTATTCAGTTTAGAAAAAAATGATATTAGAAACCTCAATATCATTTCTGAAAGCCTATCCATCGATAACCCATCATGGGTTTGATGAAATTTTTTTTTCGGTTTCAGTGCAAAGTATATGGGGAACCCCAAAATTTTATTCTTTTTTTTCTATTTTTGTGTGAAAATCTTAATGCGGTTCACAGAATAAGTACATCTACTTACCAAGTAGTTTCCCTGCGCTCCTCGATCGTTTTATTTCGTAGGCGTTGGTTAATTTTGAAACAGCCAAACTGTCGACTGACGCCTTGTTTCTGGATCGTATTGATAAATCCAGGATTCGTCACTTGTCACAATATCGTAAACGCGCCGTGACGAGCGTGCATCAAATTTTTGTATCATATCACTGCACTAATCAACACGGACCTGCTTCTGAGCTTCGGTGAGGTTGTGCGGCACCCAGCGGGAAACTATCGTCCTTACGCAAAGGTGCTAGTGCATCTGGGAGCAATTGTCTGGAAATGTTACACTGAACTTCTGACTGAACACTGACTTCAATAGTTTTTTATTATTACATTAAAAAAAAGATTGAATTTAATAAAATTACATTTATTCAATTTAGTTACCTAGTCTAACAGTTTCGAATATTTATGCCCAAGCAGTTTGATCATCGGAGTCTGTCTAACAGGTTGGAAGAAAATTGCCCACTCAGTTCGATCATCGGACTACTAGGTAGGACAGGATGGAATGAACGAAAAGTCGTACATTCAACTAAAAGCACCTAATGTTTTCAAATAACCCTCGTTGATAATGAAAATTTACAACTTTCGCTGCTAGGGGACCGAAGCGGCAGGGAGCATGCGCAATGCGACCTCCTTCACAGCACGCACAGTGCAACCTCTTCCCGAAATAAATCAACATCAAATAGATCGGATATTCAGACAAATTTATTGTATATCTGTCGCATAAAAGATATGAATGAGGACCACATCGTTCTCTCTCGAGGTGAGCCATGCTGTTGCCTATATAATTAATGTGTTTAGCCCCTAAGCGATGCGGGAAAATCGATAATTAAATAACATAACCTGTATCTCGTTTCGACTTTCGGGTTTACTTTCATGTCAGTACCTACTCGGTATCGCGTTACCTACTAATGCCTTTTGTTCGTCTAATAACTGGTAAAAACTGATACCTACCTACTAACTTACAAAAAAAGGACTGATCATAATTCTTATGGTCAATTTAGCTTTAAAATATGTATTTTACCTTTCTACTAAACTAATGATATAAAAACGCATTTTTATGATATCTTTCTTCTTCTTTTTTCTTTTTTATGGCATACAAGGAAATAATTATATGTCGCCAATAATTTTTCGAATGTTCTATTTTGAAATTAGAACAAATATTTTCGGTATTTTGTGATATCTAAAACCATTTAAGTATATTTTATTTATTGGTCGTCCTTCCGCAAGAGAGGGATGCATCTTTTTCTGGTTCTTAATACAATATTTTTGGTCAATATGCTATTATAATATTCGGTATATCAATTAAATTTAAATGTATACTTGTTTTTAACTATATCTCTCCAAGAAAGAACTATTAAGATAAGAACCAATGATTAATTTCCTCCTAGGTGCTAATCCTTCTGTTCCTGACGCTGATCCCGTGGCCGGGGCCGTCGGTGTTCAAGATCACGTGTTCACGTGACAATTCCAAAATCGTCAGGAAAGTTATACAAAACAAATGGCTCCCCGTTTTAGAGCGATTTCAGGTGAGTATGTAGGTAGCTAATTGTCGTTGTTTGGAAATTTTGATTAGTCTTAATCACTAAAGGCCACTTGCACCAAAAATGCTAAATCTCAATTTAACTAAAACTGAATTTAGTCCATAGAAAAACGCCAAACCGTCAAATTGAGATTGACTTATTGTAATTTTTCTATGGGTTAAATCCAATTTTAATTAAATCGAGGTTTATCCAAAATGCTGCAATTGTTTAGATCAAAGAAGAAGAAGAAAAGAAAGTGATTTACAAAGGGAGGGCCTGTGCCCCAGCAGTGGGGAGGAAATTAAATGATGAGTGTCGAAAATTTTTAGATATCAGGTAAAGTTTGCCGTAGTGTACGGGACATCCGTTAACGGGTGAAAAGGGCCGTTGGGGCGGAAAGGTTCTTGAATGGCGCCCACACACCGGGCGACCGACGATCTTGTGAAGGTCGCGGGAAGCCAATTGATGTGAGTGGCGTAGGACCGATTAGTGTGGAGATCATTGAGGGAGGCTTATACTGAGCAGTGGTCGTCTTATGACAAGTTATGCAGCGCGAACGAATTCATATCATTAATTGTATTTTCACCGGTTTAGGCGGTCCTATCGTTGGGCTGAGAAAACTACGCTCACCCTCCCAGTACTGCGAGTCTGCCCTGGGGAGGGAGGCTCGCATTGTACAAGCTCTCTGGCTGCAGATGCCCCCAATACTCCGGGGCATCTTCGTACGTCCGTTCGCGGACCATCACCTGTCTGGGTGTGCGGCCAGTTAGAAATGGGTGCCGCAATTACATCTGCATTACCGGCGCGCATTTTGGGGACCTAAATGAGTGTCGGGTGACCGGTGCAGGAGTATGATCTGGTTGTTACTGGGTAGACGACGGATGCGTAATAAATTTTCTAGACACAAATCAAGGCGGTCCTCTCGTTCATATTTCAGGTAAAGCTACCTCTAGAGTGTCCGTTCCACCCGGCGCGCGACATATTTTCGCCGCAGCACGCCGCCAAGCTGCAGCACCGGCCGTCGCAGTGGACGTGCGCCTTCTGCGGCAAGTCGTTCTACGAAGAGCGACACCTCGACACTCACTTCGACCAGCGACACAAGAACCAGATTAACAAAGTAATTATTCACTAACAACTATCAGCTTATTGTAGAGGCTACAAAACTTTTTCCGAAAACCACTTTAAAAAAATGGCGGTTTACCCCTGCTACTACATTGCGACCATATTCCTTACTTACTCTTTAAAAAGTGTGAGGATCTAGCGATGGGAATTTTCATCGCGGCTGAGGCCCTTGGGGATAGGGTTACCATCCGTCCGAATTAGTCCAGACATGTCCGGATTTTTAGACTGTCTGAATATGCGAGATGCGATAATGCGAGCGCCTATGCCTGGATGCCGATTATACCACTGTACCTAAGCGAGTTGGTAATTTTTCCATTTTGTGACTTAAAAGTCCGGGCTGTAATCGAAATATCAGGCTATTTTCCAGGACTTTTCAAATTCCTAAATGGTAACCCCATACTTTGAGAATCGCTTAATCCAATTTCACATCCCTTGCAGGGTTGACAGACTATCGAACAGGAAATATACGTATTAGTATCGAATTAAAACTTAATCTCAAAACGATACTTTTACGAATGACGCCGCATCTCCTATTGAATGGTTATTTTTATTTTTGTTGTTATAAGGCGGAGGACGCAGTATGTCTCGCGGACTACTGTGACATCATGCGGTGCCAAGTGCTGGTGGCACATGGACTACTTAGCGTTGGCGGCGGGCCTGGCACCGACATTGAGGTAAAGCTCTGAGGCCCAAGCGCAAATTTTGACAGCTCCGTAAACGATTACGTCAGTTTGTATGAAAAGTGTAACTGAGCAGCGCCCCGCGCGCACATTGACATTTCGGTTTGCAAACTATTCGAATTCGATAATGGTTCGTGCTAGGGGTACTGAGCAGCGCCCCGGACCCTGTAAGACGTCAGAACAAATTGGCTCCTTTCATACAAAATTTTACGATGACGAGTTGTCGTCTTGCTTGGGCCTCTGATTACCTAGGATTGCGGGGCCGTTTCTCAACGGCCGTAATATTACGGACGCGAAAAGACCTAACGAATAATTACCGGTCTTTAGAAACTCGCGCCTTTTTTTTTTATATAGACAACGTTTTAGTGACGTCATTCACCGTTGTATTACGGCCGCTATATGACGACACCGCAATATATACTAGCAATCAGAGCTTAAGCTTTGGATCGTAGAGCAACTACGATCTAATCTAATCACCAAGATTTTTCGAACATTTATTTTAAGCTTTATGTGTAGAAACATAGGTATAACAAACCTTTGATAGAACTAAATTATGAAGTTAACAGGCTTGCGGCATAAGCTAAACTTATTTTAAAATTTAAAATAAGTTAAGCAGTCGTGTAACAAGCTTATTACTTACTTACGGCCCAAAAAAGAGTGTAATTTATGTATTTCCATTCAGTCATGTTTGTATGTTCAGAATCATATAGGTATGAGCGTTTCCATATTTCATCATAGCTTTCAAATTTTTATCAAGATAAAACATTGTACGTACCTAAGACAAGAAAAAGGTTAAGGTTTACTATTTCGTTAGAATCTTCAGATCATCGCAAGTGACACTAGTTAAGATAATTTGAAAAAATAATAAGATGTAGAAAGGCCGCCGTTTTATAAAGTTAATAAAAAATAGGTTTTGTTAAGTAAGCGTTATCGTTCGCTCGTATAAAAAGATGGGCACTTGTCTTCAATGCCAGGTGTGGCAAGACATGGAGGCAGCACGCAAGGCACTAGCGCCGGCCGCCACCCGCAGCGTGGCGCGCGTGCCGCAGCGCCGGCGGTCGCGCCCGCGTCCCGACTCAACACCGGCGCCCCGAAGGGACTGCCCATCTACCGACACCCAGCCTGAAGAACCCGGTCAGTATCGATTCACTAACTAACAAGGAGTGCCGGGACTGCTCTTCCGGTACAGCACCCACTGAATAAGCCTCAAATAAGACAAGGGAAGCTAAGTACCCATTTCAAGACGTTCCACGAGGAAATAGTCCGCCTGCCCAGTGCTAAGGTGCGCGCTTCTTATCTGCAGATGGTGAGGAGTACCGACTCATTCAAGCTTACTTTGCTGAATTGAAAAAGGGACAGCACAGTGTTTTCATAACTATCTGTCGCACCAAAACTTAACTCACTCCAGAGAGGTTGGTTACGTGGGGTGGGTACGATAGAATCATTTACTGAGTCTTCTTTAAAATATCCTTCACCTTACTAACGAAATGCAAATATCAAGGGCGTCACCAGCCGATGGATAGTCATATGGTTCAGGAATCACCACTAGGTGATTCCAATCCATTCAAGTTTCGATGTGCAGAAAGCAGAAATGTTTGGTAACGCCAGCAAGTCAAATGAGTGAATGACTTTGGTTGCTTTAAAATTTACATTTATTTGGCTTAATTTTTTATGTCCAGGGGGGTTCCTCGCCCTTGGCAAATATTATTAAATATTGTCACAAACAATAATTTGGATTTAACAGAAGTCGAAGAGAAAAGGACTGAAGATAGCGAAAGTGATGCCAATCAAACGGCAGAGCTGTGCGACGCTGACACAGTGGAATCATCTCTTCCTCCAGACAGTCGTCAGAAACGGCTAGCCGATTTGCAAGCGGAGAGGGCTGCTTGCGACCCCGCCAGGCTTCAGGGTCTCAAGGTCAAATGCGAGAGGGTCGTACACTCTTGCATAGCGACACTGTTGCTCCACTTAACACAGCACCAGTTTACGGAACTTGAAGGTCAGTCACAAACCGTTATAATATTAACATATTTATTTTAAAAAAAGAACCTTGACACTTTTAGATAAAGGAGAGATTTAGAAGTTTAAAACGTGTTAAAACGAAATTACTATTACTTCTTTCGATTTTTTTTATTGTATTTGTAAAATGTTATCTATTTTATAAGAAACTAGCGGACCCGACAGACGTTGTCCTGTCTACACGTCTTTGTGAATCTAAACCATTCTCAGATCCCCTTGAACACACACAAAAAATTTCATCAAAATCGGTCCAGTCGTTTAAGAGAAGTTCAGTGACATACACACTCACAGAAGAATTATATATATAAAGATAGATTATAAAAAAACTGAAGATGGTATATTTATCTTTTCCAAACTTCTATTGACATCACGTCGCTCAATTGTTTTGCCTTCCCAGAATCTCTCCACTAACATTTGAAATTTATGGTATGGTATTAAAGTTCAAATTGACTTTTAAGTATTATTACGAATCGTTTGTATGGGAGTAAAGAAAGGTTTTGTTTTTTGACATTTTCAGGCATTTTTTTTAATTTTTCTCTTCGTAAGAACCATCCTCGTACTTCAAGGAATATTCTAAAAAAAAATCAGCCAAATCGGTCAAGCCGTTTTCATGTTATGTCGTGACAACGGAAAACGGGTTTCATTTTTATATATATAGATTATAGAAGGCATTGTCACATTCATAAGGTCTCGGTGGCACTGCTGTTGGATATCTGTCAATTCCGCTAGTTCATTTTATTTATTTAAGCATTTTAGGTGTAGGTTGGGCATGCTTTCCTTTAAAAAAAATTTTTTGGTGGTTAGACGATCCGAAGGGTTACTTTCTGTCTCTGAACTGACTGAGAGTAACAAAAAACGAACGATTCAGTGTTTGCTTATTTGGCCCACAGAGGAGATGCAGCGCGCCGTGTGCTGGTACCTGAGCTGCGATCGCTACTGGGAGGAAACGGCGCCGAGCGCTCGCGCCTTTCCCTGGCCGCTGCTGCTGGCGCTCGCCACCGGCCTGGCCCTCGCGCTCTGCATGTGCTACTACATCATTTGGATCGTGTTTGAGTGCGTATATTGCGACCATACACATATGTACACTGCTACTAGGAGGAGACGGCGCCGAGCGTGGTCATTTTTATTCAATAAATATTGATTTAAAATGAAAAAAAAAATAACATTTTGTTCATACCAATTTTTGTAATTCTGTGGTATACTCCCTGATGTTAAGCGTGCATAAAATGTAGTTGCGAAGATTGCTGATGCAGCACGTAAAAGTCCTACAGAGCAAGAGAGGTTAAAAAATACTTTAAAAAAGCAGCTTACCGGCAGGTGGGCGCAACCTATCCCATTCTGGAGGACGTAGCTTTTTTAATTAAACAAAATGTGACAGATTGCTCAAATACTTACTAAGATCACGTATGGACATAACTATTACAACTACATACTACTATTTGTCCAGCTCGGAGGAGGGCAGCATCGCCGGCAGCGCGTCAGTGTCGATGACGACACACTCATCCCCGACGCGCGGCGAGCGGTTAGTGGGCGACGACGGACTTGACGACCCAGACCAAGACGACCACTACATTTACGTCACCTACCCGCCGGAGCTCAAGCGGCGTCTGCTCGAGAGGTACGACAACATTACGCTCATTGTGCTTTCGCCTTTCATCAGGCAGACTCGAGTCGATTAGGATTAGCAACGAACTAAAAATATGATTATAATCAATATCAATGCTTTATTATTATTTTAAAATCACAGAAATATCTTTCACCAAATGAAAAATACAGAAGAGATATAAGTATACGTCATGAGCTTAGGTGCAGTTAGACTGCAATGCTGTTTTCGGGTGCTTATTTCATTAATCATCATTTTAGGGATGCATTCGGAGACGTCAATTTACTTTTAAGTTGATGCTGAAACTTTCTAGTTTTCAGTTTCATTACGTAAGTACGTCAGTTCAGTAAGGAAAAACGTCTTGGTGTTTAATTTGATTAACGCTGAATTAACGTTTCTGAGTGCAGTCCTAAGACATTTAGTTATGGTGCCTACGTGATAGCTGTCTTTTATTTATGTGGGTACTTATGATTTTTTGACAAAAGTATAAAGTTTTTAGATAGCACAGAAATTTTTATTTGGTATTTATGTGTTTATTTTTATCTACAATATGAAAGAATTTCGTGTTAGAAAATTGTCTAAAAATATCTTCGTTTTTATTATAGCCTTTGTAGCTTTTAATTATTAATGTTTTAAACCATTTTTTATTTAATTAATAGATATTGCTAGACCATAGATAGATCATATTCATATAGATCGAAATGATAAACCAAAAAAATGATTCTTCTCGTGTTGTTGGTTTTCTAATAAATGTTGTTTGTTATAGCTGCTACAATAGAACGACTCGTCTCTGAGACACGACGTGCCATGTTGCGTCGCGCATGCGTAATACGTTATACCACAGTAGATTATACATACGTGTAGCATAGTATCACTTCTGCAGTTCGAATGTCTAGTAAAAAGTACCTTTTATCGATACAAAAAACGCTGATATAAAAAAAAAGATTTTGTGACATAATTGTCATTAAGGTTACGACCAAGTGACTACAATTATGCAATTTGCAATGTTATATCTAGGTATACATTTTATTTACATTTTAGCTAGTCGGATCATGTGAACTAATATTTACAAAACTAACGAACGAATTAAAGTTTTTAAGCCATTGATCGATAAAAGATACAGTTATATTATGATCTTAGCATAATAATATTTTTACATAATAAAAATAATTTGTAAAGTCCCAATTGAAACAAACGCAAATACGAATATAAAATTTATTAATTTATCTGCTGTCTAAAAGTTTTTACTAGCAAAAAAAAACTAAAAATGAAGATCCTCATTTTCGCAATAATACTGACCTTATGTAGTTAGGCTAGGTTAAACCTTAGCTGTATTTTGCTTTCTAAAATTGGTGCCTAATTTATCCTTAGAATAAAGCGAACTATTTATTTTCTTTAATTCTCTAGTTCTTCAGAAGAGACTATTGTACATAGAATTTGGGTTTTTATCTACCTATTAGATACCTTTTTTATAAACCACTTATCAAAACGACTCTCGATATTATCTAAATAATGGATTTTTACCAGATGATATTTCCGAAAACTCAGTCCCATTGTTAGTTACCTAAAAAGGAAACGTGACCAAACTTCGTTATTCTTTGATCCCTCATTAATATACACACATCAAAAGTGTCTAGGGATCAAGCATTTTTATGCGGATTTCTTGAGATTGAGATGTGGCTTTGTAATAAATTTATGATTTTATAAATTTATATGGATCCTTTTTGGTGCATATCATAATTTGAATCAGGAACTGTGAATCAAATTCGAGTAAAAGATGAAAATCAGCTGTCAATATTTTCCCTATAAAAACATACAACGCATTGAAGACATTATTAGTGCTACTGTTTCCCTACTACTGATTAAAACCAACGTTATTATGGAGCGGCGACGTCATTTAAGCAGGGAAGAAATGCTCAGAGCCGTGGGAATGATAGAAGCTGGTTCCCGGCAACGTACTGTGGCTTTAGCTCTGAATACAAGTCAGAGTGTTATCAGTCGACTTTGGACACGATACCGAAGCACTGGTACCGTGGCTGAGCGCCATGGAGGACGGTATCGCTGCACCACACGGAGACAAGACCGATACATTCAAATCTTAACTCGAAGAGCTCCAACAATAACCGCCATGATGTTAGCCGTGAGGCTTCATCACTCTTCAGGGAACTTAATTAGCGACCAAACAGTCAGAAACCGCTTGCATGAAGTGAACCTTCATTCCCGAAGACCGCTACGGGTACCACCTATAGCAATGCACAATCGTAGGATTCGATATCAATGGGCTCTTGAACACAGAAATTGGGCAGAAGAACAATGGCGTTTCGTGTGCTTTTCTGATGAGTCTCGTTTTGGTATGAGACCGGATACAAGACGTATACGACACTGGAGAACCCCTGGACGCCAACAGCGATTAAAATCCTGCCAGGAAGTCCATCCTTATAGTGGTGGAACCATAATGGTATGGGCGGGTATTTGGATCGGCGGAAGAACTGAGTTGATTTGGATCAGAGGCAACCTCAACGCTCAAATTTATGCTGAGACGATTGTATCAGACGTCATCGTTCCTCTACAAGTGCAAATCGGTCCCTTATTTCAGTTAATGCATGATAATGCACGACCGCACACCGCAAGAGTTGTAAGACAGACTCTCGCCGCAGCTAACATCAATGTCCTGCCCTGGCCTGCTCAGTCGCCAGACTTGAACCCGATTGAGCATGCATGGGATATGCTACAGAGAAGAGCTCTGCCGAATATGGAGGGTATCCAGTCGCAAGAAGACCTTTTTTTGTTGTTGCAACGAACATGGGCGGCCATTCCACAGCGTGATTTGGATGAACTCATTTTGAGTATGCCAAACCGATGTTCTTGTGTTGTTAGTGTTCGCAGTAGAAATACAGATTATTAATTGTTTAAGTTACCCAATAAAATTTTAGAGAAAACTGTTATTTCAGTCTTTTTTTCGAACTTTTGTGTTAGTGGTTCAAATGTCAAAAATCCCTTTATTAGGAAAATGGCAAATTTCTTTATTAATGCAAAGGTGACTTGGTTTATCGTTACTGTGACAAACGAAAACACTTTATTTGATGAATCCTTAAAGAAAATTTTAATTAATATCAATCAGGAGAAAAGTTATTGCAAAAATATATGTTGATCCCTAGACACTTTTGATGTGTGTATTTAGATGCAGTAGATAATTTAGATTCATATTTCTTTTATGTTTTATAGAAGGTATGTTAATTAAAAGGTTTGTTGATTGTGATTGTGACCTACTTTCATGATTATCATCAAACGATTTCACACTACGCGGCGCCTTCTTCGTCGCATCGGCGCATTCTCGTTTCGTTTCTGTACCGAATCTGTACAGATTCTTTACCGCGAACCATTTACAGGCTTCTTTTCGTTTTGATTGAGCGAAATGACGGGACGGGCGAATCGAATGGTTCCGTAGCACTCGGTACAGAGAGGTGTATATGCGCTTGGTAAGTATCTGTACCGAAAATACTCCGTTAGGAAACTCTTATCCTTAAGGCTTGCGCAGACGAGGCACTTTTACCGCGGACTCGTTTGTCCGCCAAAATACATCGCTTACAACTAGTTTTGAGTAACGGACACGATGGATTAAAAGTATCGCGCACAAAAAGTCCCATGAATAGAGAGATCGGATTGGACTAAGGAAGGGGGAGTCCCTAGCCATTAACTTATCGATTCGATATAGAGGGAAGGACCCAGTAATCTATTTTAAAAATTCCTATCTTTTCTTAAACTTCATGTTAATTATAACCTAACGAAATCTCAGAACATTTGCTTCTATAACGTGCGCTTCACTAAATTTCTGGGCAACAAATGATCGTACGCGTTGTTTATTGAGTCTGTGGCACGTTCTTGACAGACATTTTTTCACAATTCAGGTTTTTTTTGTCCTCTAAGGACAAAAGTCTCTTCGCAAGCCTTTACGTTATGGTGTTATTTTTATTATTAGGAATGTGCTACTGATAGACAGCTGATGTCAGATGCTATGCTAAAATACTAATAATTAAATTAATAAAAATATTTCTTCCTCTACCAAAAATACATAGTATTGTGAAATCGTCTTTATGAGATCATAATATTAGTGTCATTTGTTATTTTTCACACCCAAGTGCAGTTATTTATCATAAAGCTTTCATTATTCAACAACTTACTGTGGATATTTTATTTATTTTATTGGTATGTAGTAATGGAAAGGTACATGAGGCTGCTTACGAAGATCAGACATTAATATATTCTGGTGAAAAAAATATATACCTAATGTATGTATGTGTGACACACGTCTTGAAATCATGTCTGTTAAACGTCGTTTTATAAAATCGACAATGAAAGTCGATGAATATTTATGTCTACTTGATAGTAGATCTTATACATTTGATGTGGAAAAGCGGCCTTAAGGTGTGGTATCGGGAACGCACAAGTAACCGTAACGGATTCTCCGTCGATCAAACTGGAATAAATTCCATTTGTCAAGTTATATTTAAAAGTATGTACCTATACGTAATACCTATTTGTCCTAACCTCAAAGTAAAAGCAATATTCATATAGAAAATGTATGATGCGCTCTCGATTGTATCTAGCTACAATGGTCTAAGTATGTACTTAGACCACAATCAATTGCAATGTTTTTGTCGATATGTCAAACTTTTGTCGTTTATTGCAACTAGAGTTACTTCTTAGGGGTGCATTGTCTCTTAAAATTATATGAGAATCATCATTGATCAGCCAGCTGACTTGATTTTGTCCATTGTCGCAAGTTATACTTTGCCTAAGAACTCACGGCGCAATTTCCTCTCGCGCACGCGCAGCTGCGGGACCGCAAGTTGCGTAGAATGTGAAATAGTCAACGATATTAAATACATAACATAATAGATACACTACGTGCGCTCAAAATGTGTCCCAATTAAGAAGTGCTTGTACACGACTCAAGCATTTCTTGGTTCACAGTCACGCGCAGACCGTTGAAAAGTCAACAAGCCACTGTGCTCCGTGAAAAATGCGAAAATAATACTTATAGTATGTAAAATGTCGTTTTTTCAACGGGTATGTAATCAATGTCTGTTAATTTAACGCATCTGAAGTAAATTTTGTTTTAATATTTACTATAAACTGATTTAATAGAAAATATTTGTGATATTCAAATGCATGGTCGGTTATACGTCGCCGTATATCCGTCTCTTTTCCTTGCGGTCCGTACCTGCTATATTGCTAACCGCGCATTCAGAATTGCGCGTAGAGTCAAAGAAATAAGGTCTATATTCTTCCGCATATAGCAATAAGTCGTAAAATTTTACGCGCCTATATTTCGGACTGTCATAACTCTTTGACGCATATTATGCGTTTTAATGAAGACCTTACACAATTTGATTTAAAGGTGATTTTCAATGATTAAATAATGCCTTATATTGTTTACACTACGCGATCATCTTACGGAGCTCCGTGAATCGTCCAATATACCTTGTGGACAGGTTTCGGGCATGATTTTATTCGTATTGGTGTATCTAGGTTATTTAATATCATTGGAAATAGTAGGTAAAACGCAAACACGCTGCGACTTACGCCCGCAGAGCTCACGGATATTTGCTTCACCTGCTGCGGGCGCGCGCGGGACGCGATTTTCCGCAGACGTGGAGGGCTTTGCTCGATCTCACAACCGCGGCGGCTGCGGGACCGCAAAAAACTGCGGTCTCGTGAGTTTTGAAATAAAACAGCTCCGCGGCCACCCGCGCCAGGTGCGGGAAAAACCCTCTCCGTGAGTTCTTAGCCCCTGTGGTAACTTGATGTGTGGCTGACTGTACATAAAATATAAGGAAAAATCCTTTTCCATGAGATACTAAATAATATTACTTAATTAACATGAGATCCAATGATAACGGTTACGCGTTGAGTTGTGAAATATAGAAAGTAAATGGTTTATTGTATTGTTACTTTAAGCATTTAACTGCTGGATTTCTAAATTTAAACGTTTTTTTTACTAGAATGAATTCCACTTGTTCCTTTTGATCATAGCCACTTGCAACTAGAGCTACTACTTAGGTGTATATAGAGTAGATTTTTTCTAGTAAAAAAAAACTTATGATGTAAACGGTTGTTTTCGAAAAGATTTTATAATGTAAGGAGCGTATATTGCTTTTAAGTATATTAACACTATAAGTAAAAAATGTGGCAAACTGTACATAACGAAACAATGCACTTGTGGATTAGTTTTATAATTAAAATGTGCAAAATTGCAACAATTAGATACTGGAATCGTGCCATGAAATCTCATGGGGTTTTTTATGTATTATTCCTTTCTTTTTGCTGCATCCTAAAGGCCTATTTATTATTATACCGATAAGTAAATGTTACCGGCAATTTATAAATGTAATAAGAAATTCTAGAGAATGTATAAAACGTTCAGGCAATGTATTTAAGCGAGATAACTGGAAAATGTGCAGAGCAAGCATGTGTTGCCCTCAAATTACAGAACAGAGCGCACGAAACACGCAATGCGTGGGATCAAAGCAAATACGAAGTCAAAACTAAAAACTTTTTAGTCTTTTTGAACAGTTTTTACAATGTTTGAAAAGTCGGCACAGTTTTGTTAAAAACTTAATATTCACGGGACGTATTCACAACACGATATGTTGCAGTGTACTGTCTCGATTGACATTCGCTTTTGACTTCGTATTTGTTTTTTGTCCCTTGCGCTCCATCTGCCTTTTGCTCTGTAATCTGAGGTGTTGCCAAGTTTTTAACATAATCACCATGTCATAAAATAATTTCTTACCTTAACTTAATATGACAAGCTCTGAAAGTAGAATCCTTAAACTCAAATATTTCGTTAATTTAATGCATCAGTAATATTTTACATTCTGGTTCAGGGCACTAATCTAACTCGCACTTCCAAATCTAAAATGAATGAGTTTTCAGAATACGCAATTTAATAAAAAAATAATAAGCCGATATTATGATAGAAAAGTAATTGGAATTAGGTAAACCACAGAATAAGCACAAATAAATTTGGATAAATAAGCCAACAGTTTGATGCTTTTTCATTTTATACTTTGCCTCATAGCATCCCTTCAGTCTAAAAAAATATAAACGAGCTAGGCATTCTTCATAATGGCTAAAGTATATACTTTGCCCGTGACATTTACTCACATAAGATCGGCAAACTATTGGAGTGAGAAACAATATTGAATAAGAGAAATATGACCTCATTTGTAGTTTATCACACTTGTGATAACTTTACTAATTTATTTACTTATTTATGTAAGAACATTAGGATACGTACACATTATTAGATTTCAGATTACATTCATTGTGTAAAGCAAAAGTGCAAAATTTTAATAAGTAGCTTAATACAATTTATACTCGAAAATGCTTTCAAGAGACTGAGACTGTAAGGCGATTTATTTAAAGTAAATGATCACGAAAGTACTATGTAATACTCACAAGCACCTTCCATTTCATTTATTTACTTTGTATATTGACCGTAATAAAGTTTGTTAAATAAAAAATGAAAACAATATTGTGTAATTATTTATTAAAACTGTACAAATTGCAGTCTTTCTTATAAAACTTATAATTTAAAGTGTAGATTAAGTTGTAAACACACATTTTTGGCTCAAGTCTGAACTTGATTTATAATAGAAAAGTAAAATTTTTAATATAATCGAAGTAAGAGCGCATATAAAAAGCATCCCCGAAATTTCAAGTACAAGGTTATGTTTTAAATTACTTTAATAATGGTATAATTAAAATCTATATGTATACACTCGGCGTGACATAAATCGCAATAGCGTCATTTGCAAGCCCATTAAATCAACTTAAGAAAAACAATTCCAGTTCATTAAAAAAAAAGCTTGATACTACAAATGTGACTTTAAAAAAAAATGCCAATTTTGTTCCTCAAAAGGGCCAATAGTTGCACTACCTTTACAAAAGGGTTAATCCAGGTTCAATGGGGGTTACCCTAGCCCATTGGTTGCAAAGGGCCGCCCATCACAGCGCGTCCTATATGAACCGGACATCATGATAGTGGCTAGGCTGGCCCAATCTGGCTGCATGTCAGAAGGCCTAATCCGATGGTAAAGAGTTTACATGCGGTTAGTGGAGTTTGAGCTGGGTGGCACACAATGCCCACCGAAGCAGACAAGCTCGCACTTACAGCGTTCAACGCAAACCGAGAGCTGTCCATCGAGATGCCACCGCCACCACCTAGCAACACGACAAAGAGAAAATGCGGCCCTCCGTCAGCCCAACAAAACCAACAGGAGAAGCACGTCTGTGCGACTGCTCGAACGCCGGACCCGCGTGACCCGCGCCAACGCAGGTCCCACAGTATCAGCGACAAGTCTACGCCGCCGCTTGAAACGCCGACGACATCACCACAACCACAGCCACAGTTAACGACTCCCGTAACAATGCAACAGCGGGAGCAACGCCCAAGACATCATCAAGAAGTCATCGGCTCGCCAACCCCAACCAACTCAACACTCGGCACATCGGAAGCAACGATGGTAAAAAGGGGTATAGCGAGACAGCTATACCGACAAGAGAGCCGGTAAGAGAAAAAACACAACTACCCTCAATTACTTACAGGTAGTGGCCACGTCCCTGACCCCGCCTCCACCTGTATGGAACAAGCCTGCCACAACAGTGGGCAAAACCGGCCCAATCACAAACGCGACAATACCACGAACCGAGGTAAGCGACCACGCGCTGGCCTCGCTCATGACCCCAGCTAACGCACCGCCCGTCCACGACGGGACTAATACCACCCGCCGCCGCGCCGTCGAAAAAAAAGTGGTCGCCACGCTGGTCAAAAAATCGACGCGGCGCAACCACAGCCACCTGAAAAACTGGCGCCTGGATCCAAACAGGCATACACAACACAGGACGACATACAACGCCTGTTCGCCCTCGCCGAACAGCTCCAGATAGGCCTCCGCTCTATAAGTCAACAACATTTGTACAAGCCATTTTAATAATATTTTTTTTTAAGTTTGCATTCCGAGTCGATGCACTCTCAACTGCTGACACAGTTGACCCAGTAATTGTTTTAAGACCAATATTATATGACAGTACAATAAAGGCATTCACATCATATTGACGTATTTTAATAATTATCTCCTGACTATCGTCCCGTGAGTAATTGACATATTGACAGTCGTAAGGGTTTTAGTAACGGCCCCTCCAGTTTGGTCCTTCGAGCGAACTTTTCTAGATTTTCGGTTTCGCGAAAATACGTGAACGTGGTTTAGGAAAGTATTATCAGTGACAGGATTGACAGTGCATTGCGATAATATTAAGTGACATATTATATTAGTGACGGGGCGTCCAGTGACAATAATTTGCAATACTATAGAATCTTATGACATTCTGCAGTGACATACATTAGTGACAATACAATTATTAAGTGACGCAAATAGTTGTCACTATTTGCGTATTAAATAATAATTATTTGCGTAATATATAATAAGTAATAAAAAAATGACATCAATCAGTGACAATTTATAACTCAATTATTGACATTAATTAGTGTCAATAAAGTTTTATATCAATTAATGACAATTGCAACATTTAGTAAAATCAAAAAGTGACATATTTTGATGTGCTAATATAACAATCAAGCAAAGCCGTGTAGCCTTGCGAGTGACTAGCGATCGAGGCGCACAGCGTTGTAGCAATCATCTCTGAAGCTATACCTGACAGAGGAGCCGGTGGTCTGTTCGCGAACTTCTCATCGTGACATCGTTGTCTCTCGGATTTCTAGGCAACATCCTACACAGCTGACATCAATATCCTGCAACTGGAGTCGGTGATCTATCAATGAACTTCTCATCGTGACACCGTCGTCTCTTGGATTCCGAAGAGACATTCGTCGCAGGTGACATCAGTACCAAGTAAGACTGTTTCATTATTACTTAAACGACGCATTGACAAGAATGGAGGCTATTTTAGATAATCAGCAGTCCGTTATAGAGGCTTAGAAAGGGAAAATATTAATTTCAAGAAAGATTATTTTAGAAGAAAGACTCCTGAGTACATTGCTAGCAAGTTAGAGAGAGTAGACAAATATTGGGAAGATTTTGAATTCAATCATGACTAACTATTGAATGAATATTTTATAAAAAAAGGTGTACCAACAAACACAAGAATATTATGAATCGACGCGGGATATGATTGTGAGTTTCAAGATGTCAGGTGACAAAATAGAGATTGGGCAAAATACAGTATCAGATGACACATCAAAGTTGAAAAATTTGATACATCAACAAAGAACCAACTTTAAAGCGTTTCTTAGGCAAATTCAGTATTGTAATGTGGACGGGATAGATGAAAAATGTGAGTTAGAAATGAACTTCGTAACATAAAAGCACGCTGGGAGTGTATTGACAAACTACATTGGAAAATAGATAATTTGATAGACGAGTCGAACCCGGAATATGAAGATGAGTTTAACGATCAAGAGCAAAGAGATAGGAAAATAAAACGGATTTAAATAGACACATATCGTGTACGGCTCATCTTAAAGAATCAACACCGAAAATGGACTCTCCTGTGTTTACAGGGAATTATAAAGACTGGCCTACATTTTTAGATTTGTATAAATAAACGATACATAACGACACTACACTCAGTAAGTCACAAAAAATGCAGCACCTAAAGAGTAAAGTGAGAGGAGAGGCAGAGAGATTGATCCAGCATCTCCACATCTCTGCAGACAATTATGACACCGCATGGGATATTTTATGTCAACGTTATAATAATAAACAACTCCTTTTTACCAAACAAATAGAAGTGTTTCTCAACCAGCCAAGTATTTAAAGCAAATGTCATAAGAGATTAAAAAATTACATGACACAAGTAAAGAATGCATGCATGCCATACAAAATCTGGGAGTGGACATACTCGTAGCAACGTGGGGTCCTCTGCTTGTATATCTCTTGTCTAAAAAGCTTGACACAGAGACTTATCGCGATTATCAAGAGGCAAGAAAGAACCCTCGGGAACTTGCAAAATTAGAGGATTTCTTTGCATTTATAGAACTTAAAACAGCACTAGAGCCTATTCGAAAAAGAGAAGAATTTATATTAAATAAAATGACAAAAAATGGTGACAAAATTTGACAAACATGAGAAAAAATATAGGGATCTCAAATCACCCTAATCACGGAAAATGCAGTACAACTCTTAGGCCTTCGTCGACAACAAGTCAACGCGTCCGTCTGCGGAATAGGGGTTGCTCCGAAGAAAGGCATGGGCAAAATCGCCCTGAATTAAAAATCTAGGTTTCAGGTTAGTTTTAAGAACTTATTTGTATTTTTTTGTGTAATTAATCTGGTTTTAATTAAAGCCTAATTAAGGATTTTTATTGTTTTGTAAACTTTATTTGCACGGCTCCAATACAAAATAATAATTATTTGAATTGTTTTTTAAGTTTATTTAATGGGCTTTCAAATGTCACCAATATTGGTTGGGGTAAATGCGTGTGTTGATTATAATAACGCTTGAAAGGTATTATCGCGGAGGTGCGCTTTTTTGACGCCGAGTGTATATATAACTTTACTTCAACCTAATTAATTATTCTTTCTTAGTTAACTACGATGGGTTTTGAAACTTTACCTTTGTTCAAACTTCTCTATTTACCAGATCAAGTATAACTTATTTATTTCACAAACTGATACATAGTTCAGTGAGTCAGTAAAATAATATAGAGTAGGTAAGTCAAGACTGGCTATTTCCAGCCATCACAATGTAAAATAACCCTTTTGATAATATTAACTTCGCACTGTAAACAAAAATTGTAGCATTCCTCAAAAGGGCGATATAAAAATATCTGAAAAAATTATAAGTACCTACGATACAATTGTTGCTGGTAACAAATTTAAAACATACTTACCGATAAGTATTAAATAATTATTTAATATGACGGTAAAACAGTGATCTTATTAGTTTTCTCAGAAAACAAAATACAAATATTTCTCAAATGCACGAACCTTCACTGAACACGCGTGTTATTGCAACACATAAATAATGAATAGTATGTAAAGTTAAAAATTATGCAGAATTTAATATTTTTATTATCTTTCATCTGTATAAAATACGATGAATTTGATACAAAAAAAAGCATTATAATTATTGCAAGATATAAAAAATCTTTTTGCAGATATCCTACAGCATAATGTTATGTTTTTATTAAAAGATAAGAAAAGACAGTGAGATATTGTATACAAAAAAATGTAGAAAAACTTAGAAATGTAAGAGAGTGAGATATTGTATCTTGTATTTGAGTATTAAATCTGAACGACACTTAAAACAAAAAGTTTATTATTAAAGCGAAACGTCAATTTTATACATGTTAACGTCAATAACTTTTTTAGACATAATATTGCCAGCTGAAAATGTAAGTCATTTCCTCAACAACGTATTTTTATCTAGCTACAATAAAAAGAGACCAGAACAATTACGTAAAAACCTAAATATTTATCACATTTAAAGTAATGTTTTACCTTTGGTTATACGTATTTGACACCTTTCCATAGGGAGCTGGCTTCTATGAGACACTTGCATCCGCACCCTGTAGGGCAAGTATCGCGTTGTGTGAACCTGCAACAAAATAATCACTTATTAACACAAGCAAATTATTTTTCGTTAATGGATGAAATTAAAGCAACGGTATCCTGATTGCAAAAAAAGCTTTTTTACTATGTTCAAGCTAAAGTTTCCACATTCATAAATTAATGTAGAGATACCAAGGCTGAAAGGCTGACTAATAATATATATGCAAATAAAATATGCAATGCAAAGAAACTAAGACAATGGTTGTTAAAGTGTGTTAAGTAAATATACTTCTTTACAATGAAAGAATACTTATTGCGCGGGGATGGTCTGTGGGAGGAGGGGCGGAGGGTGTGCACGGGTGCACTAGGTATTGCCGACGCTGCGATATATCTCCAGATATTATTTCTTCGTGTTGCTGTTTCAAATGTGTTAGTGTTTGTTTGTATTACTTTGACTTTGTAATATGTACCTTCATTTATTTAAATGTAATATAAAAAAGGTATAAAGGTTAACATACTTCTTAATCCGAATATTTTTCTGATTCTGAGTTTGAAAAAGGTTCGGATAACGTTTTTTTCTGACAACAGAATTATGAAAGGTCATCTTATATTCATCATCATCATCTTAAGGTCATATTGTTTTTTGTATGTAAAGTCGTTTAAGTATCTTATGTGTAGCGGATACAAGACTGCAACCGCGCAGGCTCTGACGGTGAACATCTGTCGAAGTCGGCAGCCGTCAGGCTACTGATTCATGAGTCGAGCGCATCCCCTTCCCGAGTCCCGCAGAGTATAGGAGGGTCGACCTTACAGCGGTCAAGTTATAGTTTATGTGTAGTGTTTGTGTGGTATGCGTGGCCGGTGTGGCCGCACCTGTAAACGTTAGGTGTGTGTGGGGGACGTATGCACCAGCGCATCATGTGTTGCGCGTGGCCGGCGTGGCCGCAGTAGGCACACAAACAGCCGCAACACGCCGAGCTTGCACACGGCGCAGCGCAGCGCCACGCGGCCGCACCTGTACGCGTTAGGTGTGTGTGGGGGATGTACGCATCAGCGCATCATGTGTTGCGCGTGGCCGGCGTGGCCGCAGTAGGCACACAGACACGCGAGCTCGCACACGGCGCAGCGCAGCGCCACGCGGCCGCACCTGTACACGTTAGGTGGGTTGTGGGGGATGTACGCACCAGCGCATCATGTGTTGCGCGTGGCCGGCGTGGCCGCAGTAGGCACACAGACACGCGAGCTCGCACACGGCGCAGCGCAGCGCCACGCGGCCGCACCTGTACACGTTAGGTGTGTGTGGGGGATGTACACACCAGTGCATCATGTGTTGCGCGTGGCCGGCGTGGCCGCAGTAGGCACACAGACACGCGAGCTCGCGCACGCCGAGAGTGCACACGGCGCAGCGCAGCGCCACGCGGCTGCACCTGTACACGTTAGGTGTGTGTGGGGGATGTACGCACCAGCGCATCATGTGTTGCGCGTGGCCGGCGTGGCCGCAGTAGGCACACAGACACGCGAGCCCGCGCACGCCGAGAGTGCACACGGCGCAGCGCAGCGCCACGCGGCCACACCTGTACACGTTAGGTGTGTGTGGGGGATGTACGCACCAGCGCATCATGTGTTGCGCGTGGCCGGCGTGGCCGCAGTAGGCACACAGACACGCGAGCCCGCGCACGCCGAGAGTGCACACGGCGCAGCGCAGCGCCACGCGGCCACACCTGTACACGTTAGGTGTGTGTGGGGGATGTACGCACCAGCGCATCATGTGTTGCGCGTGGCCGGCGTGGCCGCAGTAGGCACACAGACACGCGAGCCCGCGCACGCCGAGAGTGCACACGGCGCAGCGCAGCGCCACGCGGCCACACCTGTACACGTTAGGTGTGTGTGGGGGATGTACGCACCAGCGCATCATGTGTTGCGCGTGGCCGGCGTGGCCGCAGTAGGCACACAGACACGCGAGCCCGCGCACGCCGAGAGTGCACACGGCGCAGCGCAGCGCCACGCGGCCACACCTGTACACGTTAGGTGTGTGTGGGGGATGTACGCACCAGCGCATCATGTGTTGTGCGTGGCCGGCGTGGCCGCAGTAGGCACACAGACACGCGAGCCCGCGCACGCCGAGAGTGCACACGGCGCAGCGCAGCGCCACGTGGCCACACCTGTACACGTTAGGTGTGTGTGGGGGATGTACGCACCAGCGCATCATGTGTTGCGCGTGGCCGGCGTGGCCGCAGTAGGCACACAGACACGCGAGCCCGCGCACGCCGAGAGTGCACACGGCGCAGCGCAGCGCCACGCGGCCACACCTGTACACGTTAGGTGTGTGTGGGGGATGTACGCACCAGCGCATCATGTGTTGCGCGTGGCCGGCGTGGCCGCAGTAGGCACACAGACACGCGAGCCCGCGCACGCCGAGAGTGCACACGGCGCAGCGCAGCGCCACGCGGCCACACCTGTACACGTTAGGTGTGTGTGGGGGATGTACGCACCAGCGCATCATGTGTTGCGCGTGGCCGGCGTGGCCGCAGTAGGCACACAGACACGCGAGCCCGCGCACGCCGAGAGTGCACACGGCGCAGCGCAGCGCCACGCGGCCGCAGTGCGAGCACGCCGCGCCGGCCGCCGCGCGCCCGCACCACCCGCACTCCGCCACCAGCTGTGGGCCCGCCGGGGTGTGCTCGTGCTTGCACTTCACTAGTTTCATCACCTAATTTAATAAGATTTTTAATATTTTTCCAGCAAGTTCAAAGTCGTTTAATTTATTTATTAAGTACTAGCTGACCCGGCGAATATCGTACCACCTTTAAAAGTACCGCAAGTGCATTACTTAGGCCTCAATAGTTTTTTTTTATATATAGGTCTTATTTGCAATAAATGTGTTTTGGTACTTTGATTTTATACACCCTAGATTACTATTTATGAGTATTACACCGTATTAACTGCACGGAAGTGACAAAATAATCTACTACATGTGGTAATGCTCGTCGCTACACACGCACACATTGACTGCTTTAGTTTTTTTTATATAGATAGGTCCGACAAATGACTCCACCCCACCTGATGTTAAGTGAAGGTGAAGTCCAATCAATTACAAGTACAATCTGTCTGACACTAGACACGCACACTTTGCGCGAAACATGAGACGTTTTTGATTTATTTGGATTGCTCTTTCTAAGTGTATAAATGAATTAAAAATACCTTAGGTTGGATTAAAATCACGTTTTTCAATTATATTTGCAAAACACTGTTGATTGCCGACCAATATTTTGACGTTTCACTGGTGGCATTTTCTTATCATTATCTGTTCCGGTTAGAACATAAAAATAAGATTTTGCTTTAAATGATTAAGTCCAAATTACTAATATAAAATCTTTATTGTTAAATACGTAATCTACTGATAATGATTGAAATGAATGCACCCAGTGCCGGAGACGTTTGATTGTGCGCTAATTTAATTGTGTTTATTGTTCACGCGTTTGGTGTCGCGTTGTAGTTCTATACTTACGTCAAAAACGGTGTTCGGTAACATGAACCAACAATAACTGGGAAAAAACATTGGTGTTGCAAAAGAAGCGGTGCTTGTATTTGACACCGTATACCGTCAATCTTGACAGTCAGCCTTTTTTCATTTTATGAGATTTAAAAAGAAATTTCGTATGGATTTATTAAGATAGCCAGTAATTTTTCATTATAAGTGAAATTAAAAATAATTCTGTTGTAATTTTTAGTTTTTTTTTCTATAAACCTTGTCCTGACAATAATGAACATAACAAAATAGAATTGTCAAATTTGGTTCAGTCGTTCGTAAGTGATGCGCACTTTTCCACGATTCATTTTTATATAATATATTCATTTAAAGGCGCAAACAACTCTGTGCCTGCGTTCTGGATGGAGCGTACCGTATTGATGCCAAATTGGTGTGTTTCCCCCCCGAATGTGGGGGATGTTTGGAGGAAATATATCTGTTACTATTGCTCGAAATACTTCACCCCAACTGATTGACAATTTATACTAGAGATGCTACGAATAGTTATTTGGCCGAATACTGAATATTCGGCGAGGCTCTTGGCCGAAGCGCCGACTATTCGGCAACATTTAGTATTTTCCGCGGGTGACTTAGTCACAACTCGTCACTTACAAGTATCTTACGAAAAACTTTCATCGATGAAGTAGTACGTCAGCGCAGGCAGTTTTGTTTCACTAAACGTGGTGGTCTGCAAACCAATGATATTAAATACCCTAGATACACCAACACGAACAAAATCGTGCCCGAAACCTGTCCTAAAGGTACACTGAACGATCCACGGAGCTCCGTAAGATGATCGCGTAGTCAAAATTATTTAAATATTGAAAGTAACCTTTAATACGTACTGTATAAGGTCTTAAATAAAACGCATGCATGAAGGACTTCTGACAATTCGAAATGCAAGCTCGTAAAATACGACTTATTGCTATATGCGGAAAAATTTAGACCTTAGTTCTTTGACTCTACGCGCAATTCTGAACGCGCTGTTAGCAATATAGCAGGCACGGACCGCGAGGAAAAGAGACGGCTATATGGCGACGTATAACCGATCATGCATTTCAATATCACAAATATTTTATATTAAATCAGTTTATGGTAAGTATTAGATCAAAATTTGCTTCATATGCGTTAAATTAACAAATATTGACAAGATACCTGTCGAAAAAACGACACTTTTCGTACTCTAAGTATTATTTTCGCATTTTTTCGCGGAGCTCTGTGGTATATTGACTTTGTAACGGTCCTCGCGTGACTGTGAACTAAGAAGTGCTTGAGTGGAGTTCAAACACTTCTTGATTGGGACACATTTTGAGCGCTCGAGGTGTATCTATGGTATTTAAAATCGTTGCTGCAAACGCAAAACAATAATTTTCAACCACCCCTTTCAAAATTTGCTGATTTATTATCTCCCGGTAGCAGTGTACCTATTCTCGGCTTTCATGAGGTTGTCGTCATGAGGGACGGTCACATCAACTATAATTGCTAGGCGCTTTTCCCAATCTATCTTCACTATATCAGGCTTATTGGCAACAATAGTCCTGTCAATGAAGATAGATCGGTCCCAGTACAGCGTGATATGTCCACTTTTATTAATATTATTATTCAGTTTTATAAATATTTTTGTGAGTAATATTGGGAGTTCTTTTTTTACGATTTGCTATTCGGTATTCGGCCGAAAACCGAATAGTGAAAAAGTTTGGCCGAATAGCCGAATACTCGTGGCAAAATTTCTACATAATCCTCACTCCATATTTTAAATGAATGATTGATTCGGCAACTGAAAAGTATACTAGAATTTGCAGGTCGTTCATGTTTTCTAAAAATAAATGAAGAAACGTATTATTCTCACCTCTGTTTTCTTATATAACAACTGCCAACGGTGTAAAATGTCCGCATATGCGCGTTTGAAGCAATAATAAAGGTGTTCAGTAGTTTCATCTAGTACACATGACGAGGGTCGTTCAGACTTCGTCATTGTAGAATCCGTATAGAAATTTTCAGCTTCTGAACAAGAATTGCTTCTTAGTACGATAGGTAAAGTCCATCCATCGGCACTTATTTCGCTATATTGATTTAGCGTACTATAGGGTGAAGTGTTGTTTCCCTGCAAAATCAATAGTTTTATTTCATACCAGCCTTACAAAGAATAACTTTAAACAAACGTGTGCTGGAAGTCTAATGGAATTTTATCAAAATACTAACGTAACTAGAGGTACTGATGCTGGACTGAGAGCTAGAATTGTTAGTGTTGTTAAAAACACTAAACGCACAAGCTAACATTGCAGCCATCTGTAGATCTGCCGATTTCGCGTAGTGGGTTATTCTAAAAAAAAAATGTTATGAAGAGAAATGTTGCGACAAATAATTGTTTTGAGCAATATTTATAAATAGAATGTAATGTAAATGTTCATTATATTATGAAAAAAACGGAAGGGGAAAAGAGCAAAAGGATTTCTCTACGCAGCGAGTGCGCCGCCTGTACCATCTTACCCTATGCGGGCGACAACTTAGTGTCACCCTCTTCTGTGAAGCCACGTAAAGGTCGCTAGTATTGAGGTATCTCACAGTATCTGTAAGAGGTTGCAGCTCAGCTTGTGGCCCGCCCAGCCCGTGGTCTCCACGCTGGAGGTGCCGCTGTTCCCCTTCTGTGATCACCTGTATGAAGCCACGTTAAGATCGCTAATATTGAGGTATCTCATAGTGTCTGTAACAGTTTGCAGCTCAGCGTGTGGCCCGCCCAGCCCGTGGTCTCCTCGTAGGAAGTGCCGCTGTTCCCCTTCTGTGATCCCCTATATGAAGCCACGTAAAGATTGCTAGTATTGAGGTATCTCACAGTGTCTGTAAGAGGTTGCATGAGCTGCAGTAGTGTAGCCCGCCCAGCCCGTGGTCCCTTCGCTGGAGGCGTCGCTGTCCCTCTTCTGCGATCACCTGTATGAAACCGCGTAAAGGTCGCTAGTATTGAAGCATCTTACAGTGACTGTAAGAGGTTACAGCACAGTGTGTGGCCCTCCCAGCCCATGGTCTCCTCACTGGAGGCACCGCTGTCACCGAGTCGTGCCCGCAGCGAGCGCGCTGTCTGCGCTGCCAAACCCCACGCATGCGCCAATTCAGTTTCCCCTTCCTCTGTAGCGATTTTAGTGTTCTTCTCGCACATGTCTAACAGAAAACAATCGTCATCAGCATATTCATGTCTCCACTGATGGACCTTTACAATTAATGGTATAGGTCCCGCGGTCTACGCGGGGCAAGTGCAGATTGGTGAATGTTAACGATTGCAGATGGACTACCTAAAAGCTTAGTGTGCCTTCTGAAGCATGGAGGAACATTTTTAAAACTATTTATAATAGGTATATGACTATTAAGATGTTATTTTAATGTTGCTATATAAATTTATAAAACACGTTGACATATACACAAAGTAAGATATAGAATAATTACCGTAATAACCGTTTCGTATGCACTACATATAGTGCAGTCATTGAAGCATTATTGCTCCGAATTTTTTTACTGTGAACCGAATAGCATACAATTTTGGAATTAGGTTCATCTTACCCTTAACTTCAAAAGTGAAAATGATTTGAACTCCGCAACCACCCTGGGGTGGTTGCCACCCCTTCTCGGGGGTGAATGTTTTTTTTCAAAATAACCTCGGATATCGATAGAAGGATTAATTTTAAGCAAAAAATCATCTATAAAGTTTTTCAAAAAATCCAATACTTTTCAGGTTATTGGCAATTTAAAATTCGCAATTCTTTCACGTTTTTCATCGGTTTTTTGCAAACATCTCCAAAAATATATGTTTTATCGAAAATTTTATAAAAAACAAAATTGTAACAGGTAAAACAATGAACAATTTGGTTTTTTATAAAGTATTCTAAGTGCAATATTAAGCTAGATATTAAAGATCAAAGCCGTTTTTTATTTTGTCTGAAATTTAATCGATGTGGTCAATGCCATCTAGCGGCGAGCAGATGATTTTATGCATTTTAATAAAAAAGGGTTTTGTAGTGCTTGGAATAAGCTTTAAAATGAGCACTATTAAAAGTCTTTTGCACGTAAAATAAGTGAGCTGTATTGCAAATAAGGGGAGCATCTAATGTTTTTTCTTCTAAATCAATGAGTTTCATAAGTGCCATTTCCACCAAAATTAAAATTAATCTAATTCCGCCTAGAATTAACTTTATTATGAAAAGTTTGATAGATAGTATCAGTTTGGCTGCTTCAGGACACATATTTTTCAAAAAAGTCACGATTAAAAAAAAAATACAAAACTTTTTTTTAAAAAAACCCACTTTTTTTTCATAATATCTCAAAAATGACGACAGATACGTATAAAAGTGTACGGATTAATAATTTAGGTATTTTTCTGACAAACAATTTGCTTTATTTGTTTTTTCTGTCAAACAAAAATTGACGGAGATATGATTGTTAAAAGAGCGCGTGGCAGCGCAATCACAGCCTCTCTTAAGCCCTTTAACCCTTCACCGTTTTAGAAAAAGGTATTTTACTATATATTGCAATGAAGGATGTTGTAGCTCTCTTAATTACCTTTACAATGGTTTTTTATAAATTGTGATAGCATGAAAATTGAAGGAGTTATGGTCCAAAAACTTAACATATTTTTTTCTACTTAGTAACTGAAAATTTCGGAGTGTGAATATTTGGAGCAATGTGAAAGTACGCAGTATAATAGAGACCCACAACTATTGGTTTATTAAATCCACTTAAGTCTGTAGATCCACCCGCACCACAAGAACGGCTGAAAATGATTTTTTGCGACTGCAAAAAAGGATGTGGAGCGTCTTGCGGATGCAGAAAAGTTGGTCTGTTTTGTAATAGTACCTGTGGAACGTGCAGTGGAGAACACTGCCAAAATAGCCCTCCAATTCAGCCAGAAGATGTTGAATGTGACAGCGACTCCGACATTGAGTCATGAATAATAATATTATATTTTAATAATAATAGTACAATTTTATATAATTTGTAAATATTTTATTCAATAAATGGCAACTCTAAATTAAATTATTTTTAAATATATAATATATTTACTGTTTTAATTTAGGGGTAGTTTTAAGGGTAGAAAAGCTTAAGAATATGATAATCATTTTCGAGAGTGTGGAATAATATTTAAATCCTTTACATCTTATCAAAAAAATTTTTTTTTACAATTTTTTGGTAGTTTTGAAAGGGGGTTAAAAATTTGATAATTAGTATAGAGAATATAAAATGTTACTTACTCTATACTTACATCTTTTTATGTCATACCAAAGTATTTTTTTGTGATTTTTTCAATTTAGGGGTTGTTTGAAAGGTTTTTAAGATTTTCAAGGGGTTGAAAATGATTTTAATATGAGGTAATTATGTTAGAAAATACTTTACGATTTCACCACTTACTGTTAGACATGTTTTCTAGCGATAAAATGGCTCAATGTCAATTTTTCCATTAAGTGGTTGTTTACACCCCTTAAAAATAATAGGCGGAGTTCAGATCATTTTCAATTTTGAAGTTAAGGGTAAGATGAGCCTAATTCCAAAATTTCATGCAAATCGGTTCACAGTAAAAAAATTCGGAGGTAAGACCGTATTTTTCGCTTAAATGACTGCACTAATAGGCATGATAACAGTTATTCCAAGTATTACACTAAAAAAAAAAAACAAAACACATAAGCTTACCAACGGGATTCTTAGCATTGATCACGTACTTCTCAGCTAGAATGCGATTTAGAGGGAACAGGCTAGAGGCAGCGTACAAAACCACTCTGGGTGATACGCATCCTGATATACTTCCACGACTTCTCATACTTCCAGCACGCCGTCCTTGGGCTTTCTAAACGAAGAAATAGTATCATTATAATCGGATTTCCTTTGTATGATAACATTGATAACTCATTAGATGTTAATTTTAAACTTACCCATCTGTCTTGAAAATAAGACATCGTTATAGAATTCGACGTATGTCTAAGATGTAATTGCGGGAAACCTGGAGCGTTTGTAGGCGACGGTGTTGTAGTCGCATGAGGTGACACCGAACTGTATCCAGCACCGAATAGCGCGGGCGTCAGCGACAACGAAGACATGGACCGAGGTGTACCAGTCTCGTGTTTCAAAGACAGACGTCGAGTGTTAGGTGGTCTATTGAATACGACTAAGGTGTCAACGCCGCACCATTTCGCACCGCAAGTGCGAGGAAATGGTATACACGAGTCACCCGCATTTTCACTCTCGGACTGACTTCGTTGGCTGGATTTCATGGAATCTGAGTCATCGCTGGATTTTACTGGTATCTGGAGAGTTGTGAAAATATTAAGAAAAGGTAGAGAAAAAGCTTTCATTTTAGAATTTGTGGTTTATCAATACCTCATCAATAGATGTAGCTAAAGTTTTCAAACAGTGCAAAAGACATCTGTGACCTTCTTTCTTCTTCCGATAAGCAGTGACGTTGATAGCTTGAAGAATTTTGATGGTAGTCACGCCATCCACATTAGTTCCAGATAACCATGAGAATTTTGGGATTGTTTGCTCAGTGACATTTCTCGGGAACATGACTTGTAAATTTGCAGTGTAACCATTCCGTTCAGAATGTATCTGACATGTTCTTGTTTCGATATTCATATCAGTAACTTCGATATTGGCCATTTCGCGGATAGATTCAAATTCTTCGTCAATTGTGGTAGAAGTTTTCTGTGAAAGTTGTGTCTGTTACCATTTATGTACCACTAGAGGAGAATTAATCTTAATATTTTATTACTTATTTAAAGAAAATTTAAAGAACTTTCTATTATCCATATATCCCTACTGATCCGCACTGGTAGGGATAATTGTTTTTTTTCGCTATCAGTGGGGATAAGTTTAAAAGGGTTTCTGGATATGATTAAATTGGGGATGGTGAATGACATGTGAAAGTGAATCTTTTTGAAGTGAAAACTTCTTTAGCGACGTTGTACACTTTTTTTGTAATGGGTAAAAAATGAAAAACTCGCGTCAGGACACATGACCTAATCGGAAATTCATAAGACGTAAACAATAAAATTGGAAAGGTTGTTGACTTTCAATATATTGGACGAAACATAGTAATATTTTATTTTATCGTATTAAAATAATAAGTCTTTAATTAGGATGTCCAGGCTTTTTTGCGAAGAAAATGCATTTTTTTACAATAGATGTTGCTAGGTGCGCTTAAATGTGATTCATGTAAATTGATTTGAAAAAATTTCAAACTATGTCGAGTGCACACTGGGAGGCTATAAGTACTGTGTACTATTAAATTTGGCTTACCATTTGGGTATCTGGACCTTTATTATCAGCCAGAGAGATGTCATTCATTGAACTAACTGTAGAAGCATAGCTTGCAGCTGTAAATTAAAATAATTAGGTACTTAAAACTGATGTACGGATTGTTATTTTGACTATTTAGTAGTATAGATAGGCGCGACAATAGGTGGAGGTGTAGCTAGTGTTAAGAAGTTCGAAGCGAGATAAGTGTGGGTAATTTTTATTTCGCATTATTAGTCTGGCTTCTGCATGGCCTCATACCGCCCCTCGCAGCCTGGTGCCTCGGGCCATGGCCCTCTTGGCCCTAGGGTAAATATTTAAGTTCTCTTGAGTTAAGAGCCTTATGACGTGAATATGAAATCCATGAAATGTGCAATTCTGAGTTTAAGATTTTAAACACCATTCTCATTAAATTAACAAAAACTTTTAATACTGTGTAATAGACTTACTATCACTATTATTGTAATCTTCATTCTCTGCATCATCAGGTAAATAGTGGTGGCACATCTTCAAAAGAGATGGATGCATGGACCACACTCTAAGGGACTGGTCTCTACCCCATGTGACAAGCTGGTAGTTGGATGGAGAAGTGTTTGGTCTCCAGACCATAGTCTGCACTGTATCGGTGTGTCCTACTAGTCTGTGGGAGAGCGTGCCCCCTACCCAGATTCCAATAACCCCTGCTTGTTCCACTCTAGGTAAGCCTCCCCAGCCAACTCCTATAGTCAATAACCCACTTCCAAATGGAGTATAGATAGCTCTCCATACAGGAAAATTGGTCATTATTACATTATCTGGTCTCCTTGGATTATTAATGTCGAAATATTTTATACTTCCATCATGACTTGATGTAACAAGCTGATACTCATGATGTGGACTCCAGTCTACACCATGAATTTTGCATAAATGTGCAGATATATATTGGATGGGTGCAGTGGTTTTACGATAGTCCCAGATTTTAATGTCGCCATCATGAGCTGTGGCCACTATGTGTGAGGCCACTTTATTCCATTGTACTTGTGAAGCACCAGCTGAAATATAATATTTTGATATTTAAGCATTTAATTGCTAGTGTATTTTTTTAGAAGTACTAGTAATAATTTTCCCTTCAATTTAAGTAGAGCTTGTCAGCAACACTTTTTTACTAAGTTGTGAATCTTAAATGAAGCTAATGAAGATAAAAGTCAGTTGGAAAAACTTTAGGATAACTTTTTCTACTGCTTAAGATATTTGACTTCAGCAAAGATAAGGAATTTGGCATGCCAAATAAGGGTATTTTTTATTATTTCATCATCAGTCAACTCATCACATAAGTGACTGGAAATAATCATTTCTTATTAATAATGCAGTTTCTTATAAGATAAATAAACATCTAGAAAATATATTTTATAACTAACCTACAGCACACATGGAAAGTATAGGTTTTCTAGCATCCCTCAAGTCCCATAAATGTGTGAATGTGTCAATGGAACATGTTGCAATAAGGTTGTGGTCCTGCCTGTGGAAATGTGTATCACTGACTACCCTGGTATGACCACGGAGGGAGGTTATACAGGTAAGTTCATTACCACCTCGCCATTCATATACATCAACTCTCTGGTTACTCTAAAAGATTAATTAATAATTAGTAATAAGCCTATATAATGTCATCTGACAATATGATCTGAGATATACAGAATGGTGATGGAATATGCTACATAATATAAATACTTATTCTTGGGACTTCTATTAATTAATAATATAGTAATTGTAAATGCTTCTAAGCAGCTTTCTCATATTAATTGATATAATATACATTAACAAAAATTAGTAGGTTATTATTTACTATGAAAACCATTATGTGATGTTGATATCAATAACTGATATTTTACTTTTTTCGACTATGCTTATCTAATTGGAACAACTAAAACAAGCAACAAAGATCTAATTAAAGTTTACCTACCGCGATAGCACACAATTTTTGGCCATGATACGTCTGGCACCACTCTGCACCAGCAGCGTCATATTTACTCTGTCGGGGATATTTTTTAACAATACTTCCCGTCTCTTCTTCTAAATTGATTTGTTTTATGGCTAACCACCTCCGGCCGGCCAACAACACGTTGTTGCCGGAATAATCCACTGTCATCGCAGTGGCTTGCAGCTCTCGGTACTCCCATTTCATTATTTCCGAACTCCAATGCACTGACATGTTGACTATATTAATATATAAAAATTCAAACGTCTACATTAACAAGAGATAACACTAGGTATTCCTATAGGAATAATTGGACTTTTTATTTAAGTATAAGTAAGACGCTTGTAATAAAAATACAATCAAACATTTGACAGATCGCTGACTGACATTGACAATGATCAGCTGATTGATAGTGGCAACGTTTCATTCTTACAACACCCAGCAACACTCACAAGTACAAAAATTACTCAAACATAATTTAAACGGAGAAGAGTGAGTGTGAATCATAATTAATATATCAGATATAAACTGAGATTTAAAAAAGAAATGTGTTGGCACATATATTAATAATTTTTAAAAGCTTTACTTTGATTTTGACAAGGCTGTAAACAAAAGTTCTTAAATATTCGTTAATTATGAAACAAAAAGTCATACACCAGAAAAAAAAAATGTTCTGTTTGTTTGTATTTCTTTTCGACTATTTTGAAAATAATTATCAAATGGTTTAATTGGTAATGTGGGTATCTTTCGAAGAGTAATTTTAATAGGGAGTTTAATTAATTGAAAGTCCATTCAGCAGAATACAGAACATTTATTATATTGTTTTTGATGCAATGAACATCACCCACAAAGTAACATTTTATTTTCTTGTAATGACTCACTGAAATCTATAAATTCAATAAAATGTTTCTGAAATGTCGAAGGTGGCGGCATAAACTGTTTTTCAATATTTTTCCCAGATTTATCTTAGGTCTTGCATTCATTTATATCTACTGTGAATATCTTATCTATTATGTTACACAAATACAGGTTGGTATTTTTCATACTGTAAATAAGATTTTATACTCGGGGAAGTTTAAATATAATCAAATTATTTTAGTGTGGTTGGCCCACTCTCAGCAAGAATCCAACAGATAATGCAGAGCCTCTTTATGTGATGGTGTTGGCTGATACTCATTTACTTGGTTCTCGTAATGGCCACTGGTTGGATAAATGGAGACGGGAATGGCAAATGCACAGAGGATTCCAAACAGCTATGACTCTGCATCACCCTGATGCTGTATTTGTTTTAGGTTTGTGTGAGCCTTAAGTTGTTTTTATGCCTAAACAGTGGGACACGGCATTCCTAAACTTTTTTTCATTTTTAAATCTGTTTTTTATATTTTTTATTTTATAGTCATAATTGTTTTATCATTTACATTTGTAATGGAAAGTGACTTCATGGGTTATCTCATATTGAACTCATTTTTCAAATTGACGACTCTGTATATAATACAGGGAGAAAAAAACAGCCCTTGCTGAGTTTCTTGCCGGTTCTTCTCAGTACAAGGTCTCCCACCGTAGATTTACGAACCGATGGCGTAGCTTTTCGACATTCACAAGTGCTTGTAACAGCCTAGACTGAATAAATGATATTGAATTTTGAATTTTGTAATTAGTAAGACAATTTTTAGCTAAAATACTTGATATACTTACATCTGCATTTTTATTGTATTCTATGTTTATGAATTATGTTTGGCTGCTGTGTTGATACACTGCATAATGTAATTCAATTCAAATTACAGGTGATTTATTTGATGAAGGCAAATGGTGTCCTGAAAAAGAGTTCAATAATTATGTGGACAGATTCCATAAGCTTTTTAAAGTTCCAGAGGGTACAACCATGTATGCTGTTGTCGGCAATCATGACATTGGCTTTCATTATAGGTAAACTAATTCATTGCTACATTATTGATTGTTTATTTCAATATTATTAATAAATTAATTTGAATTATCTATTGATTGAAAGTAAGAAACTGGAGAGAGAAGTAAGAATTGCTGGACCTCTGAAAAGTGATGTGTTTCATAGGTTTGTAATTCATTTTAATTGGGTTTTAAGTATGATTAAACTTTTATGAACAATCTAAACCTTACTGTATTGCAATAAGAATCTAAACTTTCAGTATGACTAACAGGTATATAGTAAGTAGCATAGTATGTTTGTAAAATAAATGATAATTAAGTATGTATTGTATTTAATCATCCTTTATTTTTCTGTAATGTACCTATAGCTTTGGAAATTTGATATACATAATATCTAATTGTATTTTATTGTGCCTGTTGCTTGGACATAGGCCTTCCTTGGAGATAAACTATATAATATTTAAATTGGCCATGAACCACACATTGTGGTCAAATGCAGATAAGCAGTGTTATACTTTTATATAGACACAGCCAGGGCCTTGATTATCTAACTTTTATTCTTTCTGCAATCCCTATATTTGACACTAGCACAAAGTACGAGGAGCACGATGGCGCAAGTGGTTAGCGCGTTCGGCTGCGTTGGGAAGGCACGTTAAGCCATTGCTCCCAGCTGCATCTGCAGTCGTTAGCACCCACCAATCCGCACTGGACCCACGTGATGAGTTATGGCCCAATCTCCCTATTTGATTCATTGGAAAGGCCTGTGCCACTGCAGTGGGGACATTATTAGGCTGGTTCCCAGTTTCATATATCCCAACTGACATATGTCCACTAGTAGGGATACTCGTAATTTTTTTACATTTATCGCTACCAGTTGGGATGTATGGAACTTTCTATTCCACTTATCCCTACTGATCCGCACTGGTAGGGATAATTGGATATTTTTTCCCATTTATCGCTACCAGTAGGGATAAGCTTTTAAGGGTTTTTGGTCCTGTTTTCCTTCTAGACTAATATAGGCTGGCTGGAGTAAACAGGAATGTTTCGAGACACGCACAATGTGCTAATAATTAGGACTAAGTGGGGAAACCGCCCGGTTTATGGAATAGAAACCTCCATATATCCCAATTGGTGGCGATAATTGAATAAAAACTTCAAGCACAGGTGGAGATATATCAGTAGGGATTTATGGAATAGGGAGGCTGGTGATGATGATGACGATGACAAAGTACGAAACCGCCGCACTTGTGCATACTCAGAACAAGCGTCAATTTTGTCAAATACACACACAATTGCGTTATGTTTACAGGCGTTCTCCCACACTTTTAACAACTTGGTAGGTACTTTATAAATCCTCAAATAACTTATTATTCTTTCCATAGGATAACTCCGCATTTGGCAAGGCGGTTTGAAAGCAAATTTGATGCTCCGCCCGTCCGCCTGGTTACCATAAAAGGAAATCATTTTGTGCTTATCAACTCCATGGCTATGGAGGGCGATGGATGCTCTCTATGCTCTCGCGCAGTCACTGAAATTGATAGAATATCAGGTGATCCTCTAATTTTGATTTGATACCATTTTAAAAGGGTTGTATGCCGTTTAACTTATTGACGCCAATAGCCACTCCTTGTTATCACTGAGGTACCTAATCAATAAGAGAAATCTAAGCTACCTACAGCATGGCATCGCGATCTTTCTAATTTAGAACTTGATTAGGCCTACTTATTCTTATTTACGCATATATTATGTTGCAAACTCCAAAATATACATACTTTAACAATCAGTATTCATTATGTTTTAGATATATTCAAATGTAGCACTGGATCAGCATTATGTAAAGGTAAAACAAAGTTAGACAAATATAGCAGGCCGATCATAATGCAGGTACTTAAATATAATTTATCCAAGTTCTTAAATACATACATTTTCAGCCTTTTGGACAGGCTCATTAAAATTTGCTATTATTTTTGTTTTTAGCATTATCCTCTTTATAGAGAGTCTGATAACATATGCACGGAGCCAGACGCTGCTCCGCTGCCGGAACGCAATAGCTTATTTGAGGAGCGATGGGATTGCTTGTCCAAGGAGTCGACAGAGTATTTGGTGGAGAGTTTGCGTCCTCGCGCAGTGTTCGGTGGGCACACGCACCACAGTTGTGTGGTCCGCCACAGTTTCGTACCCACTGCCAATCATAAAATCGAGTTTACAGAGTACACTGTGCCGTCGTTCTCTTGGCGGAACAGACTGGTTCCAAAATATTACTTGGTAAGTGCTAAGGGCTCCCACGCAAAAGTGCGATACGATGCGAAGGTACGTCGCATCGTAGAAACTTGTGATGCGATTTTGTGCGACAAAGATTTAGTTAAGGTGACCATACCTTTAACGGTAGACATAAGTATTGGACGTATTTTAGTTATAGACAGTGACATGGATCTTGTTATTGTTAAATAGATATAGAAAAAAAAGAAGATTTTGGAGTCATTCATTAATTAAAATTATGAACGCTGATGGGAACTATTTTACCCGAAAATACTATGATTTAAAAACAAAAGAAAGTATTTTTTATTATTATTTTAGAATGAGTATATCTTTATTTCAAGAGCTTTTGAGTTTATTATCACCATGACTACAAAAGTAATTAAGGTGGAGATTGTATTTCTCAAAGCGATGCTCTGATATTTTCGAAAGAAAACAAAGGAGTTTTCATCTGAAGTACTATTAGTGGAATGTGGAGTACTTCTCTTCTACTTACACAATACACCTATAAAATAATGAATTTTTATTTTGTGCCAACATTGCCTTTTATACATTTCAGACGTTTTTCTAGTAGGTCGTTTTACTTTAACTTCATTTATCCCACTAGGGCATTTTACTAGAAAGTCCTTCTGATACAGAGGGTCGCTAACGTCAAGGAAAAAATATTTATTTATTTATAGAAAATAAATAAATAAATATTTTTTCCATAGTAACTTTGACGCGATGATACGAATACTTTCTCGCTAGTTGTTCGTACTTGGGGTACAGCATATCAAATATTATGAAACTAAATATAATATAAGTATTGCATATTTTTCCAACAGTTAACAGTGACACCGGATGAAGTACGCGTGTCCAAGTGTGGAATGCCGCGCGAGCGCACCATGCAAGTGTCGGCAATACTGATGGCAATATCCCTGTTGCTGTACTTGCGCTTCTCTTGTGCCAACTACACGACTTTCAATTATAAACACCTGTAAGCATTCAAATTGTGTTATTAATATTGAATCTTATGAGGCTAAAGGGTGCTTGATTTTCATTGGCGTTCCGCAGGGTGCTTGCTGTTCTTCGAAATGTGCAGTGTTACCAGGTCGTGCCGCTTTTCCGTGCCGTTTTTTTCGAATCTATTTTCCTCACTTATGGTACCATGCAGTCCTTACTATGCTTTGGGTGTGATGTTGTTGTTCATTCAATGAAGCTAAAGTCACAGGATTATGTTAGACATTATGCCCTGCTGCTGACTTGGCGTAGTTATCTGTGTTCCGGGGTGCCTGCTTTTTGAAATGTGATGTTCATTCAATGAAGCTATAAGTCGCGGCACGAAACTCGAGCGTTGACCGTTATTGCGCAGAAGTAAAAATTAAGATGTCTTGGGGGAAACGATGTGTGCGTAATATACATATTTCTAGACGATTTTGAATTTTAATCTTTTTATTTTTTTTGTGTCTGTGGCTTTCTCCGTTTTACACAGAAATTTCGACAATGAACATTTTAATCGTTTATCGTTCGTTGGTTAGTGATATATTTTAATAAGTATATGTACCTACCGTTACAAGTTTGTTATTAATTAAAGTTTTTGTTTGTTGCAGGACTGGAAAGAAGGTTTGACTACTGACTGATTACTTTGTATTTAATTTTTTCATTATAATTAGGTATATTAAAAGAAGTTTTATTTATTGTTTTTGTTTATTTCCACGTAAACCACGACTCTCTAAATGCAAGTGCCATGTCGTATTCAGAATGGCCTATGGCCACTCAATAGTGTTAATTGTGGCTGTTAGAACCAAACTTGGCTCCTTCGCAACTTGCTGGGTGATTGCAGCCAAATGATATTCTTTGAAATTCCGCATGGATAATGTCTTAGTTGGGTAAATAAAAATAAAATTTTCTCGAGTATCTCCGTGCTTCGAAAGGCAAGTCAAGCCGTTCGTACTGGTGTTATAGTGTTAGGTACAATCAATTCGCACAGGGCCCGCGTGGTGCATGCATGGCACCAGTTTTTCCAATGCTACGGCAATTACCGTGTTTTAGGGCTTTTGAATTGAAAAACTAGACAACCTATGGTCGTGAATGCCGTTAGTCCAAGGTAATACAATTACCCCTGTCTGAAAGTAATAAAGATTGTATTTTTATACATATTTGACACGGCCGACCTCAGATTTAACTCCTTCATGACACGGCTTTTTGTAGACTACACGGCTGGCTGAAAATTTTCGTTGCATGGCACATTCTCCCTATACCTAGGTAACACTGAAAATATTTAGAAAATGAAAACCGGCTTAAAGCAGAAAGTTGCCAATACTTTTATTGTTTTTCGAAGTAACAGATATTCAATGGAACCACTGAGAAAAGCAGTGGACCCATTCTTCCTCAGGAGTCTCTTCTATGGCATTTTCGTATTCTTTCTCCGCATCTTCAGGGCTCATAAAGCCAAGACCTCGAATTTTATCTTTAGTTCTTGGAAATAAATGAAATTCGCAGGGCGTCAGGTCAGGACTGTATGGCGGATGACTCATTATCTCGACACATGCCATAGTCAAATATTCAACAATCCGTTTTGCGGAGTGCGCTGAAACATTGTCCTGGTGAAGGAGGATCCTGCTTCGAGGGCGCTGCTGTCGAATTTTTTCCAAGACAACAGGCAAAAGCTATTGACTTACCAGTCTGCAGTAACTGTTCTTCCATCTTCTAGCACAACTGTCGCGAAATGACCTTTCCGAGCACAGAGTGAGGCAATCATCTTTTTTCCTTGACTTCTTCCTTTCTTTACCTTAGTTGGCCGATCCTCGAAAGGAAACACTCACTGAGCTGATTGTCTTTTGGTTTCGGGTTCGTAGCAATATATCCAGCTTTCATCACCTGTGACGATGTTAAATACAGCATTTGAATCACCGCCGTTGAACTTATCTAACATTTGGCGACACCAGTCCATGCGAAGGTGTTTCTGGTCATCGGTTAAAGTATAGGGAATCCATCTGGTACAAAGCTTCCTGACGCCTAAATGTTCGTGTAATATTTTTGAACTTGACTCATACCAATGCCTAGGCTTGCCCGTATCTGCTGATAGGTCATTCTCTTATCTTCCTCTATCATGCGTCCTACAGCACGTCATCTTCAGTAGTCGCTGTTAAAAGACGTCCTTCACGCGGATCATCATTGAGATTGCTACATCCACGCTTAAACTCGTTAAACCAATTGTAAATAGTGGCACGAGATGGGGCTTCATTTAGAAATGCTAATTGCAGCCTATCATAGCTGTGTTGTTGAGTAAGCCCGCAACGAAAGTCATAATAAATCATTGAGCGATTTTTTTCTAGCGTTAGGTTCATTTTCACGTGTAACAAGAGTTTTAGATTTGCCGCCAATTCGCAAAAACAAATTACAAATGAATACAATATACTACATTAGGTTACCAAAGAGCTCTAAAATTGAAATTAAAAAAAAAAATCCTTAGCAATGTTTCTAACTGCCCAGTTTTAAACATTTTCAGTGTTACCCACGTACCATCCGTTGGGAAAACCCGTGCCCCAGCAGTTGGGACAATGATAGGCTGGTGATGATGATGAAGTGATGATAAGTATCTTGAACAATTGTTTTACCTAACTTAAACCTAACGAGGGGGTCAATTACATTATTTTAAATATCTGTAAATTTAACAACAGTTAGGTAACTTCGTTCGTGCTGGCATGCAGAAATTTCTATCTAGCCCGCCCATCCTCGTGAATCGTGACGTATCTATTAGATTTAACCTATTACTTTTCGTAATTGCTTTCATTGTGTTCGCAATCTTCTTGAGTGTAAATTATAACATCTTATTTTGATATGTTGTTTGAACTTTCTTCGTTAAATTATACCGTGCCTACATTAAAAGTGAAAAATATCTTTTAGGTATACCTACTTCACAGGCCTAATCGAAAATTATTTCACGAACTTACACTTTATTTTTACATTTCTAGTTTTACATAATATTTAAAAAAAAACTTTTGCTTTATCAGTTTACTTAGCAACAAACGTATTTTGTTTATGCAAAATAATATCTACATGATAATGATAAGTAATAAGATAATCTGTATTATTTAACTACCGTGTTATTTTAATGCTATGGAGATTTAACATCTAATAGTTCCAAATCCATTTGTTATTAGGTTATAAAATCTATGCTGAAAATTTTTCTACTACTTATAAAAAGTTAATGTTAGTTGGGGAGCCCAAGCGGAGGATTTTGGGATTTACTCGAGCGCAGCAGATTAACTTAAGGGGGGCCACCTTGCACCTTGTGAATTACTCCCACCATACCTGACCCCTTTATGAAAGGGGCAAATGGCTAGGACAGTAAAAAAACTAATTTCAACAATCGGCCATGACTTTTGGTCGCGTCCATATCGTCAGTTTTTGAAGTGAAACTTCTTTAAGCACGCTTGTCTTGGGGGATAAGCTGGCGAATGCGTTACGCGTTACGAAAACTGTGGTCGGGCGAGGCGAACGGGAGTTGAGTGGGGGATATAAGCAAGAGAAAGCAGTGCGCTTGCACGTTTTCTTTCTCTATTTCTCTTATAGCTAGTAAATGAAATATGTATATGTACATACATGTTTAAAGATGTTTCACTTCAGTCGTGTGGTCATAAGCACACTCGTTTTTTTTTAATAAGAGCTACTGGAGGGTTTACGTAACATACCTTCTCAATGTCTGACAGCGCTCGAATATTTTTTTACCATTTCTACCCCTTCATACGGCCACCCCCAGAGCAATCCAACCAGCAGATTCATATTTTTCCGTTATTGTAAATATTACGTACCTCCAGTAGCACCTAATCAAAAGGCTGACGATTTGGACGCGACCAACAGCCATGGCCAATTGTTGATTTTTTTTCTGCCTAGACGTAAGTCCCTATATAAAGGGCTCAGGTATGGTGGGAGTACTTTACAAGATGTAAGGTTGACTGACCCCTTATGCTGTTCTGCCGTGCTCGAGTAAATCCCAAACTCCCCGCTTGGGCTCCCCTACTATTATTGATACATAAATGAAATATCTTAAATTTGGTAGGTACCTCCTTAACATACTTATGTGACGAATCTTATTATTGTGTCCGTTGCTAAGTACATATTTAAAAGTGATGATAACAAATTATATACGTTGGACTCGGTAAAAAATCCCGCATGAATAAGAAAACAATATCGTGTAAGTACTTGTCTTATCAAAAACGTGCATTTATTGCTTCTTTAAACAGCTTCATCATTACAGACATATCCATACGAATATTGGGGTGTTCCAGAAGTAAAGAGACGAAATAATCTTAACAATATTTAATTAATAACAATCCGATATCATATAAAGGTATGCAAATAAATGTAAAACTCATTTATTTTTAACGTCTATATAAAATTTCCTACGTCGATACCTTGTATTAAATTTTTCTCATATTCATTGCAGTATGTTTCATGGAGGAGCTCGATGGCGCAGGTGGTTAGCGCGTTCGGCTAGTTAAAATTATGCAACTTTCGCAGTGGTCGGTCATTAATAAATAAATAAAAGTAACTTGCTCAGTGGATGTAGCAGCTACTCTTAGATGAATGATTGGTCTCTCTTCGACCACAGGGAGACCAATTATTTATCTATGCTGCTACTCTTTTAGCAAGTCTAGTCCGTCGGTGTTTGAAAGATGTCAACGTTTTTGGTACACCAGTGACACGTTACGTATGTCTCATCATAAATTATAAGATTTATTTTTTTCAAAGATTTTTCATAAAGTTACGCCACCCGCACTTGGAAATTGCCTCCTGGTATTTGACATATTTTTACAAAAGCTTTCAAGCCCTTGCTTGAGAGCTTTACTCTATACAGGAAGTCCCAGGGCAGTGTCACTCGGAGGGAAAGTATATTAAATATTGAAGATAGGATATTTTACTGAAAGAAGACATTTTATTTTTAATAACAAGTAGAACTATATTCACAGATTTTTTTAAATCGCCTGCCACAATCTGGAATCAAACTCGTGAAATGTGAAAAAAAAATACAAGACGTATTTTATGATAACCGTCGAAAGGGTAAATTTTAAGCATTTTAAATAAAAGGAAGACCATGAAATTTTACAGTTTATTTAAAATAATTAAACAAATGACTTACAATAAAAAAGAAACAGCGCATTTTTTTTACTTACTTATTAAATGTTCAAAATGTGTTTCATTTTGTAGTATAAAAATTGACACTCTTTTAATAATTTCTCTGCCTGTCGATACACCTAACTTTACATGGTTAATGTTTGAAATACGTGTAAGTGCATTTTGTAACTTCTGCACACTGTCGTGCCAGATAATGTAAACTAAATCTTTACCATAATCCCACAAAAAAGCCAGCCGCATTGTAATTATGACCTCACAAAGAAATACATACAAGTACCTACTACACTTCGTAGATGTATTGCTTTATTTTTTTCTTGTATTATAAAGTGAGCAGCTGCTAGTTAATAAATAATTTGAAATGATAAGTAATGTTAGCTGTTGGAAGCACAAAAAATTCAGAGGAAATTCGCCTGAACAAAATTTTAATTTCATGATTACCCTCTCATTTAAAATGTTATGTTATTTAGAAAAAAATAATACTTATTCCACCACCATAATTTTCGGTTTTAATTTTAAAGCACACCGCGGATCACACACGAAAAGTGAGTTTGTTCTTACAGAATGGCACTGCTGGCATCAGATAGGATTTTTAGTGAACTAAGATCTCCGATTTAAGTGTTATATCTTGCAGGAAGTTGAGTCTATACGGCTCTTGTTCGGATTTATTTTATTTATAATAAAGGTTAGGTAAAAAAAGGTAAATTTAAAAAATCAAAAAACCCGACTGCTTAATTATACTTCAAATAAAAACTGAAATGAAAAAAACAAGTCCAGTAGTCTATAATTCTGTTAATAAGGAACAAAGCTACTTTAACAGTCGGGACCCATTAGATATTCAAGAATACATAATATTTTCAACAGTGGGTCCCGACTGTTAAAGTAGCTTTGTTCCTTATTAACAGAATTATAGATTACTGGACTTGTTTTTTTCATTTCAGTTTTTATTTGAAGTATAATTAAGCAGTCGGGTTTTTTGATTTTTTAAATTTACCTTTTTTATTTCACACTTTTTAGTTAGTTAGTATTTTAAGACGGTATATACCGTAGTCTTGTTACTTCAGTAAGGGAATTAATATCGCGGGAATTATTAAGTACCTTGCGTCGGTCTAAAAGATTGATTTATTAAGACATATAAAGACTTTACCAGCGGGGTCAAGGCTACAGATGCACCTCAATTTTCGCAAAAATGTGTGAATTAAATCAAGTTGTTACATAAATATCTCTAATGTATGTAAATTTTATAGTAAACTAGCACTTATTCAAAAAGTCATCTTTTGTTTATATATATTTTTTTAATAGTTTAGCAGTAAATATAAAATTCATTTACTTTTATTCGTCGACTATTTAAAATTGGCAGTGGCTGCATTGTCATGTCAATGCCGGACGTCTAAGATTGTGATATACACAAATTCAGTGTCAGTACCTAGTCTCATAATTTGATATACCTACATAATTCACAGAAACCCAATATGCAGATGCCAGAAGTTAACTTCAAATGTTTTTAATCATCCTATATACAATACCAATCAATGACGTTTATGTCGCAGGTTGAAGAGAACAGTAATTCCCGTCTGTTGTTTTGGACAATGGTGGCAATTGCCTTAGATCACTAAATTAAGTAATTATGCTATCACCAAAGCAAAGTTTATAATATTTTATTAAAATAAAGGCGCATAATAAAATTTTCATAACGTTAGGTAGAGCACCATAGCAATCTCATTTATTATCAATTTATAGTTCTCTTTGTAGTTTTCTTTTAAAGCGTTCACATTTAACAGGTCAAAGACTTTGTGTTCGACCCTTTTTTATTGGTAGTGTAAAGCTCGAATGAAGAGTACTCCCAGTAGTGCAATCATGGCAATTATTTTCCAATTTTTTTTTTAAATACCGAATGACGTATCACTGTTAAGCACAAATGCTAAGTAACTTTTACAAATATAATCAAATAAACGTTTTACTTACTTTATTTTTAAACCTTTTTCATCAATTAAATACTTATCTTATTCTAACTATCTATAATAATATTAAAAAGAGGCAAGATTTGTATGTTTGTAACAAATAATCTGTCAAACTACTAAACCGGTTTCAAATATTAATTCAACATAAGGTAGCTACATTATTTATTATAACATTTTTCTTTATTGAAATACATTTTGTCCGAGTTACATAGGCTATATTTTATCCCGATAAATAAATTTCGCCCGTACAATGCCCGGGTGGATCACTAATAAGTATAATATAATATTATAGATGCGAAAGTGAGTTTGTTTGTTGGGCTTCCGTGCCCTAATAGCTAAACCGAATATAATGAATTCGCATATAGAAGTAGATGGGAACTTGGTTCTTAGCTACAACATCGCAATACTTATAGGCGTAGGGTGATGAAAGGGGTGATTTACCTAAAAAAAGCTACATTAGAGCAGAAATATTACAAAACCAATATTATCGCGAGCTGATTAATAAATACAGGGATTCCAATAAGTATGTACTTACTAGCGAAAAATGGGTTATTTGTCATTATATTAAGTAAACTTTTTTTTTAACATTAAGTAATATCGTTAAAAAAATTAAAAACAGTAAAATTCCGAGTTTTTCATTAAAATTCAATAATCATAAATACCTATTATGATAATATATTTTTCATCATTTAATAAGAAGGAACTGTATCACAGTTTTATTGTTAGTACTTCGTATAGGATCAGATACTGCGAATACCCCATTTTTTTTCTTTTACATAGTAGCCGCGCTATCACTTTGTCATCGTTGTAACTTTTTAAATATTTGTCGAAATGACATAGTGTAAGAAGCAAAGTTTATCGTCTTTAACAGTCTATATATGTATGTTTGTTCCTTTGTGGCACACTAGAGACCAAACGCCTGGACCGATTTTGATGATTTATACATCAATCGATTCGTCTCAATCATGGGAGTGCTACTAAAGATATGATAGTAATCAAAATTCAATATGGGCAAAATTAGACGCCATATTGTGACGAAGTAAAAAAAATAAGTTGACAAAATATGTCGAGTGGGGTATCACTGTCTAGATAATCAAAAATCATATTTAGGTTTCTAACACCATTTTTCATTTTATATGATTGTTTAGGATCTACAATGCTTTAAAGTTGTATATTAACCACTTACGCTTTTAATTTCAATCTTACGTTTGTACGGATCTTTGTTACTCTTTCACCTTAAAAATACTGAATGGATTTTGATGAAACTTAACAGTAATATAGCTCATATATGATAATTACATATATATAATAAGTAATGTAATTACTGAGTGAATTGGGCAATATATAACAATAAGTGTCACATAAGACGGAAAAAAATCTCCCATCTGCGAGCCATTTTGGCCTGCACTGTAAAAACAATAAAAGTTACATGAATGTAATATAGAGTGAAAATGTATCTCTTAAATAGTTCTAAAAAAAAGTCCGTGACACCATATATCTATTTTTAATATGTAAGTCATTACCGCTAAAATAGTGAATCAAAATTAAAATATTATTTGATATCTATTTCCAAAATGCACATTTTGTATTAACAAATCATTTTTTATCAAAACAAATACTTTTATCGCTTTTGATATTTAAACACATAACCCTGTCTGCGCGTCGCGCTTCGCGCTCTTGCATTGCGCAGCCGGGTAAACATACATATATAGACTGTTAAACACATAACCCTGTCTGCGCGTCGCGCTTCGCGCTCTTGCATTGCGCAGCCGGGTAAAAAAGCCACCACTTCTATAGAATCGATGAAAGGAGATTCCATAAAACTTTCTGCGATTTTTTTACGGTCACGTCGATATTTCATGTATCATAGACTCATATTAAAAGATAACTGCTGATAAAAGAGGTTAGGTTCACGTTGATAGTTACGCTGTTAGAAGGTCAGAAATAAGAAAATTTGCATGTCATTTAAGAATTATTTATTTATTTGATTAAATACAATAGGAACTTTTCACAATATCTACGTCGAAAATATTTTTCTAAACATTTGTTTTACACAATAAAGCACAAAAAATAATAATTTAACTAATAAAATCACAATAATACTGGGTATTAACTATAACACTATACTACTTTAATAAATGCTAAAGGCTTAATCTACATTTAAACAATCAATACTCTGTAATCTTACACCATTTTAGCATTTTAATCACAAAGGCTAATAATTTATTACATTTGAATACTAACATTATCGCGAATAGGTAAAAAACTTACACTTGATAAAGTTATGTTTTACTGATATATCAGTAACTATAGTCCATTGTAGGAATTTCATTATCGGCTTTCATAGCAAGAATGATGTTAATAAGCCTTTAAATTGATCGGATAAGTTAAGTAGTGACATGTTGAGTCAACTTGAACTTTGCGGTGAATTCTTAGGAAACTTTTTGTTAAGTACTTACCTACTTATATTAATACTATCTATTATCTATTTTGTTATTTTTACGCTGATCTGCTTATATGCTGATATGATAGCTTATATGTGACCGTAAAGTTAATTTAAGTGTCACATTTAACTACATATCTATAAAAAAATGCCTAAGCATTAAAATGCCTAAATACTCCAAGATATTATATAATATAAGCTTATGGTGTATCAAATATCTAATTTACTTTATGGGATTCACAAAATGCTGATGAATATGTAATTTCAAAGTGAAAAAGAAAGATGATCACTTGTCTTAGGCGCCTGAGCGAATCTTAAGGTCTTTTACTTTGCTCACTCCAAGTTATAAACGAGATTGCTCAATTCCTTTGAAACACATAGCGTGAAAACTTTCTAAACAGCAGTGCTATTCCGTAAGAACAAGCTCACTTTTTACCTCGGAATCAGTGGTGTGATTTCAAAATTAGAACACGAATTTCAAAAATAGAAATTGAAAAGTGAATGAATGCCATTGGATGCCATGCGTCACAAGAGAGAGAGAGATAGCTAGCTGTCTCTCATCTTCTTTCTCTTTCTACTAGATGAACACTTTTAGAGTCGCCTTCTATTCTTATACCTCTATGTTGTTCTTACAGAATAGCACTGCAGAAGATAAAAACTATTTTACTCCGTTCAGACAACATATTTCGTGCTAATTAATCTTTCGCTGTATAGAAGGCGAGGGATAAGAAGAAAGTCTTCTCAGCTGGCTTTTGTCTTTGTGAAGTACGGATTAATCCAGGTTCTTTTGAGGTTGGCCTTTGTGGAGTGTGGATTAATCCAAGTTCTTTTGAGTTTTGCCTTTGTGGAGTGTTGGTAATCCAGGATCTCTGTGGATGACCATTGTGAAGTGTGGTTTAATCCGGGATATCGGAGAGGCGCATGCCACCCGGGCGTCGGTACATACGCTCGTGCATGGGTAGTTCTCCCACCAGAAATCGGTCTAGAGTCCTGGTGGTATTGCGGCTGTGGCCAGAGCTTCGGAACGCCGTGCTCGCGTCCTGCCCTGCGTACTCCAGCATCACATCAGCTCCACCGGGGTGCTAAAACAATGAATAACATCTTCATTAGATTATTAAGCAAAAAGCTCAAGAAAGATTACCCCACAAGATTGATTAATTTTTAGCACGTATTATTTCGACAACCATCTATCATTTAATTTATTTTATAACTATCACGTACTTTTGAGTGATACATTATGCTCTCTTTTTTATAAAGTCTATCGTAAGATTTGCTACTTTATTAAACTTTACCAAAATAATAAAAAATAAGAAATGGTAGAGTTCAACTTACTTCTTCTAGGAAGGTAGTTATGTCATAAACCCGGTCGTATATGACCACCCAACAGTCTCGGGCGGTGTCGTGATGTGCCACTTCTTCCAGGGTGATGACGCGATCTTTAGCTTCTGGGGCACCGGGTTCAATTGTTTGTGACCATTTCTCGGTTTTGGTCTCCACCGTCCAAGGGCTGACTAGCCGCAGTGCCGCCATTGTCAGAGCTACAAAGTCCAGATCTTGACTCTCCTTTTTCACGAGAGGCGATGCCAGGTTTATCTGTGGTCGTACCGTAGTCATTGTGTTTGTTTTAAATGTTCTTCTTTGTGAACAAACTTATTTTCTTCAAACTTCTGCTAACGTCGAACAGTCTTTGCGAACTGGACGCGTTTGACTAACGAAAGGATTGAAAGTCTGAAAGGAATTAAGAAACCATATTAGTGGTTACACTTTCAATTTACAGATTAGGGTTGTGTCCGACTTCAGTTATTAGATGACTAGCCAAACTATAAAATATAATTATTATGTTAACTTAACATAGGCAATTCAGCAAAAAATATAAGTATCTATTTAATTTGCTTGTTCCTTCTGACAGCGAATATTATAAATTTTATTCTTGTTGGTTACTTGTAACAACGAATTATTTTTTGCAAGTGACAACCTTTGAAGGGTATTGAAGCATAAATAGTAAATACGATATTCTCAAATGGTATCAGCTTACTCATCGACAACCACCTAGTCTAGCTGCCACCACCACCTAGGGCTTACGTGTATTATAAAAGCAGTGTAACTTCAACTAAATACTTTATCGCTCAAGCGCCTAGCGTTGAGTGAAGTTTAGTAAGTATCTTCTATAGTGCAGCCTTGCTTATCAAAACCTGACCCCTAATTTCAAACAAAAGATAATTGGAGGCTTCTATCTAATAACGAGCGAAAAACAATGATCGCGAGAGCTTTATCTTATGAGTGATGACGTAAATGGATGAACATACGAGTTACGGTGACAACAACCAAATTTTCAGATTATTGCCCTTATTTCAAGCGATATCTTTGAAGTAATTATTATAGACTAATTATTATTACTAAGAAGTTATTTCATCAATCAATATAATAAAAGGCATAATAATTATCGAATTAGAATAGATTTATAAATTTTGGATGAGAAATAAGATGAATATGAAATGTTTAAATTTCTTTTAATAATATTTGTTATTATTAGTATTATTAAAATAAAGTTTTGTAAACAAGGATTAGAGGGGTCAGACATGATTTAATAGTCTATCGATAAGGGTGCGCCGGGTGTTCAATATATATTATAAACAAACAATATTTACCTTGTAATCGTTGCAATTGCAAGGAAGCACTGGGTTATCTCTGCTGATGTTCGAAACGGGGAGAATGACTGTCACACCAGTTGTCACTATGCCACCACTGTTTGTTTTCTTCAATATTAGCTATTGTATCAAGGTAATACATGAGAGCGTAGATCATTGCCACGAACTAATATAATGTTGTCATGTATCAGTTGCGATTAATGAATGAGTAGCGGTTAGCGCGCGGCCGAGTATTTATACGGGGAGCGCACGCGCCGCGCCACCGGCCAAATTTATGATGTAACCGGCCGCTTATCTTGCCGCAGCTTCGCACGCGCGCGCACCGCCCGCCGCCGGTTGCTCTAGCGATATTCCCAGATCCGTATTATCTAAATATAAGGAAAACTGTTTCCTGTTTGAATGCCCTGTTAACGTTTTTCGTCTTATCAATATAGTAAGTATGTATTTTTATGTGAAAAGGTATCATTTAATCGTAAAAGGTGATTATAGGCTGAGTAGCGCTTTGCATGATAAACCAAAAGCCCGAGTTCTTAAAATTGTTATGTTATTGGTATTTTTTATGAAAAGCATAGCCGTAGAATCTAAATAATATTGTAGGTTGCTTACTTATTTACATACTTTTATATGGTACCTACATTTGGATATCGTCGTAAAATGCACTTTAAAGTTCCAAAAAAAAACAACACTAAGGAAATACACATTGAAATTGCCATAACACTAATTATTTTTTCTAGAAGTAGTAAAATTAGAGTGCAAATTATTCTTCTTCTATAAAAATTAGAAATTGTCAAGTATTTATTTATCCTTGATTATGGATTTCCGCCGGCAGCTCCTACGGTACTTAGCTTGAGTCATTTGGGTTGTGCTTTGATTTTGTGACAGTTCCAAACTATTCAATAATTATTTTAAAAAACAGTACAACAAAAGATAGAAATAAACTTTTATTAAACGTTCTTAATATTATTTTTGAATTTAAATAAAATCAGCAAATTACGCGACTCTTCCTTACTAGGTACCTAAGTATAATTGGAATCGCGTGAAAACCTGCAGACCTATTGTGTAAGAACAAATTTACTTTTCACCTCGGAATCCGGGGTGTGATTTAAAATTAGAACAGGGGGCCATTCGCCTAACGGTAATGCTTTGGAAAACTATTCGGACCGGTTAAGACATTTTAATCTTATATCTCTTAAAAATCGCCGCAAAATTTTAAATCTTTCGTTCCTTCACAATTTAGTCAACGGCAACTTAAATTGTCCTCAATTGCTTCAAAAAGTTAATTTTACAATTTCTCATAATCTTCCGCGCCTCTCTAGATACTCATTATTTAAACCAAAGCGCTCCAAGACGAACCTAGGCTCATGTTCCCCTATTAACAGGCTCCTTACTGATTATAATAATATCAGTAAAAATCGTGAAATTGACATATTCCATCTAAGTTTACCTGCATTAAAAAAAAATTACGTATAATGTTCAAATAGATTCTTAGTATTAACTTTTTCTTGTAATAAACCTTTATTTAAATTATAATATTTAAGCTAAGGGATGCCCTACGCTCCCGACTCCCATTGTATACGCTTGCCGTGGCAACCTGTAATTGAGGTCGCACCAACTCTTTTATAACAAATGTGTAACTTTTAGCTTTTAAGGTGTATGATCTTGTTGGTTGTCCAAATAAATAAATAAAAAAATAAAAAAAAAACGCTAACGCTTACGATTTTATTTTATTTCTAGCCGCCTGAGGTTATCAAATGCCTCGCGCTCTTTTTTTTCCTTTGCATTGGTAATAACTATATTAAAAAAAATGGGCGTGAGGTATTTGAAAACCTTCGGCGGTCAGAAATAACAAAATAAAATCGAAAGCGTTAGCGTTATCCAAAACATTTCGGAATTCCAAATAAATTTCAAATCACACCAGCTAATTTCGCGGTGAAGTGAATTAGAAAAAAGTGAGTTTGTTCTTCTGATGCGTTACAAAAATGTGACGTTTTATTAGCCACCCTCACCATAATATATCCTACTTACAATAAAAACTATGACTATGACAAATATGTAAAAAATATGGTTGTAATAAAACGAAAGATAAAAGATCAAACGACGTTATATTATTTAACTTAGGTAAGTATTATTATTATTTTCTCGTAATTAAAAAAAAACTTGAACTTTTTCGTGTTAGTCAGAGGTACGACCATGGTCCTTCAAATCAAAAGCTATTTCCATTCCAACATTCATAGAAATTGTATGAAGCGTGATAATAACAGCAAGTCATACGATGATGTAGTGATAGGTTAATAGCGGATATTGCTTTCTTAAGATAAATCAACTACGTTTATACATACCGTATTTTCGTATATATATACCTATTATTATAAAGTATAATTATACTCAGTGGTAAGATAAATGTTTACCCAAATCGACATAGTAACTGTATTAAGTGCCTACTTGAGGACTTAGCATTGATTTTAGGTTTAAACCCATGTAGGTGATTACCCAAATAACAATTCTTTAGCTCCATCTGTATATGTAAATATACAATAATATATATATATATATTTAAATACAAATGTAGTCATGTGAATATGTATATATATATATACGTGAACAATATATACATGTATGTACATATACATTATTCATTTACTAGTTATAAGTGAAAGAGAGAAAGAAAATATGCGCGCGCACTGCTTTCTCTTGCTTATATCCCCCACTCAACTCCCGTTCGCCTCGCCCGAACACACTTTTCGTAACGCGTAACGCATTCGCCAGCTTACCCCCTAAGTCAAGAGTGCGTAAAGAAGTTTCACCGGGCCCGGGGGCAAGAAGGAGTGGATATCCCTAAATCTGGGCCGGGCCACTTACGATTTGAACCTACTCCCACTCTCGGCTCTGCCTTAAATCCGGCTCTGCTACCAAGCCAGTAACTTACGCTTACTTAGGCTAGGTTTCTTAATTAAGATAAGGAAGAATAGGATAAGCTTCAGATTAGAGGTCTTCTACAAAAAAGCAGCATATTCCAATATAAAAGAGCAAGAAAATTTTACCAACAAAAAATACTCGGCCAAATTTGTATTAAAATTTTTAATCATAGGCGGATTCCGCGGTGAAATGTGAGTTTGTTTTTATAGAATAGCACAGCTAGTATCAGGCTAGATTCGAACCAGCGTCTGTCGTAATCCGGGTAAATGCACTGACCACATTGTTTTAAACTTTCACGGTCACTAACATTATAGATATTAGCGGGATGGTTACCATGAGGTACCTACCTTGTTTTTTGTAAGTCCCCGATATTACGGCACTGTTGCAAGCGCCATGATCATAGAGCAGTGTTTCCTAACCTTTCCAATACTGCTACCCCTGTAACCTATTAGGAAAATAGATAACCCGTCTTTAAAATGTTATCATCAGTCCAAGAAATTCCAATTTGGACGCTACTACATCTTCGTCTCTAATAATGTCATCATCATCACCCCGCGGGCTCGCTAGCAAGAAGGAGCGCATGCTCTATTTAGTAGTATTATTATATAGTATTTTCTTATTATTTAGATTTGACCAAATAATTAGGTTCTTTGTTACCCCCGAAGTATGGGTGATTTACCCCCGGAGGGGTAGTTATCCCCAGGTTCGGAACCCAGGTCATAGAGTAACAAGTCAGTTACGCTGGTTCGAATCTAGCCTGATCTTAGCGGAGTTTATTTTTGTAACAATAACTTTAAGTAACAGTGCCGAAATATCGAGGTCTCACAAAAAGCAAGGTACATGGTAAGTAATCCCGCTAATAGCTATAATGCAATGCGGTGCAGACTCATTTTTCACCTAAACTAATACGATACTAAAATATAGCAGTTTAATGCTTATTATGTTAATATCTTATAACAAAAGTACTTGTTATTCTCATCACTAATAAAATTATTTCCAATCAATAACGGAAACATTTTTTTTATCGATGACATTATCGCGATATGTTACAATGTTTCCAATATTTTGTTTACGTCGTTGGTCAACGGTCCGAGATGACGTACTTGATGAATCAAGAAGTAGGACGTAACGATAGCAATTATCTAAACAATAGTAATGCGTACACCCGTGTCATCGTCGTATCAGATGTTGTTTATCATTTTGTTTAAATGCACACACCTCCAGTTTAGAGGACGAGGTTAGGGGGCGTCCATAAATTACGTGAGATGTTTAAGGGGGGGAGGGGGTTGAGTCAAATCTCATCTAATCTTACGTTGGAGAGAGGGGGGGGGGGTCTCGGCAAATACAATGCAATTTTTTTCTGATTGAAACAAAAAAAAACTATTTTGGTCCATTTAATCCAGTTTGTACATGCTTAAGATGTAATCATAAGCGTAATCGTAATACGATTAAGATCATTCATTAATTCGTTCGAAAGAAAATAATTTCCTTCATACTTCGACATTATAAATCTACTGCCTGTCAAACAACCATATTTGTTTTACACCAAATAGCTCAATTTTATTTTTATTACACTTAAAACACTCAGCAATATTGATTACTAGTCTTAACTAGTCGTAAATAAAAGCACGAAGCATTTTTTTTTATTTTTACAATAACAATCCAACGCGTTTACGTAAGAAATCCACATTTTGAAAAATCTCACGTGAGATTAGGGGATGGGGTTGAATAAAATCTCACGACCAGGGGGGGAGGGAGGGTCAGAAAATTAAAAAAAAACACCTCACATAATTTATGGACGCCTCCTTAGTTCCTGCATTCGACTTGACTCTCCCGGTTTAACTTTTCGCAATATCTGTGTACCTATACTACTTATATTACTATGTACAATGTTTGAATCCCCAAATAAGTAGATCAGATTGTTCAAGAAAAAATAATGAAATTTAATCCTCAGAGTCAACATAACCAGAGCAGAGTTAAAAGGTATAGTAAGAAGAATTGATTATTTTTATAAAATTCTATGTTAAGACTGGGTATTATTAAAATATCATACCCAAATGATAATTGTCCAATATGGCTGTGTCAATTATTATCCTAATTAGAATGATAATGAGATTCACATTTAATTAAGAATTTGAGAAGCAAAACACCATAAGTACTTTTTTTATTAATCGAACAAATAAAAAAAAACAAAACTAGTATTGAAATGGAATTAATTGTAAGTAGATAGAGGTAAGTATACCTATTCAGAGTAGTTAACTGACTATAATGATACAATAAAATAACAAATCG